ATCATATGTATTAAGTTCATACTGATTGAATGTGTTTAGAGCAAAATAATAAAAAATTGTATACCTTGTACTTTAGTTTATACAAATTTGAAGCAGAGGCATGAGCTAGCAACATGTTATGGCCTGCAATATATGTTTCCATACAAGAATTTCCAGTAGAGCAGTTGGTAGGAGTACAATGTCCAAGCCTTGGTCTTTGGCCATAAAAAGCAATGGCAAATATTGTAGCTTCGTTGATCGTAGTCCATAACTTAACATCTTCCCCAAACTCTCTGAAGCAAACATCTGAAAAAGCAGTGAAGTCCTCTCTGCAATATAACAAGAAATAAACAACATTTTTATTCATATTTTAGGAAAGTGACTTTGTTACAACATAATCTTCTTTTGATCCCTTTACATGATTTTGCGGTTGGTCCATCCTCCGTACTCATCTTCAAGAGACTGAGGAAGATCATAGTGGTAAAGTGTAACATGTGGTTCGATTCCTGTTAAATATTTTTGGCAAAGACTCTCTTAGAAGCTGACTATTGCATTGGCTTTAGTTGAGTACTAAGAAAAACAAAGAATCACCATGGCTTCGTAGTTCTTTGATGAGACTCTTGTAAAACAACAGACCTTTTGGGTTAATGGCTCCTCTTCCATCTGCAACATGAAGAAAAAAGGGCTTTAAAGGTTCAGATTCAGTTTACTTGCAAAGAAAGAAACAAGGAAGCTAGAGGCGTTTACTAGGTATAAGTCTTGACCAGGAGATAGAGAATCTGAATGATTCCAAGCCCATTTCTGCCATTAACTTAACATCTTCCTGCAAAAATTGACAATAACGCATCTAATTTTAGAAAAGAACAGAGCCAAGCAGAGGTTTACGATAACTTGTTCGAAAAGTAAACAGCAGAGAAGAGAAACCTTATACTTGTGATACCCATCACAAGCTATATCTCCTCCAATACTTTCATTATCTGCAATATTCTCAAACAAGGGATCTATGAATCTATTGAAACAAACTCTCCTAAACCAGTACATTGACCACAGACCACCATGTTAGAAAAGAAATAGACTTACTACAGTGGGAGGTTATATCCCAAACGCTTGGAGTTCTTCCATCTTCATCAACAGCTCCTTCCCACTATTTTATCCACAAGTTCACAAAATTTAAATCACTAAAGAAAGAAAGAAAGAAAGAAAGAACCCAAAAGCAGAGTCGAACCTGATAAGCAGAAGTGGCAGCACCGAAGAGAAACTCTTTTGGAAAATCATTTCTGGTAAAGGCATCACCGTGGCTTGTTGTTGCCAAAACAATGACCAGAAGAAAACTAGAAAACAGAGACAAGTGTTTCATTTTCTTTTTATTTTTTTTTGTTGTCTCTTGAGAGACTTCAAGTGAATACATAACTTTTAATGGTCCAGTCATTTTCGTGGTCCATATGTGTCCTGCGTCTTCATCTTCTACTTGTAAGAACATGTGGAGCAGACTACTATATATTATCTTTGTGTTTTTTTTTTTCCTTTTCTTTCTGTGAAGTGTAATCCTTATGATGGATTGTTTTGTAGTATATATATATAAAGAATTGGGTTAAAGACAAGACAGTGGACCATTGCAACAGCCAAAACACACAAGAATTACACATCGACTAAAAATCTCTAACATGAGTCTAATTCTTACTTGGTGTGTGACTGAGGAATTTATTGTTTAACCAACAATTTAATATCCGAGAACAACAATTTAAATAACAATTTAAATAACATTACACTGAAAAAGAGCCAGAGAAGTTGTTTTGTTGCAACTGAGTAATAATATCTTGAGAAGCAACATCAATTGCACCATTGAGAAAACCAGTGTACCAAGAAGCAGAGAGCTTTGGAGTCCTCTTGAGACCAGAATCGCTAAAATTTACATAGTTTATTCCAAAGCTTAGCTTGTATCCACCCTCTATCTCATACAGATCAACCAACGACCATACAAAGTAACCTCTCGTGTCTGATCCATTCCTGATCAGTCGTCAGAAGATGTTTTGAAAAACAAGAGTGTCAAGTAAACCACCATTATAGCTAATATGATGAAGTAAAAGACTAAGAAGGATAATTGTACTTGATGGCATTGAGGACAGCACCAATGTAAGCTTGTATGTATACAAGTCTTGGTGTGTCTTGTAGCATCGAATCGTGTTTCATGGGTCTACCTGTTTTTTTTGGTATTTTATTTTTAGTTATGGTGTGATATGAAGAATCTTGAAAGCAAAAAGGTGTGATTTCAAGAAGACAAACAACAGAACAAGAAGACAAAACAGAATAAAGTGTACCATTTTCAAGAATGTAGATAGGAAGATTGTTATAGCTCTGTTTTAGATACTCAAGAACACCTTCAAGACCCCATGGAGTTGGCTCAAACTTCAAGAAGACGATTCAATAAGGAACATTTCAAGATTCAAGACCCCATGGAGGCTTTTGACACAAATACATTTGACTTACTCACCGTGAAGGATGAAGAATTTCCAGTGGCTGTGTCCAAAGAAGAAGAAGTTTTATCAGCTAAAACGAGTTGTGAAGCTTTTTTCGATTGGTGGATGATGAAAAAGAAACTAGGCTTACAGATCATATAAGCTCCAATGTCTGCAGAGAAGACTTTGTTAGTGTTGAGAGGAAAGACAAGAGGATAGGGTCGGTTTGTGACATAGAGAGTCATGTAGTGAATAATTCCTATAAAGTCAGATGACCCTTTAACTTGTTCCGACTCTTCCGCTAAGAAAACCGGTAACCTCGACCCCAAGGTTCTCTTCATTTCATCTGGATAGTCCCCAAATACCAATGGCTTCAACATCCTGAATCATCAATAACTTTTAGTGTTTTCAGATTTCTTGTTCCTCAAGTTATCAAAGAAATCTTCAATTCCTCACCAGCCAAAGAGGAAAGCTTTAGCTCTTTCAGTTGCGATTTCGTCGTCGATGGAGTTTGTATAAGGTGATAACCCGAAAGCAAATATACTTAAGCCTACGGATCCTCTTTGCTTACTCTGCACCACCATCATATAAATTACCTTCATAGAGATTTTATGGATTTTAAGAGCAAAAAGATAAATATTGTATATATACCTTGTACTTAAGTTTATACAAATTTGAAGCTGAAGCATGAGCTAGCAACATGTTATGGCCTGCAATATATGTTTCCATACAAGAATTTCCAGTAGAGCAGTTGGTAGGAGTACAATGTCCAAACTTTATTCCTTGGCCATAAGAAGAAATGGCGAATATTGTAGCTTCGTTGATTGTAGTCCATAACTTAACATCCTCCCCAAACTCTCTGAAGCAAACATCTGCAAAAGCAGTGAAGTCCTCTCTGCAATATAACAAAATAAACAACATTTCTATTCATATTTAAGAAAAGTGACTTTGTTAGAACACAATCTTCTTTGATCCCTTTACATGATTTTGCGGTTGGTCCATCCTCCGTACTCATCTTCAAGAGACTGAGGAAGATCATAGTGGTAAAGTGTAACATGTGGTTCGATTCCTGTTAAATATTTTTGGCAAAGACTCTCTAAATATTGAATTGGCTTTAGTTGAGTAAATGAGTACTAAGACAAAAAAAAAAAAAACTCACCATGGATTAGTAGTTCTTTGATGAGGTTCTTGTAAAACAAAAGACCTTTTGGGTTAATGGGTCTTCTTCCATCTGAAGAAAAAAGGTTTTTAAAAGGTCAGGAACAATGTTGTTTAGTTACTTGCAAAGAAAGAAACAAGGAAGCTAGCTAGAGGCGTTACTAGGTAAAATTCTTGACCAAGAGATAGAGAATCTGAATGCTTCTAAGCCCATTTCTGCCATCAACTTAACATCTTCCTGCAAAAATTGACAACAACACATCAAATTTGAGAAAGAAAAAAACAGAGCTAGAGTTACGATAACTTCTTCGAAAAGTAAACAACAAAGAAACCTTGTACTTGTGATACCCATCACAAGCTATATCTCCTCCAACACTTTCATTATCTGCAATTTTCTCAAACAAGGGATCTATGAACTTCTTGAAACAAATTCTCCTATGTTTTTTTTTTTTTTTTTGAATTACTAAGAGGTTCTGGGTCTAAACCCGTACATTCCCTCGGATCACAAAAACTTACTACAGTGAGAGGTTGTATCCCAAACGCTTGGAGTTCTTCCATCTTCATCAACAGCTCCTTCCCACTATTTGATCCCACAAGTTCACAAACTATAAATCACTAAAGAAAGATAGAAAGAAAGAACCCAAAAGCTGACTCGAACCTGATAAGCAGAAGTGGCAGCACCAAAGATAAACTCCTTTGGAAAATCATTTCTTGTAAAGGCATCAGTGTGGCTTGTTGTTGCCAAAGCAATGGCCAGAAGAAAACTAGAAAACAGAGACAAGTGTTTCATTTTTTTGTTTGTTAATGTCTTGAGAGACTTCAAGTGAATTAAATAACTTTTAATGGTCCAGTCGTTTTCGTGGTCCATTGTGTCTTTCGTCTTCGTCTACTTGTAAGAACATGTGGAGCAGACTACTATATAATATCTTCTTTTCTTTTTTTTTTCCTTTTGTTTCTGTGAAATGTAATCCTTGCGATTTACCAAAGCTTACGTACATGCCAATATGTGTCAACTTCTTGTGTGACTAAAGAATTTTATATTTATATATTTATATGCTAATCTGAGTTAAAAAAAAAAAAAAAAAAAATTACGTACGATGGACTCTATATGATATAATCCTATAATGGCAGTACGTATGGCACACAATTTTTTTTATAAACTTTGAATTTTATGCTTTTGTTCGAGTGTCGTTATCATTAATATGTGGTTGCTCACAAAAAGCTTTACATGTATATCATTGATATGCAAATCTTTATCAAATTAAACCATTTGCCAACTCTTTGATTTTTTTTCCATAGAATATATATACATTACAGTGAAATGAACAAGTCAAAAGAATGACATCAGTTCAATAAAAATTTGTAATTCTCAATGATATATGAAGATTAAACAAGCAAAGCCAAAGATTGAGCATCCAGGGAATCGAACCCTGGTCAATACCGTGGGAGGGACTCATTTTGGTCTCACAAGTCACAAGATACACCATTTGAAATTTCACTTGAGTTTTTTTTCCATATGAATAAAAGAAATCAAACCAAATGAACAAGAATCGTTAAATATTGTAACATTACACTGAAGAAGAGCCAGAGAAGTTGTTTTGTTGCAACTGAGTAATAATATCTTGAGAAGCAACATCAATTGCACCATTGAGAAAACCAGTGTACCAAGAAGCAGAGAGCTTTGGAGTCCTCTTGAGACCAGGATCACTAAAATTCACATAGTACATTCCATAGCTTAGCTCGTATTCACTTATTATCTCATACACATCAACCATCGACCATACGAAGTAACCTCTCGTGTCTGAACCACTCCTGATCATTCAGAATATTTTTTTGAGTAACAAGATTGTCAAGTAAACCATAATTAAAGGTGGACATAAGACCACTAAAACAAATAGTGCTAATATGATGAAGTGAAAGACTAAGAAAGATAATTGTACTTGATGGCATTGAGCACAGCACCAATGTAAGCTTGTATGTATTCAAGCCTTGATGTGTCTTGTAGCATCGAATCGTGTTTCATGAGTTTACCTGTTTTTTTTTTTGTTTTTTTTTTTTAGTTGTGGTGTGATATGAAGAATCTTGAAAGCAAAAAGGTGTGATTTCAAGAAGACAAAAACAGAACAAGAAGACAAAACAGAATAAAGTGTACCATTTTCAAGAATGTAGATTGGAGGATTGTTATAGCTCTGTTTTAGATACTCAAGAACACCTTCAAGACCCCATGGAGTTGACTTAAACTTCAAGAAGACAATTCAATAAGGAATATTTCAAGATTCAAGACCCCATGGAGGCTTTTGACACAAATACATTTGAATTACTCACCGTGAAGGATGAAGAATTTCCAATGGCTGTGTCCAAAGAAGAAGAAGTTTTATCAGCTAAATCGAGTTTTGAAGCTTTTTTCGATTGGTGGATGATGAAAAAATAAACTAGGCTTACGGATCATATAAGCGCCAACGTCTGCAGAGAACACTTTGTTAGTGTTGAGAGGAAAGATAGGAGGAGAGGGTTGGTTTGTGACATAGAGAGTCATGTAGTGAATAATTCCTATATAGTCAGACGACCCTTTAACTTGTTCCGACTCTTCGGCTGAGAAAACCGGTAACCTCGACCCCAAGGTTATCTTCATTTCATCTGGATAGTCCCCAAATACCAATGGCTTCAACATCCTGAATCATCAATAACTTTTAGTGTTTTCAGATTTCTTGTTCCTCAAGTTATCAAAGAAATCTTCAATTCCTCACCAGCCAAAGAGGAAAGCTTTAGCTCTTTCAGTTGCGATTTCGTCGTCCTTGGAGTTTGTATAAGGTGATAACCCGAATGCAAATATACTCAAGCCTATGGATCCTCTTTGCTTACTCTGCACCACCATCATATAAATTACCTTCATAAAGATTTTATGGATTTTAATAGCAAAAAGATAAATATTGTATATACCTTGTACTTAAGTTTATACAAATTTGAAACAGAGGCATGAGCTAGCAACATGTTATGGCCTGCAATATATGTTTCCGTATATAAATTTCCAGTAGAACCATTGGTTGTAGTACAATGTCCAAAATTTACTCCTTGGCCATAAGAACCAATAGCGAAGATCGTAGCGTCGTTTATTGTCGTCCATAACTTCACATCCTCCCCAAACTCTCTGAAGCAAATGTCTGCAAAAGCAGTGAAGTCCTCTCTGCAATATAGCAAAATAAACAACATTTCTATTCATATTTAAGAAAAGTGACTTTGTTTAGAACACAATCTTCTTTGATCGCTTTACATGATTTTGCGGTTGGTCCATCCTCCGTACTCATCTTCAAGAGACTGAGGAAGATCGTAATGGTAAAGCGTGACATGTGGTTCGATTCCTGTTAAATTGTTTAGGCTTTAGTTGGGATCAAGTATGAAAGACAGAAGGAAAATAAAGTATTAAGACAAAAAAAATCCTCACCATGGCTTCGTAGCTCTTTGATGAGGTTCTTGTAAAACAATAGACCTTTTGGGTTAATGGCTCCTCTTCCATCTGGAAAAAAATACACATGAAGAAATTAGGGTTTTAAAGGGTTTTAGTATTACTTGCAAAGAAAGAAACAAGGAAGCTAGAGGGGTTTACTTGGTAAAAGTCTTGACCAGGAGATAGAGAATCTAAATGCTTCTAAGCCCATTTCTGCCATCAACTTAACATCTTCCTGCAAAAAATTTACAATAACACATCAAATTTGAGCCAGAGATTTACGATAACTTGTTCGAAAAGTAAACGGCAGAGAGAAGAGAAACCTTGTACTTGTGATACCCATCACAAGCTATATCTCCTCCAACACTTCCATTATCTGCAATATTTTCAAACAAAGGATCTATGAATCTATTGAAACAAACTCTCCTAGACCAGTACATTGACGACCACGTTAGCAAAGAAAAAGACTTACTACAGTGAGCCGTCGTATCCCAAACGCTTGGAGTTCTTCCGTCTTCATCAACAGCTCCTTCCCACTATCTTATCCACAAGTTCACAAAATATAACACTAACTAAAGAAAAAAAAAAGAAAGAACTCAGAAGCTGACTCGAACCTGATAAGCAGAAGTGGCAGCACCAAAGAGAAACTCCTTTGGAAAATCATTTCTTGTAAATGCATCAGTGTGGCTTGTTGCTGCCAAAGCAATGGCCAGAAGAAAACTAGAAAACAGAGAGAAATGTTTCATTGTCATTTTGCTTTTTTGTTAAGGACTTTACAGACTTCAATTGAATAAATAAAATTTTAAGTGGTTGTAGTCGTTTTCTTGGTCCATTTAGTCATTCGTCTTCTTCTACTTGTAAGAACATGTGAAGCAGATTACAAGAATATCTTTTTTTTTTTCTTTTTCTTTATGTTAGGTGTGATCCTTGATCCTTCACCAAGTGCTAATAGCTCAATTAGTAAAGATCTCTGTAAAATCTTATAGGTCGCCGGTTCGAGTAGCGCTTTGGACGAGACCATATTACTTGTTTTGGTCTCGGACCTAAAGGAATGTATGGATTTCGGACCAGAACCTTTTTGATTATTAAAAAAAAAAAGTTTGATCCTTGCCATTTGCCAACATAATGAAAATTTGGTTGAATTTTTACATTTGAAAATTATTTTTGGAAAGATATTATTTGTATGTACCATATTGAAAGAAGAGTGAGGGGGGTTTAATGATGATGACCCTCTTGGTATGATATGTAGAATTGGGTTATAGGCAAGACAGTGGTGAGTGGACCATTCCAACAAGCGAAAACAACGAGAACCTACACATGTCTAATTAAAAATCTCAAACAAGAATCAAATTCTACTTGGTGTGACTGAAATATTTTAATTTATAGTTTTAATGTTACTAGTATTTAATTAGAGCCTGCGTATTAAATTTTGAACATTGTTCATGTTATTTATGAGAATTTCCCAATAAAATTTTTAAAATAATATAGTATTTAGGTGTGAATGTGCAAAATAGTATACTTTTGATAAATCGCCAATTGATACGTTTCCTAAATCTTAGGGATATTATAAAATAAAATATACTAAAGATATGTCACGAGGGGTAAAAAAAAACCCTAACATGTTGGCCTCTATATAAATCTATGGGGAAGAATCTTCACATACAATTCGTAACATAATACTATCGATGGATGACCTAAAACCCTCACCGTTCTACATGTACAGGCTCTACTTCAAGGGTTTTGTGAACGACGAAACGAATGGATTCGGGGTTGCAATTTGCGACCAACAGGACAATCTCTTGTATCATATCAAGGGTTCACGTCATCATGAAGACTCCACTATAACAGTTTTGGAGGCTGAGCTTACGGCGTTGAAGCGAGGACTAACCGAAGCAGTGAGTGTAGGGATCAAGCATATCTCACTATATTGTGATCATGATCAGATCTTTGAACTGGTAAGTTTTTTTTTTGCTTTTTAACGTTCACATGCTAAATCAAATTGGTATTTACTTGTTTTGCAAGGTAACGTAGTCTAAAGTTTTAACTATATAACGTAGTCTCGTCATGTCATACAAAATATTTCAATTTATTAGGGTTTCATTATATAAAGTTCCTTTGAAAATATAGGTCTTGGGGATATCCCCGGCTGAGAAAGATACCATTGCCTTGCATGTGGATGATGTGCAACGTATAAGACAACAGTTTACGTCTAGCACTCCTGTTCTGATGACTAGAAACCAAGCTAAGTTTGCTTATAACCTTGCAATGGAAACAACAGTTTCTGAAATCAGCATAGATAGGTCTGATCAAAGGAAGACTTGCAGTACTTGTTTCAAGAATGATGAGCATATGTTTTCAGTTGATTCATGTGATCATCAGTTCTGCATGAAATGCGTGAAAGGCCATATAGAAGCGGGACTACTCGAGGGAAGCGAGATGAGATGTCCTAATAACCAATGCGAGTCTGAGCTAACACTTACAAGCTGCGCCAATCTTTTGACACAAGAACTAAGAGAGATATGGGAACAAAGGATCAAATCAGAGGAAACAGTTCTTGTGGTGGAAACAGTTCGTTGCCCAAATCCAAAGTGCTCGGCTTTAATGTCGAAAACAGGAGATGGAACTATGAGATGCTGCTATAAATGCCGTAAACCCTTTTGCATCAACTGCAAAGTTGAGTGGCATAGTAACATGTCGTGCGAGGAATACAAGAGGTTAGGTCTAAAGAGGTTAGGTCTAAATCATACTACAACGATGTTGCGAGCATGCAGAGAGTGCAAAAACGTGATCGAGCTACCAAAAAATCGCGTGGAAGTAATAACTTGCAGGTACGTACATATATATATTGTCTCTAATCACAATCTTTACTTACTATATATATATAAATATAGAATTAATTACTTTACGAAGTTTACTAATGTTTTGTAATTGATATGAATAGATGCGGATATGAGTTTTGCTACACATGTGAAACCGAGTGGACGGGACGAGGTTGTGCTCATCGAAAAATGAAGCTTGCGGATTGGTTACCATCCCTAGTTATGATAAGCACTTGTTTTGTTGTTGCAAAAATTTTCGAATACCGAGAGAAACTTTAATAACATATATGGTATTTTTTAGATTGTTCTATCTTGTTATTAGAAGACTGATCTACGAAAGGTAATTCATTTCCGCCATGTTGATTCTGATTGGTTTATGTTATAATTAGAGTTATAATTTTACGTTTGTGTATTTATTTATAAAACGAAGATCAAAGAGAGACACAAACATAACAATTGAGGATGGTTAGTGATGAATCTTTACAGTGAGAAGAAAAATAAGAGAAATTAAACAAAATTCGAGAAATTTAGAAGGCAATTTGAATAGTGACAAGTGGTTGATTTCTAGATGATCGTCTCTTACGAAATTTTGATTTTGATTTTATTTTAATTTTTATATGTGGTGGCTTTATCAATGACTAGAGTAAAATAACAAATTTGTATGTTAGATACTTTTGGCTTTGATGAGGTCGAGTGTTAAAATAACAAATTTTAACAAGTTATTTCGTTTTCACGTATGGATTTGGATGAGTGTCTCGTCCTGTGCCTTCAACCACATTATATACATTGTAGGAGATGATAAATACATACAAGTGGATAGTGGAAGACCCATTATTTTATATTTTTACAATGATCAATATATAATTAAAAATATAACTACTCCAAATTTTGGAAATAATCAAATAATATATTTATTCTGAAAAGATAACCACAAGATAAAGTTCAATATTTAATTAAGAGTCCAACGAATTAAAACGAAATCTATAAAAGTATAGGGGTCAAAAGTTAAGTTCAGTATGTATGTTATGGTTGTGTCCTTGGTTCTGCAATAGGTTCATATATGGCTGTGCGAAATGTAAAGATGGTGTAAGTCATTTGGTGTAATATATAAAGCTACTGAGATTGGAATACTAAATTAAACTTAACTAGTACTTTGACATACATGGCATTGTTATAAAACAAAACAAAATAGTTAAATTTAAAAAAATAAACAAAACAAAAAATAATAACTTAAAAAATAATAACTTTAAAAAATAAAAATAAAAATAAATAATAATAATAATAATAATAACTTCTCTAACAACTAACAAAAACTGTTAAAAATTAGGTAATACGATTTGTATAAACTATATATAAGAAAATACACCACAAAAGAAAAATACACTAATATATCTTCAATAAAGTGTAGAAACTAAAACATTGCATACATTTAACCAATTATACAATTAGCTCTACCCGATTTAATTGTAAAACTTGTGTAATAATAACAATGATACAAAGTTACAAACAATCACACATATTTATCTATTTTTTCTTTCAATGCAATTCTATATTTTATCATTGTATACGTAGCAATTTTTATGACTAATCTAATTAAAAAGTTATATTTTTAATAATTATATTATATTCAACAAAAAAGAAATTTTAAAAATATCATGCAACATCGCGCGGATCCTAACTAGTTGATATTAGTGTTCGTATCATTTTGTTATAGTTTACAAATTTTTATAATACGCTAATACTGTTTGTAGGATCATGTGATTATTTTATCTCGTTACACAGACTTACAGTGTCACATGTGGGATTGTAGACTAAGGATTATGATGTAACAAAATTTTACACAGCATATAACTAAATCAACTTTTTCAAAAAATTCAAGGATAACAAATGTACATATGTCACAAATTAAATGGTTATCATTATTAATTAATAAAACAAATATGACGTTGTATATTTTCAAACAACTTTAACTGAATCAAGTTAGTAAAATGGTGTAATTGATCTCTCTTTTTATGTGTTTTTTTAATCTGTATTGGAATCAATAAAAAAAAATCATTGGAAAGTAATGATACTTAAGAAAACTAGATATAAACAAATATACAAATTTAAGAGGCTATCGCTAATTATGTGTTCTTATGCCACAAGTGCAAGTTTTTTTTTTTTTTTTTTTTTATAAAAGCTCAGTGCAAGCTAAGAACGACCTCTAAGAAAGCATAACAATTTCTTTTTTTTTTGTCATCTTTGATTAGAAATCAACCATCATCAATTTAATTGGTTTCTCAAATGTCATTTTGTTCATCCAAATTTTTCAAATTGCACATTTTATACTATGTATTAAATAAATGATTATATTCTAATAATAATGGTACGGCTTCATAAGAATATTTAAGACCATCCCATCAAACTATGACAATATATTTTTGAGTTCTAACCAATAAGAACATTTCCCATCGGTAATATTTTCGTAGAATTCTCATATCTAAAAAAAAATAAGTAAAAGCTAAAAAACCTAATGAAGAAAGAATGACAAAAGTATCTCATTTAAATATTTTTTAGATACTAAAAAATGAGAAATCAAACTCGGATTGATGATGATGCTCACTTGCTCAGTAATAAAATTGAATTGTGAAATCAACAAAAATCAAAGACTAAATATATACTTTCATATACTGGACTCACACCAATTTTAATAACGTCACTATGCATTGTAGGCTTGGTTCATACAGCCCATTAAGATAAGAATAGGCCCAAATCGAATGGTACGTGTATCTCACGGTTCCTCTTTCACCCAGGTATTCCAAAACTTGCTAAGTGCAACAGAACATTCATAATCCTGTAAACTGTATTCAAATTGAGTAACGAAAACATCATCATTTTAAAATCACGTATCAACAACGTACATAGCTCTTGTGTTTTGACCCGAAAGAGAAAGACAATGCTGCAAATCTATAGCCACAACCACTAGTAACAAACCCTAGAAATTGAGACGGCTCTACAGTCAAATGATACCTTAACTTCACTCCTATCCAAAACAATCATTGTCCACCAAAGAATGCACTAAACAATAGATCTCGAGTTTAACCTAGAGAGAGACAATGGTAAAAACTAAAGCTGCTAGGAACAGTCCTCAGAAATTGAGAGCCTTCTGCAATACTTCCATCAATACCTTCGTCACTCCTAAGCAAACCAATCAATCTACACCAAATATTTTTCCTTTCACCATTAACAAGACTTGGTTCTTCCCATACAAACGCCAACTTCCCATAGTATTCACCCATAGCAACACATCCAGATTTCCCAAGATCAAGACCATTAACCACTCTCCATACCATCAGCTTAGTGTCGTACCACATTAAACCGAGTCTTGAAAAGTAAACGTAGAGCACATTGTCTATAACACACACTCCTGTCTTCCACCATTTGTCATCAGGCAACTCAATTCTCTCACAAGAACCATCTCTAGTATCGTAACAAGTCATGCCTCCTAGACGAAAGCTTAAAGCACAAACCTTCTTGTCTACTGAAACCTTCGCTGCAGTGATCCATGTGAAACAACCTCTTTCCTCAGGGACTGGAGCTGCTTCCCAAGTTTGCGTCTTTAAGTCAAATACTTCCGCGGGAATCTCGTTTCCTCTGTACCCTCCGATCACATAGATCTTACTCCCGACTAAGCCTACGCAGTTGTACCTTCGCCTCACTAGCATTTGCGGTCCTTGACGAACAATTCTTGATTTGGTATCAAAGATCGAAACGCTTGATGAGAGAGTATTAGTTCCGGATATAAAGAAGATCTCAGAACCAACGGCGAGGACGGAAGAAGAGTAACGACAAGGATCAGGAAGCAAAGGGACATCGATGGAGACGAGGTCATTCTTAGACGTATCGTTCTTACACCTGCCGAGACTGAACCAGTGAAAAGTCTCCGGTCGTTTTGTTTTGTCGATGAAGGAGATGTAAAGAGAATCTTTTCGATGTGAAGATCGGTTCTTGAATATCGCAGGCGAGCGAACAAGACTCCTCATCTTCTTGGAGACGCAACAGAGGATTGGGTAATACCGTTTTGGTACGCAGCCTAAGATGGTTAGAACGATGTCCTTTGGCAGTGAAAACAATGACGGCGGATGGTTTGTTATTAGCGGTGGTTCGTCGGAGTTAGACATCGGAGAGTTATTAGGAGGAAGACGAGAGAGAACAAGTGAGTCAACTTTTCATAGGATTTGAGATTTTATTCAATTCGGTTTCACTTATATAGCCAAAAACCAAAATCCGGTTAGACGGTTAAAACCGGTTTATATAATGTTGTCTAGAACTCGGTATACTCAAAGATCACCAACGTTGTTTATAATGTACATAGTTGTTGAGACTTAGCTTTAAAGATCAAACTCTGTTAACACTCTCTCTACTACAAGATCAAATTCCTATAATGAAACATAATCTGCAAGAGTTGTTCATAGGAAGAAGCACATTAAGATATACAAAAGCTAGAGATTTGAGTAAACCAGTCAAAGAACATGGCATAGTACCAATCTTTCTCTTTTGCTTCTTAGTCTTTGAAGGAGGCTGTAAAACTACTTTTTTTAGCTACCAATAGTGTTTTTAAGCTGCACTCAGTATATGCTAATGCTCCTGTCTCCTTTCTTAGCCATTGACCCTAAAAATAAACAATCTTTCAAGGTTATAAAAGGGTTTGGTTCTTGATCATATACATTGCAAAACAATCTTTTAAAGAAACATACTTGTTCTGAGGAGATTAGTCCTGAGCGTACCTGTATTCGGTTTGGTTCCGGATATATTCAGAAATGGTCGAGGTCCTTAATAGGCCAAGAACAAGCTAGCTCATCACAAATTATACAAATTGATTTAGAATAAATTAAGCATATTAAGTTGTTACTACTTTTAAGAAAAAAGATTCATAAAGTATATTGTTATTAACATTTTTTAGCTTTGATTCTGATAGAGAATTGAATGCTGTGAAATTAATTAAGGGTTTATGGTTTTAGGAAACGGGTGAGTAACGATAAAGATACGTTTCCCAAATTTGGGGGATATTGTAAAATCTGTAAAATTTGGTGAGTACTAACTAAATTTTGAAACTCGAGTGGTAAAACCCTATTGTTCTTCTTTTTTTTGCCTCTATACCTTATTTTGGCTTCAGAGACAACTCGCAGCATATGGGTGCCCTAAAACTCTCACCACCGTTCCACATGTACAGGCTTTACTTCAAGGGTTTTGTGAACAAGGAAACAAAAGGATTTGGGGTTGCAATTTGCGACCAAGAGGATAACCTCTTGTTCCATGTCAAGGGTTCACGCCATCATGACTACTCTACTATAACAGTTTTGGAGGCTGAGCTTATAGCGTTGAGGCGAGGACTAAGCGAAGCTGTGGCTTTAGGGATCAATCATATCTCATTATATTGCGATCATGATTAGATCTTCGAATTGGTAAGTTTTTTTAATTCTAGCTTTTAAGGGTTCACATGCTTCATCATATAGGTCATCAATGAACACTTTTACTTGTTTTGCAAGCTAACATGTAGACGGCTCATACTAAATATTTCAATTTTTTTAGGGTTTCATTAGATCTCGTTTGCCTTGAATTAATGTAGGTCGCGGGGATATCCGCGCCTGAGCAAGATAACATTGCTTTTGTAATGGATCATGTGCAACATATTAGAAAACAATTTACATCTACCACTCCTGTTCTGATGACTAGAAACCAAGCTAAGTTTGCTTATAAGCTTGCAATGGAAACAAAAGTTTCCAAAGTCACCATAGATCATAGGCCTAGCCCTGCTGAGAGGAAGACTTGCGTTATTTGTTTCAAGGATGATTTCAAACCGGAGGATATGTTCTCTATTGATTTATGCGGTCATCATTTCTGTGTGGAGTGCATGAAACAACATATATCAGTGAGGCTACTCGAAGGAAGTGAGATGAGATGCCCTAATTATCAATGCCGTCATTATTATTGCACGTCCAAGTTAACTCATGAAAGCTGTGCTAATCTTTTGACACCTGAACTAAGAGAGATGTGGGAACTAAGGATCAAAAAGGAAACTGTTCCTGTGGCTGACAAAGTTTACTGTCCTAATCCAAGGTGTTCGGCTTTAATATCGAAAACAGGAGATGGAGTTAGGAGATGGTGTACTAAATGCGGTAAACATTTTTGCATCAACTGTAAAGTTCAATGGCATAAAAAGAAGTCGTGCGAGGAATACAAGAAGTTAGGTCCAAATCCTAACACTACAAGAATGTTGCGAAAATGTAGTAAGTGCCAATACATGTTCAAACTACGAAAAGATAACATCGACGCAGTAACTTGCAGGTATCATCATCATCATCATCTCTAATGATCATAACTATGATTGGTTCCTTTTCAAATTTTTATTTCGTTTTCGGCTTATATTAACATTATAATTTTCATTGGTTGGTATGAATAGCTGTGGATATAAGTTTTGTTACACATGTGGAGCTGAATGGAAGCGAGGAGGTTGCTCTCATCGTGAAAGGAGGTTTTGGGAGTGTAGTGACATTTATGGTCTCATTGGGATTTTTATGGTTGGTACAGCTTTTGCTATTCTCAAGTTTTCAGATTCTCCAAAAAAACATTGATAACACTTAAGTTTCTTTCTCAACAGAATAAGAATAATAATAACACATTTCTTTTTTTTTAAAAGTTTTTCATGTGTTGCTATTTATAAAAAGATTTTTCATGTGTTGCTTTTACGTACGTCTCCTTTACGTCGGTTATGATTGGTTCATCTAATTAATAGTTATATTTTCATTTGATTGTTCATGTTATAGTTCTAATGATTTACCATAAGACAAAAAAGAAAAAAAAGGTTGGTTGCTTTTACGTATGTTTTTAGTAGCTCATCTTCTTCACGAAACATCTTCCAAAACCCCTTCAGAGCATTCCACTCGGCGTACTGTACTATTCATGCAACTGTCTCAAAACTATGAATCTCACATATTCAAGTGAGAAGAATTGAACAAAGCAGAGAACAGTTTTTTTTTTTTTTTCTTTACATATTCTTCTTAACTTTGGGCCACTTTTTCAGTAGTTTAAAATTTTTCTTTTGGGTTTTGATGATGACTTAAGTAATTACTGGCCCAACACGTTTACAGCTTTGTTTCCTTTTTCTATATGGTTCAGGTTTGCTTTACTCCAACTCCTAATTAATTTCGGTTTTCGATCTTATTCTAGTATTTAAGGAGAACTTATTCTCAACCTTTTCCTTCAACTCACTACCACTTTTGCTTCTTGAGATCGATTCAGTCTTGGCTAGAACCTCAGTACGTAGTGTTCTTGCTATATATCGTTGCATAGGTGGCTAGGGTTTTCTGTGCTAGACGAGAAAGGTTTGAGGTAGGTTTTTTTTAAGGTGAGAACTTTCGACTAATGGGTAGGCACGATAGTTCCTCTGAGGAAGAGGAGAGATATAGAAAGAGAGATAGGAGAAGAAGACAGAAACACAAAGACAAACGCAGTAAAAAGGATGTTTCAAAGCCCAACGTGCCAGAACTGAATGATAACAATGGTAAGGCTTTGGGGAAAACAGGAGGAGTTTATATTCCACCGTTCAAGAAAGAACGTATGATCATGAAGGAGGTTAAAGATAAGAGCAGCGTAGAGTATCAACGTCTTACATGGGACGCTCTTCGTAAAAGTATCAATGGGCTTGTCAATAAGGTTAATGCAAGAAACATCAAGAACATAGTTCCTGAACTGTTTGCTGTAAATCTCATCAGAGGAAGAGGACTGTTCTGCCGTTCTTGTATCAAGTCTCAAATGGCATCTCCTGAATATACTGATGTCTTTGCAGCTTTAGTCGCTGTGGTTAACTCCAAGTTCCCTCAAGTTGGTCTACTTTTATTGAAAAGGGTTGTTTTGCAGCTAATGAAAGCGTATACGCGTAACGACAAGCCTCAGGTTCTTGCTGCTGTTAAATTTATAGCACATCTAGTAAACCAGCTAGTTGCTGAGGAGACCATGGCACTTGAGTTAGTCACTCTACTTCTTGAAGACCCGACAGATGATAGTGTCGAACTAGCTGTTGTGTTGGTTAAAGAGTGTGGCGCAAGGCTTCAGGACTTTGCTCCAAAAGGACTGAATGGGATTTTTGAACGGTTTCGTAGTATACTACATGATGGAGAGATAGATAAGAGTGTTCAGTACTTGATCGAAGGGCTCTACTTTGCGAAATTTCCGGGACATCACGCTGTTCGTTCTGAGTTAGATCTCGCCGAAGAAAAATACTCGCATTATATCTCTCTTGAAAAAGTAATAGATCCTGAAACCGTTCTTGATGTTTTCAAACCTGATCCTGACTTCCTCGAGAACGAAAAAAAATACGTGGCATTCAAGAATGAGTTACTTGCTAAGGAAGAAATTGGCTATGATGCTAGTTCAGAGGAAGAAGATGATGAGTTTGATGAAAATGAATTGGGAGACGAGGCTGAGACTAATCTTGTTAATCTTAGGAGGAAAATATACCAGACCATTATGGCCAGCATTGATTTGGAGCAAGCAAGGCACAAGTTACTTAAACTTAAACTTGAACCAGGTCAAGAGATGGAACTATGTATAATACTTCTTGAATGTTGCGGTCAGGAGAGAACTTATCTGCGTTACTACAGTTCGTTGGGTCAGCTTATCTGTATGATCAGCAAAAGTTATCAAGAGAATTTTGAGAAGTGTTTCGTTCAGCTGTATTCGATGATCCATTGTATCGAGACTAATGATTTGCCTAACGTTGCTAAGTTTTTTGCTCATTTACTTGCCACAGAAGCTATCTCCTTGCGTGTGTTTTCCTACATTAGGTTAACCAAGGAGGACACAACCTCTTCATCTCGTATCTTCTTGAAGTTCCTTTTTGGGGAATTGTGGAAACAGTTGGGGATTAGGTTGCTTAATAAGATGCTTCAGGTTTTAACAATGCAAGACTCACTTGAATCTATCTTCCCTAGAGATAATCAAGAGAACATGAGGTTGTTAATCAGTTTCTTTACCTCCATTGGTCTAAGTGGCATCACTGAGCATCTCAAAGAGTATATGAAGTACATGCAACACCTCATTAACATGCAACAGCAGGTGGAAGATGCGGAAACAGAGCCAAGATTGTCTTCAGGATCTGACACTTTTGGTTCCGAGTCTGATTCTGAGTCAGACGACTCATCATCTTCTGGTTCTGAGTCGGGCTCATCTTCTTCTGGTTCTAATTCTGACTCATCTTCTTCTGATTCTGAATCTGAAAGCGACAGAGAGAAGAGGAAGCGAAGAAGAAGAGGTTGAATAAGGCTGTTTTTGTGTGTTGTCACTACGCACAGTTCTTGAAAATTTTCATGAATCACATATTAACTTTGATTTTTTTTTTTTTGGTGTATTGGGATTTTATTTGGGATTAATTGGAAAATTAGTACGTTTTTTAAAAGTAATATGTAAACTAATACATTTACTATTTGTTATTAGGAAAATAGTCACTGGTCCCTACCGTGTGAAATAGAGAAGATGTGAGATAGAAAATGAAAGGGAAAAAAATGACAAAGGAGGGCAATTTTTATCGGTTTGGTTTTTTGTTTTTTTTTTATATTTTATTTCTTTGAATATGTTTACCCCATGAATCTAATAACTTACATATTCGTTTTTGTACTATTATTTTCGTAAAAAATTTATGATACACAAAAATCTATGTTTTTTCTCTATAATTTGATATGAATTTTGTTTAAGAAATTTTAAATTTATTTCATATGAATATATTTATTTGTACAGTTTAGTATGTGTACAGACGTATTTTGTACAGTTTAGTATATGTACAGACGTATCTGTACATTTAATTGGATGTATAGATGTATCCGTACAGTTTACTAAGTGTACGGTTGAATAAAAAATTACACATTTTTATCCTTACAGCTATTATAGTATACCAAAATATGCATATTTACGTATATTTGTACAGTAATAATTTATAAATGTAATTAACTTCATTTTCAAATTTTAATTACGTATATTTCTCAAAGTTTCTTGAATGTTTGTTTATGTGCCAAAAATATTATAGTAAGCTCATGATCATGTCTAAGCTTCTTTAATGGAGTGGTTTTTTCTATATTGCTAGATCATCATCTTACAAGGGATGCTCTCCATAACAATATTATTGAATTGGTGGATGAAGAGATGAACTTACCGGAGAAAGGAAAATCCAATGACGATAAGATAAGAATCAGAAGTCTCATCATAACACCAAGGGCTATACAAGAATAAGTTCAAACCTCACCTAACTCTTGGACGTACTCTGCAAGTTACAAACTCGATCGTGCACTCAAGATTGATGCATAGAGACAAGATAATGATATCAGGCCTACCACAATTAGCCAAACTCTGTTTTTCCTCAAAACTGAGCACGAGTGGCCATTGCAGTGAGTGTGCATCTGAAAAATGTAAACGATTGATGGCTCGGTAGAGCAAAGTTCAAGTTTGTTTTCTTTATGTTTTCCAAAAGTAAACACACGAGTGAACAAAACAGAGAAAGAGACAGAGAGACAGAAAGCAAAAGCCATACGACTATATGTTTTACGGTTCTTGCATATTATAAATCTCAACAGATTAAGTTCAGGACATGCATAGTTAACACGGTCTGTGGCTTTTGTAAAATTACCATGACAAATCATTGGAAAGGCTTGAATAGTCGAATAGAAACTTCACTACCTAAAGAAAATTCATTCATCACCATATCCGGCAAAAATAACAATTTCTATAGATTTTGTTTGTTTTTTCTTCTACAATTTTAATTTTGTTTTTGTAACTTTTATTTTTCCATTCTTTTTAGTATGGTTTCTATTGCTTATTATTGTTATCCCTTTTTGGATATGAATTTGAAATATTTTATTATATTACAATTTCTTTTGGTTTACATCTATATACTTTAATTTATCTACATCATTAAATAATATTTTTTTTTATTTTATCAAGATAATCTAGAATAAGTAATCAAATTTAATATTTTGAAATTTTTAATTATTTTATATAGAGAAGAAAATTAATAAATTTATATCTATATAACCATAATAACTATCATATATACATACAATATCAAAACTATATAAGGGATACATTGTTACAATTTACTTTAGAGTTATATACATATTTACTTACATTTACAAATGTAAATTTAAATAAATTAACAATTAATTATAAAGATATTTAAATCTTTAATTAATACATCATTTAGATATAAAGTGATTTTATCTAGTTTGAGTATTACTTTTCCTTTTCATGTCCAATAAAATCCGTGTCTTAAACTTTTCTGGTTGATATTTAATGTATATGTTGTTTTCAATCATATTATACTCATAAAACACAACCAGAATATATTGGTTATTCAACCTATTTAATCATCTAATCATTTGTTTTTCTCGGATCATCATCTAATATGCTATAACTTTGCAATGGAATCAGCAGATTCTGAAATCAGCTTACTCTTGGATCCTGTGACTTGCAGTATATGTTTTGATGATGATTTTAAAGCTGAGGAGATGTATTATGTTGCTTTATGCAATCATCGTTTCTGTATGGAATGCATGAAACGATACATTGAAGTGAGCCTACTCATGGGAACTATACCGACTTGTCCTTATTATCAATGTGAGTCTAAGCTGACTCTCAGAAGTTGTGTCCATCTTTTGACACCTAAACTAAAAGTTTTGTGGGAACAAAGGACTTTAGAGGAATTGGTTCCATTAACAGAGAGAATCTACTGTCCAAACCCGAGGTGTTCGGCTTTAATGTCGAAAACCGAGGTCTCTAAATCTACCGAAGAAGAGAAATCTATGAAATGCTTCAAATGCGGGGAGCTATTTTGCATTAACTGCAAAGTTCCATGGCATAGTAACTTGTCGTGTGCTGATTACAAGAGAGTATCTACCAATCCTACATCAGAAGATATGATGCTAACAGTTCTAGCAAGTGAAGAATTGTGGCGTCAATGTGAAAGGTGCAAACACATGATCGAACTTTCAGAAGGATGCATCAAATTAACTTGCAGGTGTCATCTCTAATCATATTCTCTGTTATAATCCATTCAAGTTTGATTACAATTTTGCCTGATTAACATAAGATATACATGGTTAATTGGTGGATATATTAGATGTGGATATTCATTTTGCTACACATGTGGAGCCGAATGGAAGCAAGGAGGTTGTCCTCATCGAAAAAGGATAATTAGGGATTGTGGTATTTGTACTTTTTCCTTAGTTGTTCTTGTCATTATAATATTTCTTTGTGTTCATAATTCATAAAAGAATAAAACAATCGGGCCGGGTTTGTAGATTGTTCATGACCATAAAGGGGGAAAAGTATATAACCATAAGAAAACAAAACGTGGGAGGTTAAGTCAGATGAATTAACTTTGTAATATTTGTTTCAAACCTCATCTTGATTGGTTTTGCTTTATATATTTTCTTTTTTACATAAATCAGAACATGTTGTATATGGTTTCGTTCCAAACTCTATTCAAACCGGCGATTTCTAGACTTTTCCTAGAAATCTTTACCAATTGGGCTATTAGCTTTATATCTCCAATATACAACCGGATCTATTTATTATTTCAAATTATGAATACATTTACATAGACGGTTCTACCGTGTTGCTTTTAATTTTTTTTTGACGGATGATAAATAATACTTTTGTATATAAAAAAAAGGAAATCGTTTGTTAATAATATATGTGCAATAACCTTAAAATATCGTTAAAAAAAAAGAGCTAGGACCTTAGAAGTATCAAATTGTGTCCATGGGTAAAGAAGAGTACAAAACAAATAGATATTACACACATTCTCATTTATCATTACATATTTACTTATTCTCATTCCTATAGAATTTAAAAAGTTGAACTTAAAAAAATAAAATAATTGGTCAACTAATCGAAACTTCATGAACAAGAAAACTGAACAATGAATTACAAAACAACTTTTGAATCCCAATCATGTTTTAAAAAAAAGATTACTCTACATAATGATATACGAAACTGTTAAAAGTAATTATATAAAAAAAAAAGAAAAAAAGAAAACACCAAGTGTATTGGGATATGATTAACTCGAATCATTATACAAACATATCCAAAGATATACATTTCCTCTTTTAATTTGGATTCTTGTTTATTTATTCTTATAAATCTTAAAGACTCTTAGACCAATCTCCTCCAAGACTTTGTGTAACATAGGAAGGTTCTCCCTAGAATGGCTGACACTGCAAAACCCTCACCGGAAAATTCCTCCGGAAACTTTAGTACTAGTCCTGATCAGTTGTGCAGCCTTTACTTCAAAGGTTTGGTAAGTGAGAACTTGTTGGCCGGATTTGGGGTTGCAATATTTGGGAAGAAAGATGATCTCTTGTTTCAGATGAAAGGACCAATCCATCATGACTCCACAATAACAATGTTGGAGGCTGAGGTTACAGCATTAACCCGAGGACTAACCGATGCTGCGAGTATGGGGATCACTCATATCTCAATCTACTGTGATTATCATCCAGTTTACGAATTTGTAAGTTTCGATAGTTTCTTTTTTTTTAAGTTAAGTATGTCATTAGTATTTGGGATGTTTTACAAGAATCTGAATATTTATATATCCTTGAGTTAGGTCATGGGAAGATACGTACCAGAGGATAACAAAACTGCCTTGCTAATGATGGATGTACAACGTATTAGACAAGGATTTAAGTCGAGCTTTCCGATATTCGTTGAGGGGAATAGTATAAGTTATGCATATAAACTAGCAAAAGAAACAATAGTTTCTGAAGTCAGCATACCTATACCTATGGATCCTCCTAAACAAGCCAAGACTACTACTCCAAAACTAACTTGCCATATATGTTTTGATGATGCTATTGACACTGATAAGATGTTTACGGTCGATAAATGTCGTCACCGATTATGTTTTGAGTGTTTGAAAAAATACATAGAGGTTAGGCTACTCAAGGGAAGTGTGGTTAGATGTCCTTATTACCGGTGCAAGTCTAAGTTGATTTTTGAAAGCTGTAAACATATTTTGAAACATGAACAAAGAGTGATGTGGCTAAAAAGGAAGAAAGATGATTCGATTCCTGTAACAAAGAGAATTTACTGCCCAAACCCGAGGTGCTCGGCTTTAATGTCGGAAACCGAGCTCTCTAAATCGACTGGAGGAGGTGAAGCTAGGAGATTGTGCTTAAAATGCCGTGAACTCTTTTGCATAAACTGCAAAGTTTCATGGCATAGTAACTTGTCCTGCCAAGCTTACAAGTGGTTGCATCCATATCCTACCGAAAACGATAGAAAGATTATGTCTCTGGCAAATCAGAAAGAGTGGCGTCGATGCGGAAAGTGTCAACACATGATTGAACGTTCTTCAGGATGCGTACAAGTAAGATGCAGGTATAACAATCTTTACTGATAACATTTTTCCTTTTGAAGTTGGTTATATATATATATATATATATGTTTTTAATCTGATTTCGTATTCTCTATATATTTTTTTTGATAGATGTGGATATAAATTTTGCTACCGATGTGGAGTTCAGGCTGGAGATTGCGATCATGGTCCTCCTCCAAGACCACCACCACCGCCGCAATCCACGGCAGACAAGAGTGTTTTATGCCTTCTCTGTATTTTACTTGTGGGTTTCTTGATTTATTGTTCAGTAAGATTTGTACAAATAAATAAACACAATTAAATAATAAAACATCTATATGGTTCCAACTCAGTTCAGTGTATAAGTTAATATACAACTGTATGCTTGTAAGCTTGTCAAAAAGCTTTCCCAGAGAGTGGGGAGGTGTAAGAATGGAGTCTAAGACTTGTTGATGAGGAGGAGAAGAACCAAATTGTAATTTCTGAATAAAGACTCTATATATGCAAAAGATCAGTAATGGGATTAAGTAAAGTTAGTAGCCTAAATTCTTCAATGCTAGTTTTATACACGGGCCAACAAGACTAGCATCATTTGAGGAGGTAACCGGATAAGTTATCGTGTACCATAATGTTTCAGTCTCTTTCTTCGCCATCATCATCAACCTAAGAAACGTAGTAAGAAGACAAACAAAAGCCCTAAAAAATTCCAAAATTTGGGCAAAGAAATCGCAGTTACGTGTGTTATAATTTACAACAGAAATCTTCTTCAATAAAACATTAGATAATCACTCGGAGGACGTTGAAATTATCTACTTCGCTTATTATCGAGTCTGAAACGCCAAAGAGAACAAGATGCAGCCACAAAGTTATTATCCCACACTACTCAAATGATGCGTCAAAAAGTTAGAGATATCTAATATTTTTTTAAAAAGTATAAAATTTTATAAAATTAAAAACATACAAAAATAATTACGAGGAGAAACTAAAAAGGTAGGTTACGAGCCTCTGAGGCTGTTATTATCAAGGCGTTACAAATGGTATCATAACTGATGTGATTTATCAGATCAGGTTAAGACCTTATCTTTTATAAATAAAATAAACAATTTCGTTTGATTTTTTAACAGGAAAATTAACTTACATTTTTCTTGTTTTTTTGTTACCTATTTATCAAATTTCTTTTGTGATATTTTTAGTACTTTTACATTTTATCCTTTTAAATATTCTAGAAAATTTAGAATTTACATATGTAAAGTTGTGTGTCGCGATAACCTAAATAAAATTCTAAAAAGTAATGATGTTGCTGCAGCAACTATGACATAAATTTCCCTTAATTATACTAGGAAACAAAAAGTTGTAATTTGCAAAAAAAGCAAATTCCAGAAATTCCCTTTATAATCCGTGAGACGCGGCCTTCTCTTTATACAAGAGATTGCGTCTTTCTCTTAGGGTTTCTTCTTTAGGCTCTGGTAATTTTTTAGTTCACGTTTCTAAAATTACGAAATCTTTCTTCTACAATTCGTTACCACTTTTGCTAGCTGATTCTCTCGTCTTTTTTGAATAGATTATGCAACGTATAAGTCAAGAATTTGCGTCGAGCTTTCAGATTTTGGTGGCCGCAAAGAGTCCTAGATATGTATGCTTATAAACTAGCAAAGGAAGCAATAGTTTCTGAGGTCAGTAGGCTTGTGAATCCTCCTCGCCAAGCAAACCCTAGTCGCAAAACGACTTGCACTATCTGTTTAGATGATAACATCGACACAAATCAGATGTTTTGTGTTGAAAAATGTCGTCATGAGTTTTGCTCCAAGTGCGTGGAACGACATATAGAGGTGAGGCTACTCGAGGGAAGTGTGATTAGATGTCCTGCTTACCGTTGCAAATCCAAGCTTACTTGGAGAAGCTGTGCCCATCTTTTGACACCTAAACTAAAAAAGATGTGGCAAGAAAGGATCAAAGAGGACAAAATTCCTATAAAAAACAGAGTTTACTGCCCAAACCCGAGGTGTTCGGCTTTAATGTCGAACGAGCTCTCCAAATCTGCTAAAATTTGGAGATACTTGTCTATTTCTACCAAAGAAGCTAGAGTTAGAAGACAATGTTTTGAGTGTGGTCAACTCCTTTGCATTAAATGCAAAGTTCCTTGGCATAGTGACTTGTCGTGCAACGATTACAAGAGGTTAGGTCCAAATCCTACAGAAGATGATATAAAGCTCAAAGCTTTAGCGAATAAGCAATTGTGGCGTCAATGTGGAAATTGCCAAGAAATGATTGAACGTTCGGAAGGGTGCATCAAAGTAACATGCAGGTATCATAATCTCTCTATTAAGTATTAATAACATTCAAGTTTGGTTATACATATATGTTTTAATCATTGCGTTTTCATTGTAGATGTGGACATAAGTTTTGCTACCAATGTGGAGCTAAGGCTGGTGGTTGCTATCATGGTATTTTGCATGAATATCCCCCACCACCATTGCGTTTTCATGGATATTTTTTCCGATGATGACATAATTACATTGTGAATACTATTTAACAATCTTATGAAAATTATATCAGCATACTTATCATAATAATCAAAATATGCAAACAATTTGAACCTGCACATCCATCAGTTAATTTATTTATTTAATTAATACATTTGCTGATATGGATGTTTAGTGAAATTATTTTCTGAAAACTTTACAAGAAGACTCAACTCTTTACACAAATACACAGTGATACACCATAACCATTAATTCCTTTCACCACAAAAAATGTCCGAAAAATCTTGAAACAAATCACCATATTTTTGGTGAAATAAATAAATTTTATTGACTTATCAACTAGATCATACTTTTCTTTTGTTGACTTCTCGTCAAAACAAGACCTATATACGGTAAAACCTCTATAAATTAAGAGAAATTGTTAGAAATACCCCTTTTGATATGTCTCTTTTTAAAAATACCCCTTTCTTTTGCTATTTTTATATCTACCCCTTTTTAATTTTAATGACTATTCTACCATTTTCTTTACACAAACCTTTCTTCTCAGAATTGACGATCCGCAATTTATTCTCTCTTATGCCGCCGCCGTCAACTTCACCGTCGCCGAAATCGGGAACTCATCATCGTCGTTTCTTTCTTTCTTCTTCTTCTTCTTCCTCTTCTTCTTCTTCTTCTTCTTCTTCTTCTTCTTCTTCTTCTTCTTCATCTTCTTCTTATTCTCAGATGCTACTGTAACTGCGATCCGTCGATCTCGTTGTTGTTGAAATTGGGCAACTCGTCGTTGCTGTAATTGGGAACCAGTCATGTTCAGTCTCGTGTTTATCATCTGCTATGTAAGTATCGTCCTCTTTAAACTTAGTAGGTGATAGATCTCGCTGGAATATGTTTACTTTTCTGGGAATTGAACTGGTTGTTGGAAGTTCTTTGATTGCTTAATTTCTATAATTTGTTAATTATGTTTCTAGTATTACCAATCTTTCATGTTCACGGGAAAATAAGATTTATTCACGAATTGTCAGTGTTTGGTTGTAGATCGAGAAGTCCATTGATATTATTTGATCATAATTTACTTATTGCTTTACTTCATAATAAACATAAAAGCGAGAATTCACATGTGTCTCTGTGCATGTGTGTTGAATGTTATATATGGACGTACAAGCAAGTAACACGCTTCTTGATTGTAAATATAAGGTACGCTTGGGAAGCCTAAGTCAGGCATATGCTCGAGTTGAGTCGTTGATGCGGATATCAACTTCACATTTGGCCATTACAAGGAAGCTATGAAACAGGTTTGGATATATATATATATAAGTAGTTTGGTATATATATTTTTTGTGATCCGTCTTTCCCTTTGAATTGTCACTTTTGTTACTCTAGGTATATAAAGAGTGATTTCAAGTTTGGATGACAAGAATATTAAGAGGTTACAATAATCTTTGGATTGGTGGGAGAAGAGACTGTATGATGTGTGAGAAAAGAAAGAAGATGAGGTTGACACTACAAAAATTGGAAGAGTTGAAAGGACACTGAGCTGAAGTGCTCATAATTAGAATCTCTAACTGAGCTGAAGTGCTCAGAAAGGACAGTAAACTAAAGTGCTCAGAAAGAGTGAAGTTTTCTTGTTTTGAAAGCTTCTCTCTTCTCTGATGATGTTGTTTAGTGTTCTTGCATTCTTAGGAGACTTGGATGATTGAATTGAATTGAATTGTTTGTTTTGAGTTGATGCTAATATGGTGGAATTGACGAATGTGGGTATCCAAGATCTGTAGTTATGACTTATGAGAGAGTTTAAATGACTGAAGTTCATGATTATAATACTCACATCTGTATTTGTAAAAGCAACAAGTCTTTGTGTGTATTCATTGATTTTAAAATATTGACTAATGTAAAACGTAATTATACTTGTTATTTATATATAAAAACCTTATAAAATCATTATAAAAATTTTGTAAAACTTTATGACTTGTAAAACTCTTTAAATAGATTTTAAAACTTTAATATGTCTTTAAACACTAGTAAAACCTTTTAAATATTTTTTAAACCATTAAAAACCTTATAAAAGCCATATAAAATCTTTATAAAAGCTTTGTAAAAAAATTTAAATAGTTTTCTAAACTATAATATATATATTCAACTCCTTATTAAATTTAGGGGGAATTTCAAAAATCCTTTTTTTCCAATACCACTTTTTAAAAATACCCCTCTTTCTAATTTTATCAAAAAGTCACAATAAAATTTGAAATTTATCAAAAACATATGTATAAAATTATATTTATAGACACAAATTATCTTTACATGTGTGTAAATATATATATATATTTCATAAGTACCGTATAAATACCTTTTAAAAATCATATAAAAGCTTATAAAACTGTGTAAACCTTTTAAAAACCTTATAAAAACTATATAAATGTCGTTTAGAACCTTTTAAAACCTTCTAAATATTTGGATTTAGTCTCCCAGTAGTAATGATGATCTTGATGTACCTTATCAACCTTATAAAAGTTTATAATTTTTCATATTTGAAAAGGGGTATTTTTGAAAATGAATAAAAACTAGGGGTATTTTTAAAAAAAGGTACACCAAAAGGGGTATTTCTCAAAAATTCTCTTAAATTTAAATACCTTGTAAAACCTTTTAAATACTTTTCAAAACCTTTTAAAAACCTTATAAAAGACTTGTAAAAAATTTTAAATAGTTTTTCAAACCTTTATATATATTTAAACACTTTATAAAACCTTAATTTTAAATACGTTATAAAAACTTTTCAAAACCTTTTAAGAACATTGTAAAAAAATTAAATAATTTTTTAAAACCTTATAAAAGCCTTGTAAAAATTATATACTTTTTCAAAACCTTTTAAAAACCTTCTAAAAATCTTATAAACCTTTTAAAAAAACCTTATAAAAGCCTTATAAACCTATAAAAATCTTTATAAAAAGCCTTGTAAGAAATTTAAATACTTTTTATAAGGTTTTTATATGGTTTTTATAAGGCTTTAAGTTTCTTAAAAGGTTTTAAAAGGTTTTTAAATGATTTTTAATACCTTGTAAAATTAAATACAAGAACTTTAAAAAGTTTTTATAAGGTTTTATAATGATTTTATAAGGTTTTTATATGGTTTCAAGTTTCTTAAAAGGTTTTTATAAGGTTTGTAAAAGGTTTTTAAATGATTTTTAATACCTTGTAAAATTAAATACAAGATTTTTAAAAAGTTTTTATAAGGTTTTATAAAGATTTTATAAGGTTTTTATATGGTTTCAAGTTTCTTAAAAGGTTTTTATAAGGTTTTTATAAGGTTTTTATAAGGTTTTACAAGGTTTTTTAAGGTTGTACAAGGATTTTAAATGGTTTTTAAAATGGCTTCAAAAGATTTGTAAAATGTTTTACAAGGTTTTTAAAATGGTTTTACAGGGTTTTTAAATGACTTTTAATACCTTGTAATAGTAAATACAAGATTTTAAAAGTTTGCATAAGGATTCAAAAGATGTTTCAAGGATTTAAAAGGTTTTGCATAAAGATTATCTACAGATGACAAACAAAGTTACAAAGTAATCAACCAAACAGTTACAAAATTATAATTGTAAGCCCTTTAATAAACAAACAAAAAAGTCACATACAGTTACAAAGTAATCAACCATAATATAATCACACAGTCACTAGATGACAAACAAAGAAGCATTGTTTTACTTTCTTATGAAACTAACGTTTGATATAAGCTTTCTACTAGTAGTTTTACTTCTCCACCAGTTTACTCAAGGCTGGCACTTACATTCTCTCCACCCCTCTTCGTCGAAAAATAATAACAAAGCTCCGAGCTTCTTGAACAATTCCAAATCTCCAATACATTCAACAATAATCCTGCAACACAAACTATGTATACATACAGTAAATTCAGAGCTTGTATATATGATTATACAAACATGAAATGAAACCAATGAAACATTCACTACCTTGTACTTGAAATACAAGTAAAAGGCCAGTTACTAACCACATAATCACTAGATGACAAACAAAGAAGCATATTTTCAACTTAAGCACCAATTTTCTTATCACATGAGTTTGTTTCTTAGTCTGAAACTATCGTTAGATATACCGCTTTCTACCAGCACTTCTTACTTCTCCACCAGTGTACTCAAGGCTGGCTCTCACATGTCTCCACTCCTCTTGGTCGAATACTAAAAACAGAGCTCGAAGCTTCTTGAATAATTCCAAAATTCTAATATCCAACAGTAATCCTGCAACACAAACCATGAATATATCTAGATCCTGCAAAATTCTAATATCCAACAGTAATCCTGCAAAATTCTAATATCCAACAGTAATCCAGCATCTCACTGTTATAGGAGAATCTAGGCCGTGATTTGATAGAGTGAAGCGAATAGGTGTGCTAAGCTTGACGAGATGCTGAAAGTGAGTTACCAGACCACGGCGAACTGAGCAGAGCACATTTCATCTCGCCATAGCACACCAAATCTCAGCACACCACGACCAAGCACAATGAATCACGACGGAGAACAATAAATTTAGGGGCTTGAAGGAACGTAGAGATAGTCGGCGGGATGAACTGTAAACTAGGATTCTCATAAATCAACATCAATGGATCGCCGTCGCCGTCTCGAGAGAGATGAGTCAGAGTCGGAGTCACCGTCGCCGTCTCGAGAGAGATGAGTCGGGTTTCGCCGTCGAGAGAGATTGGTGAAGAAGAGATTTTTTAGGTTAAAACAAATGAGGGCAGAATCGTCTTTTTGCACCAAAACAGGGGTAGTTTTAAAATTGCTCTCTCTATTGGGGTATTTTTAAAAATGTGATCCTCAAAAGGGGTAGTTTTAAAATTAGCCCATAAATTAATAATGTTGACACCATGAAAATCTATTAATTTATAAACGTTTTAATTTATCGATAAATTAATAATTATTAATTTATAGAGAGATTTTCCTAATTTAGAATTTTTTTAAAAAAAATATTTAAAAATAAGATTTAATCATGATAATTAGTATTTTATATAATAATTAGCAAAGAAAATAATAATTATTATGTCTTGAAAGAGAATTCTAACAATTTTTATATAGTAAAATATTAGAAATAAACTCTAACAAAAAATAATGTGTCTATATATACATGTATTTTGAAAATTTTACCTAATTATTAATTTATAATATTGATGGGACCATATATTTACAAATGATTTTCAGAAAAATTATTATGTTATTATTTTATCGAAATGTGTTTAAAATTACACTGGTCACAAAGAGAAATTTATTAATTTATAGAAATTATTAATTTATCGAGTATTAATTTATAGAGGTTTTAAGGGGTCAAAGCATGAACGATAGACAATATCAGTTAAACATGATCTAGGCATCCGAACAGAATCTATAGCAATTAGCAAATAACTTTTACAAAAATTAATAGTTAACAAACGTTACGTGAACTTAACAAAGATACAATCGAAGTAACCTAAACTTTCTCCTTTTCTTTTTTCTTACTTACCTATTCTTAAAACCTAATTTCCTTGTGCGTTTTAGTAGGAGCCGCCATATATATCACTACGAGCTATTTAACCTTAAGACTCAAGGTAAATAGTCTGAAAGTATGGAGAAGAAATACATGAAAAAAGAAGGAGAAGATGCCCCAAAATACATGAAATACAGGTTGGGCGGCTGATCTTACGGCATTGAAGCTAGGACTTACCAAAGCGCTGAGTTTAGGGATCAATCATATCTCAATATGCTTTGACGACCGTGAGGTTTCGAATTTGTAAGTTTATTTTACTTGCTTTCACATTGATGTGTCTTTGTTGGTTCCAATATCTTACGTATATGATTTTTTTATTTTATGTTTTTTAGGCCATGGGGAGATCCACTCCCTATGAGTGAGAGAATCGCCTCGTTGATGAATGAGGTGCAACGTATCAGACAAAGTTTTGAAACGAGCATCTCTGTCCTTGTGCCTAAAACTAAAACTAGGTTTGTCTTTGGTCTCGCAATGGAAAGTATAGCTGGAGCTGAGAAGAAGTATACTGAAGCTAAGGGAGCTAAGGAGAAGTTGCTTTCAATTGATTCATGCCGACATCAGTTCGGCAACTTAAGGATGTACTAATCAATTACATGGCAAAACAGAATACAATTCGGATGTTTAATTTGACATTTTTCTCTAACTTTTGATACAAACAAAATGGAAGTCTAATATAAAATCTGGCTTTGACTTATTTGAGTGTATTCATCTTTATGCAAAGACCCTTGCATGTACAGATGTACTCATATATATAAAGATACTTAATTCATAAATAGTTCGTGTTATTTAAGCATTAATTTTAAGCATATGAAAGGTTTAAATTGTTTGGCACAGTTTCGTGCTCTGTTGGGCCAGGTGGTATAGAATAATAGAAACACATGTTAGAGATTACTTTCAACAAGACTAAGAGAATCTATATTATAGGCAGCGTTATTGACTCTCACGTATTATAGACACAAAATGCCATATATATACATCAAAATGCCATATATATACATCAAAATTTGCTGTTTTGTGCAGTACATCAAAATGCCATATTCATTATATTCCAAACTTTTAATTGTATGTTTTGTGCAGTATATATATATATATATATATATGGACGATTATTATAGGGTTATTACAAAGTAAAAACTCTTATAGAGAACAACATATGCAGAATATTGCACTTGAGAATTGAGATTGATGAAAATATATAATGAGCTAAGTAAAGTATAAAATTCCCGGAAAAAAAAAATCCAAATTTTAATCGAAAAAATAGGAGGAAAAATAAATTAATATGCTACTATTTCTAGACAATTGAACCAGTCGTTCTTCTAAGAGCAAATGCATCGGTTTGGACTGCATTTGGTCCTAGATTTTTACCTTTTCAGATTTTCTTTAAGTGGAGCTCGCGATTGGTGAAACAAAAGCCAAGGAACCATCCCGTTTGGAGGTACGTCCTTTTTTTTTTTTGTCTTTATTTGTTTTGGTTGGGGGACTGCCATAAACCCTCCAATGCCCATGCCCTTACACGTTAATTCAAAAGAGAACAAAATGTCTAAATTCGTTTAACTGTGGTCAGGTTTCAATCTATAAATCTAAATCCTATTTTCAAAATTCTTTGAAATACAAAACAAAAAAGACTTCCTGAAAGAAGGCCCAATATAGTAGAAATAGAATGAGATGATTTTGGTTCTTCCAGTAACCGATCGAACCGGAGACACATCAGACTTGACCAAGTCAGACCAAAAAGTGTTATTATTTCCCGAAACGACGCTGATGATTTGTTTACTTCTCTCCTCCTCTGTAAATTTTTGCACCTCATCGGATAAACGAAAATGTCATATATATATACATCAAAATTTGCTATTATATGCCATCTAATATCTGTTTGGACAACAACAACAAAATAAAGCACAGTTAAGCTGTATAAGATTTGTTGGCTGTATTTGAGCGAAGCATGAAACAAATTTAAAAACAGTTGCTAATTATAGACGACATTAGTTTTACTATATAAATGATCACCTAGATGAAACCAAACATTACCCACCAAATCAGCTTCTTCTATCATAATTACAAAGAGAGAGTTTAAAAAGAAAGTTGCAATACTCATATTTGCAGAAATCATCATCATTAAATAATAAAAGAAGCCTACGACCGACGTTATGGCGACTCAAGCGTTGAAGAAAACATGCAGTGTTTTCATGGTTGTAGCTATATTGACGATGATGTTTTCGGCACAAATTGCTCATTCAAACAACGTAGGAATGTGTGTGAAACATTGCCTCCCTCAGTGTATGAAATCGGCAAATAAACATACTCCTTCAACATGTGAAGAAATTTGCAAAAAGAACTGCAACAAACAAGTCATGGGTAAGGAAGAAAGTTTTATTCCTCGCACTGATGAAAACAGTGGTATTATTGGCAAAATCGGCGACGTTGCCGACAAGGCCTGTGACGCATTGTTTAACAACGGATGCAACTGGAAGTGGTGATGAATTACGAAAGCTCCCATTGTTTTAATTTTTGCATGATGAGCTTATAACTTTTAAGTACTGTTATATATGAACGTATGTACTTGTTTGATACCACCATAATGTGTTTGTACCGTACGTGTTCAATTGTTTTGTTCTTATGAAATAAATACTTCCATAAAATTAGTGTCAACAAAACATTCCCAATTACAAAAACGACGCTGATGATTTGTTACCATGCATTCATCGAGCCTTGAGCTAACGACCGTTCCATTGTCTATGAACCAGTAACAAAGTAACTTGCGAGCGAAGCATTGGCAAATAAGTGCGACTGTGCAAGGAGTGGAAGAAGAACAACAATAAGTCTACTACTAAGCAAGTGAGAACCAAGAAAATTACAATCTACAGTTTCACATTAATTCTCATCTAGGGATGTTAAATAGGGTTTTTGGGCCGGCTTATTAAAATTCCGGTCCATACAAACTCTAAATCTTATATAAAGTTGTTATCAGTTATCACTATATTTTAATAAAATTATAACATCAAAATTTATTTGATAAAATTATATCATTTATAATGTTCAAATGCTTAAAAGCCTTTTTATTTCCGGTAAAAAAATAGCTCTAATTTGCTAAACTAATTTCTAGCTCTATAGCTTAAACACAAAAATCTTTATTCAGCTTGATAAATGATAAGCATTATACTTGCCCGATAAGTTTTCTGTTTTCAATAATTATCCTTAAATTGTTTCCAGTTCTTTAGAATTAGATTTAGATTTATTTTCTCAAAACTCTTATCTTATCCAATCAAAATTTTTGTGAAAGTAGATTTTTATAGGGAATCTAGTTTTAGGATTTTTTTCCCCCAAATTTTACAAAGAATCCAAAACCCAAAAATATTTGAGATTTTCACTATTTTCAAGCGATGATTTTCTTTTTTTCTTTTTGTAAAATTCAAAATCTAAAAACTAGAAACTATAATATAAAACCATTAAACATTCATGGAATATATTTAGGTTTTTTCCTTCTTTTTTTTAATCTCTGACCTAAAAGCTAATTTCCGTCTGCATTATATAATTGGAATTGGAGCCGCCTCTGGTCTATATATATTAACACTCGTCATAAGTTCATAACTAAACCAAAGGAGAAAAAAAAAAACAAATCTCAAAGTATGCACAAGACAAGTAACATGAAGAAAGCAGATGCACCAAACCGCACCACCGCAAAACCCTCACCGGGCGATCTAAGTTGTGACTCGTACACTCTTTACTTCAAGGGTTTGAGAAAGTTACTGATCAGAAGAGGTTTATCATCGGCAGGATTTGGTGTTGCTATTTGCAGAGAAGACGAACGTGACAATCTCTTGTTTCAGATGAATGGGCCACTTCATGACTCTGACCTCCTTACACTTTGGGAGGCTGATCTTATGGCACTTAAGCTAGGGCTTACCAAAGCCCTAAGTTTTGGGATCAAACATATCTCTATCTGTTTTGATGATGATGAGATTTTCGAATTTGTAAGTATTTTTTTATTTGCTTTTCGTTTGTTTGTTACAATATCTTGTTTGATTGTTTTTTTGCCTTATAGGCCATGGGGAGATCCGCTCCTAAGCATGAGAAAATCGCCTCGTTGATGGATGATGTGCAACGTATCAGACAAATTTTTGAAACAAGCATCCCTGTTCTTGTTCCTAAAACTCAAACTAAGTTTGTCTTTGATCTCGCAATGGAAATAATAACTGGAGCTGAGAAGAAGATGATCTCCGTTGATTCATGCGGTCATAAGTTCGGTACGGGGTACATGAAAAAACATATAGAGCTGAAGCTAAACCAAGGAGATGTACCAAGTTGTCCTCGTCCTGACTGTACATCAAACCTTGATCTTACAAGTTGTGTCCATCTTTTGACACCTAAACTAAAAGTGTTGTGGGAACAAAGAGTTAAAGAGGAATCAGTTGCTGTATGTGACAGATTCCATTGCCCAAATCCAAGCTGTTGGGCTTTGATGTCCAAGACCGAGCTCCTTGAATCTAGTGAAGATGGAGTCAAGAGAAGATGTTATAAATGCCTTCAAGACTTTTGCATTAACTGCAAAGATCTTTGGCATTATAAGTTGTCGTGCGAGGAGTACAAAGAGAGGTCAAGTCAAAAGGCTAGTACAACAGTGTGGCGTCAATGTGGAAGTTGCCAACACAAGATCAAACTATCGAAAGAAAGCAACACTGTAACATGCAGGTACGTACTATCTCTAATCATGCACATTCTATATTGGATACTTCAATGTAATGTAATGTTCATCATCATGACTCTAATGTGTTTAGGTGTGGCTATACGTTTTGCTACAAATGTGGAGCTCAATGGAAACGTGGAGGTTGCTCTCACCGTCGCGAATTCGTGATGGATGTGTTTACTGCTGTGATCTTCTTTTTTATTTTTCTTTTAACTTTCTTATTTATTATGCTTATCTAGCTTATGGGCTAAGGTTGTGGTTTTTGTTTTCTCTAATAATTCTCCCCATGGTTTTGACATGGGCTATTTACATGGATTGGTCTATGTGTTTAGATTAACACTTTTAGGTTAATAGTTGTTGTTTTGAAACACTTTCCATATCTTTTATTTATTTAATTTTAGACTTCTAATAAGACTTTTTCTCAACCGTATCGCGATATATATTTGATATCTTATAAATTATAAAAGAATGTACCTAAATATACATGAAATTTAGTCAATTGTATTATAAGAACCTAAGATAACCTCGAACATATCTTACTTCAACTAATTCAACTTTACATATAAAGCGACAAAATATAATTTCAAATTCGTTATTTACTTACGAATCTAACCATTCAAAATAGAAAATTTAGCTTGTACAAATTATTAAAAGGTTTTTGTTAAAAAGAAAACAAATAATTATTTAGTCAAGTAAATTCAATAAAACATGTATATGATTATATTCAGATTTTTTATATTCGTGAATTAATTATGCAGATCCTAATCTATTTTATAACTTTAAGAATTGTTCTTCATTCTGTAAACTTGTAAAAAAGTCTAAATCTTCCATAGCTTGATATTGTCAATAATATATCAGGTGACCACGAAAGCTTGGTTGTCTAACAAAGGGTAACATAAGTAAATACTAAATGTGTTAGGGACAAAGTCATACATTAATCGGACTTGTACCTTAATCCCAAAAACCTACAAAACCAGTCATACTATTTTCTAAAGCAAAAAGATATATAACAATAGAACCAAAACAAAAACTGATCAGTCATGCTCAAGATGTTATATACGGCAGTTGTGGCGTTGGAAGATAGATATGGTAAGCACCATGACGGCAACCTCCAGCCTTGGCTCCACATTGGTAGCAAAACTTATGTCCACATCTACAATGGAAAAATATAATAATGCTCAATCAGATTAAAACATAACTATATATATAAGAAAAAGAAAAGCTAAAAAAAAAATCAGATATAAACATGTATAATAATGAAATTCTAAAGGAAAATGTTATTAGTAGAGATGATATATATACATGCAAGTTACTTTGATGCATCCTTCTGAAAGTTCGATCGTGCGTTCGCACTTTCCACATTCACGCCACCTTTTCCTATTTGCTAAACCTTTGAACTTCATATCATTAACATTAGGATTTGGACCCAATCTCTTGTAATCGCCACACGACAAGTCAATATGCCAAGGAACTTTACATTTAATGCAAAGGAGTTGATTGCATTCAAAACACTTTCTTCTAACTTCATCTTCTTTCGTAGGTGTAGAGAAGTATCTCCAAACTCCACCTTCTTTAACAGGTTTAGAGAGCTCGTCTAAAGACATTAAAGCCGAGCACCTCGGATTTGGGCAATAAACTCTCTCATTTATAGGAATTGAGTCGTCTTTGATCCTTTCTTGCCACATCTTTATTAGTTTAGGTGTCAAAAGATTGGCACAGCTTTCACAAGTAAGCTCGGATTTGCAACGGTAAGCAGGACATCTAATCACACTTCCCTCGGGTAGCCTCACCTCTATATGTCGTCTCACGCACTTGGAACAGAACTCATGACGACATTTTTCAACACAAAACATCTGATTTATGTCAATGTTATCATTTAAACAGATAGTGCAAGTCGTTTTGCGAGGAGGATACACATAAACTATTGCTTCCTTTGCTAGTTTATAAACATATCTGATACTACTTCGGGCCAACATATGAAAGCTCCACGCAAATCCTTGACTTATACGTTGCATATTGTTTTTTTTTCACAAAGATCAGAATCAAACTATTGAGAAGAAAGTTCGATGAAATTTATAAATATTTTAATAGAGATCAAACAAAATAAAAAACAAAGAATATGTGCAAAAAGAAAAACCCTATAAGAAAATTAGGTTTAGCTTAAGTTGTAAATGTAATATTACGGGTACATTTTCTAAATCAGTCAAAATATTCTACTTTTTAATTATGCAGACTCATTTTGTTATTTCTGATAAACTTAAAGATATTTCTACATGTAAGTTTTAGTTATGTATATATAGTTTACAAAAAGTGTTATACTAGTTTCCTAATAATTTTAAAACTAAATCATGAGATAGAATTTGAAGGCTAACTCCTCTCATAATCTTCAATTTTACATGTTTGTCATCGTACTTAGCAAAAAATAATAATTTATTGGACTCTCTAAAGTATGGTCATGAATTGTATATAGTTAATAATATCCTTTATAATTGAAACCAATAAAAAATGATCAGAAATCAGAAAAAAACATCTAGTAAGTATGGACTGTATATGGAATATCTCTTAGACAACAATTAAAAAGCGTAGCTCACACGAAAACCAAAACCTCTCAGCTAATCAATCTTTAATTTCTTAAACTCCTTGGATCAATGTGAGATAATCTCAGAATGCAAAAAGAAATCAGACCGAGTGTCACATCCCTCAAAGGTAAACACATTCTTAGTCCATTCAACGAATCCCAAAACTTCTTCTAAACCGCGTCTCTCAAACGAAACCTCCGCACACCAAACCTCCGTTTTACAATCCTTAGTGCAATGGTGATCTTGAGAGCGACTCACCCTCGACTTCCACCACACTATAACATTTCCTCCGCTTGATTTCGACAACGAATTAAGAAGATTATAAAAATATGGATACTTAGAGAGTTCTTCAAGTCCTTTAACCAGCCTCCACGCCGAATCTTGCTTTGGATCATTCCAAAAAAGGTTTTGATTGGATACAGACATTAGACGCAAAGTGTTATCGAACAAGAAAATCTTCTTCTCCAAGTTAACCATCAAACCATTCATGGCATAAACCTTTTCATTCATTACTAATTTACCTGGCACCACATTCATTTGAGTGGTGAGGTTTAGTGTTGTTGGTAGTATTGGCTCCCAAGTTTGGGTATTTGGATCATAAACCTCTCCCACATCTTGTATAAAGTTAGAACCAGAGCCTCCAATCACGTAGATCTTACCGTCGATTACATCAGCAGCTGGAGCTTCTCTAGGTTGAAGCATGTTTGGGAGTATAAGCCATTGATGAGTTCGACCATTAAGACTCAACACTCTATTGCTTCTCAGTCCATTCACGACTCCTCCGATTATGTAAATATCTGAACCGATTGAAACAACACTCGAGGATTTGGGATGTTGATGAGGAAACGAAGGGACAGGTTTGAGTTTTTGTTGCTTGGGTATTAAGGAAACTGTGAACCAGCTAGGGTTAGGGTTTTCTTTATCCAAGTCTAAGCTAACGTAGAGGTAATCTTCTGTTATTCTGTTGCGTGTTCGTGTGGCCTCGAGCTCAGGTGACGCTATGAGAGACTGGAAATATTTAGATACTAAGGATAGAGTTGGACGAGAAAATCTCGACGCACGAGCCAAACAGTGGAGAACAATCTCCTCCGGTAACGAAGAAAACGACGTCCGAGAAGATGATTTCATCTCTTTCCTTGTTTATATGTATGTCTTCTTAATAATGATTCTGGTCTGGGAGCTCGGTTTTGACTTTAACAAATTGTGCCTAAAATTGAACTTATGTAACATGTGATACGGCCTCAAAGCTAATGAAGCCTAATTCAGAATCTATTTATAAGGAAAAGTTTTGACAATTTCCTGATTTTTCAATAAATATATTAGGGATTTTTTTTATAGTTAGGATCATGAAATATTTATCAGATTTATCGTACCTAAATTTTTATTTCATTATTTTTAAAAGAGAAATTTCTTAAAATACCACAATTTTTTCAATGAAAGACAACAATTTTTTATTTTTACAAAAATAGCACAAAATTTTTATTTATTTCAAAAATATCATAAATATAAGAAATATTTGTGCAAGTATAAAATATGACTATTTTATATTTAGGTTTTAGGGTATAGTTTTGCAGTGTTTATAGAAGAAAACAATGTATTTTAATGGAAAAAATGCATTTCAATGCTATTTTAAACCCAATTTAGTGGTATGTTTGGAAAATGCCCCTTTTTAAAATAAGAGAAATTTGAGAAGCTAATTGAGAATAAAAAGCTTTTAGTTACTTGCCGTACAAGTCCTTTATTTTCTATTTTCTTAGGTTTTTTTTTCTTTTAGTCTTAGAATTCAAAATCCTTCTGCGTTTAGGTGTTCGATTCCTATATAAATTAGAATTCAAAATCCTTCTGCGTTTAAGTGTTCGATCCCTATATAAAGAGACTTAGTTACTTTACAATAACTCTGTCACATTCTCACTCGGAACCACCTCTGCTCTTTACACTACGAAGATAAAAAGAAGCGGGACTAACCGAAGCTGTGAGAATGAAGAAAGAAGGCACCCTAACACGAGAGGATGGCGCCGAAGCCTCACCGAGCGACTTCAGTTCTGACGGGTACATCCTTTACTTCAAGGGTTTGATGTGGGAGGAGATCAAAACGGGGTTTGAGGTTGCTATTTGGAGAGAAGAAGATGATACTCTCTTGTTTCAGATGAAGAGATCACTTGATGACTCTTTCATTACAGTTTTGGAAGCTGAGATCATCGCATTGAAGCGGGGACTAACCGAAGCTGTGAGTTTGGGGATCAGTAATATCACAATCTACTGCCATGATTATAGGGTTTTTGAATTTGTAAGTTTTCTTGGCTGTTACGCTTCACCATATGTCTCTTTGGCTTCAATCTCGTATTTGATGTTTTCCTTTGTTTTTTTGAATGTTTTAGGTCATGGAGCGATCCAAGCCTAAGCAAGATAACATCGCCTCGCTACTGAATGATGTGCAACGCATCAGACAACAGTTTACATCTAGCATCCCTGTTCTTGATACTAGAAATCAAGCTATGTATCTTGCTGACGAGACAACTTGCGAATTCTGTTTGGAATCTGATATCGAAGCGGCGGAGATGCTTTCCGTTGCATCCTGTCCTCATAAAGCCTGCGAGAATTGCCTGAAAAGACATATAGAATTGGAACTAGAACATGGAAGAAGTATACCTAAATGTCCTGAAGATGGCTGCGAATCTAACCTAGATCGTAGAAGCTGTGCACATCTTTTGACACCTAAATTACAAAAGATGTGGAAACGACATGACCCGGCTCCTGAATGGGACAGGTTTCATTGTCCAAATCCAAGCTGTTCGGCTTTGATGTCGAAAACTAAACTCTTTGAGTCATCCGAAGAAGAGGGAGTTAGGAGGTGTTGCTTTAAATGTTGTACACCTTTTTGCATCAACTGCAAAGTCTCATGGCATAGTAACTTGTCGTGCGAGGAGTACAAGAGTTCGGTTCCTAAGCCTATTACAACAGTGTGGCGACAATGTGGAAGTTGCCAACGCAAGATACTATCGGAAGAATATATCACTGTAACGTGCAGGTATATATAATCTATAATCACAATATTTAATATAGTTATTATGATTCGAGTCATCTTAATTGGGCTAATGTAATGTTTCATGGTTCATTTGTTTAGCTGTGGCTATACGTTTTGCTACACATGTGGAGCTCAATGGAAGCTTGGACTTGGAGGTTGCTCTCATAATCGCCAATGGCTCAAGGATTTGTTGACCGTTCCCTTGTTTTCCTTAGTTTTCGTAATTATTGTTTGTATAATAATTACTCTTTATTATCATTAACACATATATTATGTGTTTTGAGATTTTCTACTTTCCTCATCTCTTCCTTCGAATTTTTCTTTGTTGAATTTTTTTTGGATATTTTTTAATTATTGAAAATTTATTTTCATTATTGTTATTATGAATATTCTATGTTTTTTTCTCTTAAATACTATATTTAACAAAAAAAAAAAAACCCAATTTATTTGTTAGTATCTTTGAATTTATGAAAAAGAACAATAAGAAGAAAAAAAGAAAGTAATAAGCCTTACTTTTTATTTATATGATTTTCTTAGTTTTTTCTTTCTTTCCTATTCTTATACATATTTTTCTTTTCTTAGTCTTACAATTTAATATCATTTTCCGTTTATTATGTCAACTACGAATCATAAAAGCTAATTAAAGACTCCTACTTCCTAAGAAAAAATAGTAATCTGAAAGTATCAGATACATGAAGAAAGAAGGCGCCACTCTAGCTCGAGAAGATATCTCATCGGACGACTACAATTCTGACGCGTACAGCCTTTACTTCAAAGGTTTGATGTGGGAGGAGATAATGGGGTTTGGGGTTGCAATATGGAGAGAAGAAGATGATAGTCTCTTGTTTCAGATGAAGAGATCTTTGTGTGACTCTTTAACTACAGTTTTGGAGGCTGCGCTTATAGCTTTGAAGCGGGGACTAACTGAAGTTGTGAGTTTGGGGATCAATCATATCACAATCTACTGCGATGATTATAAGGTTTTTGACTTGGTAAGTTTTCTTGGCTCTCACGGTACTTCACCATGCATGTCTCTTTGGCTTAAATCTCGTGTTTGATGTTTTGTTCCTTGAATGTTTTAGATCATGGAAAGATCCGCTCCTGACCAAGAGAACATCGCCTTGATAATGGATGATGTCAAACGCCTCAGACAACAGTTGCCATCTAGCTTCCTTGTTCTTGTGACTGATCAAATTCAAGTTAAGTTTGCAATAGACTCAATAAAGATAGGTATGCCTCCTGCTCATAAGAAGACTTGCGATAGCTGTTTCGACAATAATGATATCATCAAAGCTGTACCTATGTTTTCCAATGGATCTTGCCCTCATAAGTTCTGCTTGAACTGCGTGAAAAGACATTTAGAAGTGGAACTACAAGATGGAAGAAGTGTACCGAGATGTCCTTATCATCGCTGCAAATCGAACCTTGATCTTAGAAGGTGTGCTCATCTTTTGACACCTAAAGTACAAAAGATGTTTGAGAGAAGGATCAAACAAGACTTGGTACCAGAATGGGACAGGTTTCACTGCCCAAATCCAAGCTGAGCAGCTTGGATGTCGAAAACTAAGCTATTCGAATCCATAGAAGAAGAGGGAGTTAGGAGATGCTGCTTTAAATGCCGTCGACACTTTTGCATCACTTGCAAAGTCCCTTGGCATAGTAGCTTGTCGTGTGATGAGTACATGAGGTCGGTTCCAAAGCTTACTACAACATTGTGGCGACAATGTAGATGTTGCCAACACACGATCGAACTATCGGAGAAACACAGTGTCGTAACTTGCAGGTATTTATATATCATCTCTTATTCTCTTAATTATCATATTTTATAGATATAGGTAATGATTCTTGCATGTAACGTTTCATTATGGCTTTGATGTGTTTAGGTGTGGCTATACGTTTTGTCACAAATGTGGAGATCAATGGAAGCGTGGAGGTTGCTCTCATAATCGCCAATTGGAGAGTCTTGTGATTCCCTATTTCATTGCTTTTCTTTTAATCATTCTTTTTACAATTACTCTTTGTGTTGATCATTAATTAACTCAAGATTATTATGTGTTTTTGAAATTTTAATTTTTCTTTGTTATATTTTTTTTTTTTGATATTGTAATTAGATCAATTCTCTAAAATACTACACTTAAAGTTTTATTTTTCCAAAAATAACACCATTTATTTATTTTTTTCAAAAATATCACAAAAATACCACAAACATAAAAAAATTTGATTTTTAAAGGTGTAAAATTTATTTATTTTAGGTTTAGGTTGATTATTTTATATTTATAGTATATATTTTATGAGTAGGGTTTAGTGTTTAGGATTTAGGGGTTAGTTTTGAATGTTAAAGTTTTAGTTTTAGTTTTGTATTATTTTTGGATAAATATATATTTTAGTGATTTAAGTTTTAGTTTTTTTAATTATTAGAAATTTATTGCATTACTATATGTTACGAATGAATATTCGGTGTTTCTGAAAAAAATATATATATTTAACTAGAAAATAAAAAATCCACATATTCCAAGTTTATTTCAATATTTGTTATTATCTTTAATATTATGCAAAATAAAAAAAATAAAAAAAAGAGTAATAAAAGAAAGATCAAAGTCAAGGCCAAGTCTTTCTCAGAACGCTTCGTATATACCTTCTTAACCAAGGTAACCGCACTTGTTACTTCTCCCCCGTAGTCTCTCTACTCGGAATCCTAATGGCGGCGAAGTTTGAAGACGACGACGTCTCGTTGATACTCGAAGAACAGCGTGAAGAAATCATGGCGGCGAAAACCCTAGCTCGCGACCACGATTTGGCTTTTAATCTCCAAATGCAAGAAGCCCTAGCGGTTTCTAGGGCAGCCCACACTTCCTCCGTCCCTGATTCTTCTTCCGGCGACGTCGCTACCGTCGATTTCACCGGAGGGTATGACGAATTCGACTTCACTTCGCTGATTCTACAGGACATTGAACGAGTCGACCAGGAGAGGAGAGACCGTGCGTTTGGTGAACAGGAGATGAAGAGGCTCAAGGTTGATCTCGACCGTCGGATTCATGATCAGAAGTTTGCTCAAGAGATTATGAGAATCCCTGAAAGAGATTGGAGTAATTATGGTGCTGATTACGAAAAGCCGTATACTCTCGGTGCTGGGGCTTCTTCTTCTTCATCCTCTGCGATTGGGAATGAGAGCTTTAAGGTTTATTGTAAGGGTTTGGTTAGTGAAGAGATGATTGGAGATACTAGGGTTATGGTTGGTGGTGTTGGTGTGGCTCTTTGTGATTCGACTGGTAATTTGATTTGGGAGGTGAAGAAGGTTTTAGTAGCTGAGGAGGCTAAAAGCCCTGAAATTGCGGAATTGGAGGCGCTTGTTCATGGGTTGGATGAAGCTTTGACCTTTGATTTGGGAAGGGTTACGTTTTTCATTGATCATTTCAAGGTCTTCCAATACGTGAGTGGTCTCTACTACTGAAAGACTTGATCTTTTTGATAAAGATTGAATTTTTGTGTTTGATTGTGACTTGTGAGCATGTTATTTCTTGAAATTCAAAGGTTTTTACTCGATTTAGTTGCTAAGTTGGTGCTGTACAGTGTTGTTCTCTACTGAAAGACTTGAACTTTTTAGTAAAGAATGATTTTTTTTTTGTGTGTTTGATTATGACTTGTGAACATATTATTTCTTGAGATTTATAAGTTTTTACTCGTTTTAGTTGCTAAGTTGGTGTTCTACAGTGTTGATCCCTCTTTGTTGTTGTTTGTTTGTTTGTGATACTTAATGCCTTTTTGTTGTTGTTTGTTTGTTTGTTTGTGATACTTAATGCCTATGACTCCATCTCTTACTACATTATGTAACTTGTTTGCTATACTTACAATAACTATAGCTCTGCATTCTTGTACCTGAACATTTAGTATACATAATCATTTACAAATCGTTTTAACCTGAATTTGGATTGTTTTCAGAGCTTTAAAGATGCTGCATTGAATTATAGCTGTAACACGTTATAGTTTATGTCCCGTTCCTTAACTTTGATTAAAATTATTAGGCTTTGATATGGCTTTTCATGTTTTGCTCTGTTATAATCTAGGTGACAGGTAAGTTGACACCGACTCAGAGCGCTGTTGCGACGCTTGTAAACAAAGTGGCTATTCTCCAAAGTAAATTCTCATTTTGCCAACCATCACTTGTGACAAGAAATGGTGTTAAGTTTGTCTTCAAGCTAGCAAGAGATGCTATTGTGTCTCAGATCAAGTGGCGTGAGGAAGCTAGTACTGGCACGACCTTCAAGGAAACTTGTGTGATTTGTTTTGAAGGTATCACTGTTGACAAGATGTTCTCGGTAGATGATTGTTTCCACCGTTTCTGTTTTTCCTGCATGAAACAACATGTTGAAGTGAAGATACTAGGAGGGCAAACTGCTAATTGTCCGAGTGAAGGCTGCAAATCAGAAGTTAAGATCGAGTGCTGTGCAAAATTTCTAGATCCTAAGCTGGTTGGTGTGATGATCCAACGAAAGAAAGAAGGCTCGATTAATGTTGCTGATAAAGTCTATTGTCCGATACCCACGTGTTCGGAGCTGATGGTGAAATCGGAGGTCTTGGAATACACCAAACAGTATTTCGTTAGTGCTGAGGAATCTAAAGCGAGAAAATGTATGAAATGTGGGCAGTTCTTCTGCACCCAATGCAAGGTACCGTGGCACTATGGCGTCAGTTGCTCTGACTTCTGTAAATCAAAGGCTTATCTGAATGCTGGGGATGGATTGCTAAAGTCTCTGGCACATAGCAAGAAGTGGCGACAATGCACTAAGTGTAACGTTACGGTTGAGCTTCTTTTTGGCTGCTACCATATAACCTGCAGGTACTTCGTTCTTTATTTATTCAGTATACTTTTTTTTTTTGGAACACTATTGAGTATTCTTTAAAACGATCAATTGTAGAGTCAAAATCGTATAGGTAGTTCGGTACACTAAGGAGTTGTAGCTTAATCCTTTGTTAGAACCACACAACAGAAACAACTGAAAATTCCATGTCATGGATAAAAAATGAAAAGAGAGACTATGTTTGGTCACTTTGTTACTATTATTGAGTCAATTGTTTTTCTTGCGAATTACAGATGCGGATACGAGTTTTGCTACACATGTGGAGCTGAATGGAAGAATAAGAAAGCAACATGTACCTGTCCGATTTGGGACGAACGCAACATAATCCATCGAAATCAGAGGAATCCGAACCCACCAGCCCCTAGGAGGTGAATGTTTGTTCGTTCGTTGCGTGAAATGTTTGGTAGGTAGGTTAATAGGTTAAGATTCAGGAAACAGTTGTAGAATCAACTGGTTTTGTTTTGCATTTGGCTTTTTCGGCTTTTGTGGTTTTTGGAAACTTGATCGGATCTTCGGTGTTTTGGGATCTTCTCTTTCGGTTTGTCAAATGCTTAGAAAAGATTGACTCAAATACTCAAATACTCAAGATTCAAGGTTAAAGTGAAACTAAATTACTCAAGATTCAAGGTTATAGTAAAACTTTCTATCTCCTGATAATGTTGGAATGGTCCTCTTCCAAACGAAGTTGACCTCTAGAACTATAGGTGTTCGTTTCTTCGAAGACCAAAGTGAGACTTTCGTTAAACAGTCCTATTATTAAGTTATTAGATATTTACCCCAAAAGTTGGGTTCTATTGCATAACAGTCCCCTATAAAATCAATAATTACACTGGAGGCAACAGATCGTTTAAATCCATATACGTCGTCGTTTTAGTTTTGTATATCGAATCAATTGATTCGTTCACGAGCATTGTCCTCCTCCGTCGGAGAATCTCTCGGCCGAGATGACGTCGCAGCTTCCTGTTTCCGGGGTCGGCTCGTGGCGACATTGTGCTTGCTTCCCATCGGCTCTCGATTACAGTGTCCGTAGAAGGTGAAATGAAGAGATTTTTTTTTTTTTTTTTTTTCTGAGCAATGTGGGCGAATGAAGCATTTGAATTGTAATTGTTTTCTTTGACTTTGAAATTGTTTCTCTCAGTTCGTAAGAATCTATTTATAATTGGAGTTGAGAAGAGGTCAAGTATTTGAGAAAGCCAATAAACATATTTGTGTAGTTAAAGATTCTGACTTTAGCATGATAGGGGAGTAGTGGAGAATATTCTCAAAACCTAGAGTTGTTTATATTATAGCCAGCTTTTGTTTAATCTATTAGTGGGTATTATTTCGAAACTATGACATGGCTAAGAATATGCCAAGGGGTGTGTGTCGTCGTTAACAACATCATTATATATCTCAAGTCAACTCTGTAATGCTCAGACACAAATTCAATGGGTAGAAATGTTAAGAAATTATTGTGGACTTAGCAATGAAAAAGATTGGACTTTATATTATATACTTGGAGGTTTTGACCTGACTGTGTTTTTGCAGCTGGATACATTATTATCCACCATTGGTGCAGGAGAAAAGATTCGTTCAGAATTGTCAGATTCTCTGTTTTCGTTGGAAATGGCTCAAGGATTGCATCTGATTTGGATGATCTTCTGTGTTCATCTTATTTGCATCTCAAGTCAACAGGAGGATGGGTTTATCTATAATGGCTTTGGCCAAGCGGACCTTTATACTGATGGTGTTGCTAAAATTCTTCCCAAAGGACAGTTGCAGTTGACTGATGGATCCGGACAGAAAATGGGTCATGCTTTCTTCAAGAAGCCTTTTGAGTTCAGTTCACCTGAATCATTCTCTTTCTCAACTCATTTTGTGTGTGCGCTGGTGCCTAAGCCAGGGTTTATTGGTGGTCACGGTATTGCCTTTTTTTTATCTGCCTCTATGGATCTCACACAGGCAGACGCAACACAGTTCTTGGGACTTTTTAACATCTCAACTCAAGGATCCCCCTCTTCGCACCTAGTTGCTGTTGAGCTTGACACTGCCCTTAGCGCTGAGTTTGATGACATTGATGCCAATCATGTTGGAATTGATGTCAATAGCCTTATTTCAGTCTCATCTACTACAGCTGCTTACTTTTCCGAGATAGCAGGTAAGAACAAAAGCATAAAGCTTTTGAGTGGAGATCCTATTCAAGTCTGGGTGGACTATGGAGCAAGTGTACTTAACGTTTCGCTGGCCCCTCTTAAAATTCAGAAGCCAAGCCGGCCTCTTTTGTCAAGATCTATGAACCTGTCAGAAACATTTCCAGATAGAAAATTCTTTATTGGGTTCTCTGGAGCAACAGGGACATTGATCAGCTACCAATACATACTCGGATGGAGTTTTAGCAGAAACGCGGTGTCATTGCAGGCCTTGGATGTCACTAAACTTCCCCGAGTTCCTCGTCATAGAGCTAAAAATAAAAGACCACCAGCGCTGCTTATTACTCTGCTCATTTTACTGGCTATCATAGTACTTTTGGTTCTTGGTGCAGCTTATGTCTACAGGAGAAGGAAATATGCAGAAGTAAGAGAAGAATGGGAAAAAGAATATGGTCCGCATCATTTTTCTTATAAAACTCTGTACAATGCAACGAAAGGGTTTAACAAGGATGGACTTCTTGGAAAAGGAGGTTTTGGAGAAGTGTACAAAGGAACTCTGTCTTCCAAAGGACAAATAGCAGTGAAAAGAGTGTCCCATGATGCAGAGGAAGGGATGAAGCAGTTTGTGGCTGAAATCGTGAGTATGGGCAATCTGAAGCACAAGAATATGGTTCCACTTCTTGGCTATTGTAGAAGGAAAGGTGAGTTACTTCTGGTATCTGAATACATGCCAAATGGTAGTCTTGACCAATACTTATTCAATGATGAAAAACCACCCTTTTCATGGCATCAAAGATTTGTAATCATCAAGGATATAGCTTCGGCTCTCAATTACATGCATACAGGAGCTCCCCAAGTTGTTCTCCACCGGGATATCAAGGCTTCCAACATTATGTTAGACACTGAATTTAATGGAAGGTTAGGGGACTTTGGTATGGCAAGGTTTCATGATCATGGAGCAGACCCTGCTACAACTGCTGCTGTAGGAACCATTGGCTACATGGCACCAGAGCTTGCTACAATGGGAGCTTGCACTGCCACTGATGTGTATGGCTTTGGTGCTTTTTTACTTGAAGTAGCATGTGGGAGAAGACCTGTGGAACCTTCCTTATCATCTGAAAGATGCTATATAGTTAAGTGGGTATGTGAATGTTGGAAAATGGCGTCTTTGCTCGGAGCTAGAGATCCAAGATTGAGAGGTGAATTCTCAGCTGAGGAAGTTGAAATGGTACTGAAACTAGGGTTGCTTTGCACAAATGGTGTGCCAGAACTAAGACCTTCTATGGAAGAAATTGTGCAGTACTTAAACGGAAGCCTAAAGCTGCCTGATATCTCTCCAAATTCTCCTGGTATCGGGTCCTATTCCCCGCTGATTATCGGATCAAGCACCCTCCCTGTCTCCCCCACTACCAAGACTTTTTACTCTTCTTCCTCGGCCAACGATTCTACATTTGTTACTCACTCAATTGTCCATGGGCATGGACGGTAAACTTGAACTTTGCTCCCTCAACTCTTAGAATTTTCTTTTTTGAATGATAAAAGCCATGATAGGCTTGTGTGAAGGTACTTTGGTTTAGCAGGCTTACCAGTGTGCTCCACCTGTGAAGTCTATTTTTGATATTTGACCACCACTGAAAAGTAGTGCTTGGAATCTTTCTTGTAGAAGTGCTGTTAAGCATTGTATATTTTGATGTTTCTGTACAGTAAAGTTTTGTATTTAACCGTCATATTTGCATTTCTCTTTCTACATTAATATATTTCATTTTCCAGTAAAAGTGAGGGCTTTTATACAGATGTTTGTAAGTTGTTCTTCACTCTGTATGCTAATTTGTTCTCATTCTGTTACTTCTCTATACAAAACAAATCTTTTGTATGACAAGCCCCAGATTAGCAGAAACAAATGTTCTGGTTCTCGGCTTGAATACTACAATCTGGGGAGGGTTGGTTTCAGTGTGATGGTTTTATGCCCGAACTATATTTGAGTAATCTGTGGCTTCTTTGAATCCGGTTTCAAGTGAGTATATATATCCCAGCTTGTTCAAACTTTGGTTCCATCTACAAGCCGTGGAGTTCAGGTTTTGTCGTTGTTTCATACTCGATTCTGCGGTATTGTCTAACTAATCACATACATTTTTCATCTGTTTTCTTATATTCCACTGGTTTTCTTGAATAGTTGAAATGGGGACCAGTTTCATCAGTAGAGCCGAGTGGGATCACAAGAGAGAATCATCAAGTTCACGACTTGACTTGTATAATTAGAGATGGTTGATTCATTCCATGACAGGTAAAGTTTAGGCTTATTCTTGAAAATGTTAAAGACTGCATTTATCTTCTTATATCCGTGACATATTCAGCTATAGTCTGGGGTTAACAGAGAGGTGATTTACTCATATTTTTATTTTAACTTGTCGATTTCTAAAGGTTCTAAGAATACATGTAGCTGATCTGAGACATGTGATCATCTAAGTTTCTTTTGTCTTTTATGTTCTATTATTATTTGGGGGTACCATTTGCTGGGGAATTATTAAAGAACTGGGTATTGTTTGTTTATGTCAGTTTTATCGATCTTTTCATATGTGATTCTGTGTCAAACGTAAAATATATAGGATCATACGGACTTAATATACTAGTATGAGAAATGTGGTTTGTATTTTATTCGTAGTATTCTTATCACATTATCTGGAGTCTATTTTGCAGGGATGGTTTTTTTTTTCTTTGAAGTCAATAACATAGATGTTTCAGATGCAATTCTGTATGGAACATTAAATACATAGGATCATATGGATTTAAATAAACTAGTGTGAGAAACGTGGTATGTTATTTTTATTTGTATTATTCTTATCACATTGTTTGGAGTTCGTTTGTGCATGGATGATTTTTCTCTTAGATACACCAAACAAAAGTTGTTATTACAGTTAGCAATCATCAAGTTCAAGAAAACCAAGAAAGGGAAAAATCTGGGAGTTTTGAGTATTCTATTTCCCTGAGAAGGTTGAAGACTTAAACGTTAAGACTGCATTGTTCTCTGTTTGACTTGCCTAAGCTTGATTCTATCTATGTACCTGCTTCAATATTCTATAAAAGGTAGATGCTTCGCTTTACTCTAAGCTTTGATTTCTTTTTTACTTTTTGAGTACTTCTTTCCTTTACTATAATAAGATCTCATTTAAAGATGCGATTCATTTAATGGAATTTTTCTATGTGGGTACAGAGTGTAGCAGTTTCATTAGTTTCTGGCTGATGTTGGGATTAGAATATTAAACACTGTGAAGCATATGATTCCAATGAAATTTAAATAAATTTACAAAGCTGTTAAGATTCCAGCTTGTAATGCCATTGAAAAGGAAATGCATATGATGCTGTTAGGCTGTGATTACCTATCTTACCATTAAAATAAGTTCACATCTTGTTTCTGCAGCCAGCGAAGTTTGATCAGAGAAGGATGAACTCTCTTCTTCATCAGCAGCATTAGCTTGTGGATTGCTTCTGATCTGGTAAATTTTTAAGTATTTGTTTTCTTACTAAGCAATAAGCATCATATAATATTATATGTGGCTGCAGTATGAGTAAAATCTGGTGAAAGATTGTGTTGTGGGTGCCAAAGCCAAGACACATGTCATGAATGATTAATATAATCAAACTTTATGTTTGTTAGTACTCTTCTAATACTTATTTTTTTTTCATTGGCCTAAATTGTAGTAGTTTTGCTAAACTACTATATGATTTTGAACATTAACCACGTGAAGTTATGATGATTAATATAATATTATTTAGCTGTTAGCCTGATGCAGATGCTAGTACACTCTGTAATTGTTGTAACCATAATTACTTCCATTTTCTCTGCAGCTAGAAAAAGCTCTCTTTTTCAGCAGCAGCAATGTCTAGTGGATTGCTTCTGATCTTGTTGATCTCCTCTTTTCATCTTATCTCTTTGTCAACTTCATCAAAAGATACCAGTTTTGTCTTCAACAGCTTTGGTCAAGGAAATCTTTCTCTTGATGGGTCTGCTACATTGCTTTCCAATGGGTTACTCCAGCTTGCAAAAGACTCGCAGCATCAAATGGGTCATGCTTTCATCAAGAAGCCAATTGTGTTCAGCTCCTCTAAACCACTCGCGTTTTCAACCCATTTTGTGTGTGCTCTGGTGCCAAAGCCGGGATTTACAAGCGGCCACGGCATTACCTTTGTAATATCTCCTTCTGCGGATTTCACACGGGCGGAATCAACTCGGTACATGGGGATTTTCAACGCCTCAACAAATGGATCTCCTTCATTTCACCTGTTTGCTGTTGAGCTTGACACTGTTAGAAACAAAGAGTTTCGTGAGACGAACAATAATCACATTGGGATTGATGTCAATAACCCCATTTCAGTCGAATCAGCACCGGCTTCTTATTTTTCAAAGACAGAACAAAAGAATGTGAGCATAAACCTCTCGAGTGGAGACCCTATACAGGTCTGGGTTAATTACCAAGGAAATGTGCTTAATGTTTCTGTGGCGCCTCTTGAAGCTGAGAAACCAAGTTTGCCTCTTTTGTCACTATCCATCAATCTCTTAGAACTTTTCCAGAGTAGAAGATTGTTTGTTGGGTTCTCTGCATCAACAGGGACAGCAATCAGTTACCATTATCTTCTTGGGTGGAGTTTCAGCACAAACAGGGAATCATTGCAGCTACTTGACATCTCAAAACTTCCTCGAGTTCCTTCGCATAGAGCTAAGCATAAGACACCATATGCTCTGATTATCGCTCTGCCTGTTGCGCTTGCTATCATAGTACTTGCTGTTCTTGCGGGAGTTTATTACCACAGGAAGAAGAAATATGCAGAATTAAGGGAACCATGGGAAAAGAAATATGGCACAGACAGGTTCTCTTACAAATCCTTATACATAGCAACAAAAGGCTTCCACAAGGATAGATTTCTTGGAAGAGGTGGTTTTGGAGAAGTGTACAGAGGAGATCTCCCTCTGAACAGAACTGTAGCTGTGAAGAGAGTATCCCATGATGGCGAGGAAGGGATGAAGCAATTTGTGGCTGAAGTCGTGAGTATGAAAAGTCTGAAACACAGGAACCTCGTTCCACTTCTCGGGTATTGCAGGAGAAAAGGCGAGCTTTTACTGGTCTCTGAGTATATGCCTAACGGTAGTCTTGACCAGCGCTTGTTTGATGACCAAAGTCCGGTTCTTTCTTGGTCTCAAAGACTTGTGATTGTCAGGGATATAGCATCAGCTCTCTTCTATCTCCATACAGAAGCTGAACAAGTTGTTCTGCACCGAGATATCAAAGCCTCCAACGTTATGTTAGACGCTGAATTGAATGGTAGGTTAGGAGATTTTGGTATGGCTAGGTTTCATGACCATGGAAGCCACGCAGCCACAACAGCAGCGGTTGGCACTGTAGGATACATGGCACCTGAGCTAATATCAATGGGAGCATCCACTGTAACAGATGTTTATGCATTCGGTGTCTTCATGCTCGAAGTAGCCTGTGGGAGGAAACCAGTGGAATTCGAGGTGCCAATTGAGAAACGATTTCTGATCAAATGGGTTTGTGAATGCTGGAAGAAAGATTCTTTACTTGATGCTAAAGATCCAAGATTGGGAGAAGAATTTGTACAAGAGGAAGTCGAGTTGGTTATGAAACTGGGGTTGCTATGTACAAACATCGTTCCGGAATCTAGACCAGCGATGGGACAAGTGGTTCTTTGCTTGAGCTGGAATCTACCATTACCAGATTTTTCACCATACACAATTGGAATCGGTTCGTTTACTCCTGTGGTGGTTGATGCAGCCTCACTTAACGTCTCGTTTACTTCAAAAAACTGGTCAGCTCCTTCTGCCTCTTCTTCTTCAGCTAACAACTACTCGAAGGAGGTTGAACATAAATTGGAATCAAAGAACTCTCTAAACAAAGTTTCTGAACCCGAAGACATCGAGTCAACTCTCTCCAAGACAAACAGTGGCTGCTGAGTGATCTCATTGTATTTTTTTTTTTTTGGTCCGAAGTGCTGTGTTTTACTTTTTTTACTGATCGGGTAAATTGTTTTTTTTTTTTTTTTTTTTTTTTTGTAAACACTGATCGGGTAAATTATTCACGTTGACTGGGATTCGATGAAACCGGATGAGTTAGGTGAACTTTGTGTGGTATAATGAAACGGTTTAAATCAATTTCTTCGGTTTACGTTAAATTCAAATTCGGTTTTAATTGGTTTAGCCGGTTCGTGCGTTTGGGCTTCCATGACCATGAGTTATAATATTTTCCCGGTATGTACATTCTCACGTTATTCGACTTTTTCAAGAGAAATTTTAGGGTTTATGAGTTGACATAGTCAGTCGTAGAGAAGATGACCAGAGAATGTTTTTATTCAATGTTAAAATTGCTTATGTATGAGTTCATAAGAATCCTTCAGACATGATGACTTTGTCCTGCTAAGTTTTTTTTTTTTTTTTTGCTTTATCAAATTCTTTGGCAAATTAATTTGAAGAAACGATCGAATTGGGAAAGCAGCAAGACTACATTAAACTTAGATACGTTTTCACTTACTTGGGAAAGAAGCAAGAACTACATTAAACTTAATTTGGATTGGTAAATTTATACTCCAAAGTTTGTGGCAGATATGAATATACTAAGACTAATAGATATATAAAATGCTATCTAACTCGATACTTTCTTAATTTGCAAGAAATTAGCTGTTCTCCCAAAACATTTGAGATTCCATTGGGAGTAGCGTGGAATACTTCTGCAAGAGGGAAGTACTTTGCTTTTGGTTGACCTTGGGATAAGCAAGAGTATAGAGTATAGACCATGAAATGTTTTTCCTGTAGTATTAAATTCTCATGATGGATTACATTATGCAATAATTATGGTAGTTGTCATTGTTATATAATATGCTTATATAATCGTGGAGTCAAATGTGTGATGTCTATTGTGAATATATTTATGGTTGTTGCTGTTATTCCTAATGAGGTATATGTTATAAAAATGTTGTGGATATGGAATGTTGAAAATTTGACTTTTTGACTTCTGATCTTGAAGTTATGATGATGAGTAAACCTTGTTTTTGCAGACTCTCTCTTTCAGTAAGAATGGCTTTCAGACTGGATTTAGTTTTGATCTTCTCCTGCTTTCATCTGATTTGTGTCTCATGTCAACAAGAAACCAGGTTTGTCTACAATGGCTTTGATCAAGCTGATCTTTTTATTGATGGGCTTGCCAAGATCCTTCCTGGTGGACTTTTGCAGTTGACAAATGATACAAAGTTGCAAACAGGTCATGCTTTTTTCAACAAGCCATTTGATTTTAATACATCTTCTTCAATTTCGTTTTATACACGTTTTGTGTGTGCTTTGGTGCCTCCTAAGTTGGGAGCTGAGGCTGGCCATGGGATGGCCTTTGTTGTATCTCCTTCCATGAATCTCTCTCATGCATACCCAACTCAGTACTTGGGCATCTTCAACAGCTCAACAAACGTGACTTCTTCCTCTTCTCAACTGCTTGCTATTGAGCTCGATACTGTTGAGACAACAGAGTTTAAAGAGCCAGACGAGGCTCATGTTGGGATTGATGTAAACAACCCGATATCTGTTGACTCTGCTCTTCCATCTTACTTTTCTAGTGCCTTGCGGAAGAATATAACCATAAATATCTTGAGTGGGGAACCTATCCAGGTATGGGTGGATTATGATGGATTGTTGTTAAATGTCTCTCTAGCTCCTATAGAAATCGAGAAACCGAATCAGCCTCTTCTGTCGCGAGCCATCAATCTTTCAGAAATTTTTCAAGAAAATATGTTTGTTGGGTTTTCTGCAGCAACAGGGAAATTGACTAGTAACCAGTATATACTTGGGTGGAGTTTTAGTAGAAGCAAAGAATTATTACAACCCCTTGATATCTCTAAACTCCCCAAAGCTCCCCTACCAGAAGATGAACAGGCTCCTCTCCCTAGAGATGGACATGATAAAGTATCTCCTTTGCTTATTGGGTTGGTCGTCTTATTAGTGATACTAGTACTGGTGGTCATTGGAGGATTGTACTGGTACAGGAAAAACAAGTATGCAGAAGTACGAGACTCGTGGGAAAAGGAATATGGTCCACACCGATTCTCTTACAAGTCTTTGTACAAAGCAACAAATGGGTTTAGTAAAGATTTTTGTGTAGGGAAAGGTGGGTTTGGAGAAGTGTACAAAGGAACTCTGCCCTTAAGCAGGCATATAGCTGTGAAAAGACTGTCGCATGATGCAGAGCAAGGAATGAAACAGTTTGTGGCAGAAGTTGTAACTATGGGAAGTTTACAGCATCGCAATTTGGTTCCTCTTCTTGGATATTGCAGGAGAAAAGGTGAGTTACTGCTGGTCTCTGAGTACATGCCCAATGGTAGTCTTGACCAGTACTTGTTTCAAAACCAAAACCCATCTCCTTCATGGTCGCAAAGGATTTCTATTCTTAAGGACATTGCCTCGGCTCTCCATTACCTGCATACAGGAGCCAGTCCACCTGTTTTGCACCGAGATATAAAAGCTTCTAATGTCATGTTGGATTCTGAGTATAATGGAAGGTTAGGAGATTTTGGTATGGCTAAGTTTCATGATCCCAAAGCCAACTTATCTGCAACAGCTGCTGTGGGCACCATAGGTTACATGGCACCTGAGCTAATAACAATGGGAGCTTCTACAAAAACTGATGTCTATGCCTTTGGTGCTTTCCTTCTTGAAGTAACTTGTGGAAGGCGACCTGTAGAACCTGAGTTACCGGTGGAAAAGCAATATCTGCTCAAGTGGGTTTGTGAATGCTGGCAACAGGCTTCTTTACTTGGGGCAAGAGATCGAAGATTGAGGGGAGAATTCTTACCAGAGGAAGTCGAGATGGTTTTGAAACTTGGGTTGCTCTGCACAAATGCTGTGCCAGAATCAAGGCCATCCATGGGACAAGTGGTACAGTACCTAAGCCAAGACCTACCCTTGCCGGATATTTCACCGTATACTCCAGGTATTGGGGCTTTTATGCATGTTTCAATGGAAGCATCATCTGCCATTTGTGTCCCAAATTCATCTATACCTATGTTTGTTACTCACACGATTTTGGGAGGTTATGGAAGATGAGATCTATGAAACTATGTATTCTCTGCATCTAAGTCTCTTTTGCTACCCAAATGTTTAATTTTTAGTCTTTTAGATAATTAACTACGTTGTTGGTTGAGTCTGTGTAGTCTTGTCTTCTTTCATCGTTAATAAGTGTTGTTTAACCGTAAGTGGCCAAGAGAGTTTTAAACGTGTATCACTTTTCTTGTGTTTAGTATATGAAACCATTATGATCCATTTGATATGCATATTAAAGAGAGAAACTGTAACTTTAATATTCAAACGATATGTATTTTACCACTGGATTCTACCTTGTCTGTGTTTCACTTGCTTTGCTTTGAAACTTTAGTTCAAAGATTACTTCAGTTGACTTAGAATAAACAGTGTAGAAGTAGAACCATAAGATTTTTCGCTCCAGCAGTACTTAATTTACAAGCCAAAATTAAAGCCTCTTGTGTGTCCAGAAGCTTTGTTCATTGCTCTATCCACAGTTTGAGAAGACATGGATCCCAAAACAACAACAGCAGCTCCTTTTACCACAACCAGAAACTAATCTAAAAAGAGTCAAGTTTCAGCTTATCTCACAATGGCTCCTTGAGCTTTTCGATCCTGAAGGAGACCACTCTGAACAGGGGCGGATCTAGAAAATTTGTTCAATGGGGGCAAAAATATAGTAAAAAAACTATCAAATACTAAATTATAAAAGACATAAAATTGTCATGGAAAAACTTTAAAACATCTTACAAAACCACTCAGACGCTCATTTAACAATTGAAACCTTTTTACCACATTTTCATTTGTGACAGATTCAAATAATTAAAACCAAAAAAAACATGTTATTAATTAAAAATTTAGAAAATTTTGAATTTATAGACTTATATTTTAAAATTTATTAATTTTAAATTTTTGAATTATGTAACAAACTTCCATAAAAGCTTAACCATAGAATAAACATATAAACAATTATCACTGCAAAAACTAATATAGTCATGTATAACATAAAAACCTATATAATGTTTTCCAGTAAACATAGTTATAAGCTTGAACTGATTAAATAAAATTAACTGACTAAAAAATAATGTTTATATAATAGAAACGGTTGTAAAAAAAGCAGGAAAATAAACTCACAAATTGATAGTTGTTGATTTGTTGTCACACAAAGAAACCAAAAGACTAAATAAGAAGAAAATAACAAAAAATTAGGTCTAGATTAGTAAGTCTTTAATTTATATATTAATATATATTTTTGGTACATAGATTAATGAGCTTTCCAAAAAAAGGATGAAAAATAGTTTTTTTTGTGGGGACAGATTTTGTTTTCTAATAATATTTAATAATTTTTTAATAATTTTTTTTTTTTTTTTTTTGCTGGTGGCAGCTGCCCCCACCACCTTGGCTGTGGGTCCGCCCCTGACTCTGAAGCAAGACCATGTACTCTGTTTCACTTACAGTGCTACTTCAATTCTTCATATATGATCCTCATTCATTGACATAGAGAGATAGAGACAGAGTCTCTATTGATAACTTCTTCCAAGTAAAACTCCACTAAATATAATAGCGCCAAGAAAGTGCAAGAAAGCTCATAGACGATGCGCCAAATCCACTTAACCAAAGCTTTGTATTATCACCAATTCTAAGAGCTGTTGAGTTTACACCAACTTTTATATCATCTTCTTTGTCATGGAGACAAAAGATTCTTACACATTAGCTCTAGAAAAATTAGTGGTGAAGCTAGAAAAAAAAAAAAAAAAAAACAAGGGAAGCAATATGCGCACAATTGAGATTAACTACTTTGCTAATGGTCATAAACTCATAATCGAAACAAGGGAAGCGACAAGTAAAGTGAATATACTTTGTAAACCCTTCACATGTTCTCTTACAATAAAAATGACTTCAAATCAACTTACTTATGTAATAACCGTTACTATTATATTTTTTTTTTGCTCTAATTTGAAAATTGGAGAATTTATTAGAGATTAAGAAGGAGCGTTTATCATTTGGCATTGTTAACGAAAAAAAAATGTTGATTGTGTATTTTTATGGCAATAAAATTTGTTGTGTAGTTTTTTGGGCCAATATTAAATGAGTTGAGTTTTTTTTCTGGATTTTTTTCAAAAAATATAACGGTGTCCTTCACGCAAGGTTGAGAAATTAGAACAAAAAAATAGTTTTTTTTTTAATCTACGATAAATCAATTCACGTATCTTTTTGGTAACGAGAAAAGTTCATATAATTTTCTAACAAATATTAAATAAGTCGCGTTTTTTAAAAAGAATTTTCCCGATTGGATAATGATGTTTTTCATGTTATTTTATTTATGTTTTATTTGTGAGTTTTGTGTCGTGCAAATTTGTGTTATGTTTGTTTTGTTGTGTTGAGTTTTGACGTGCCTGGTGTCTGTAAAAAATTTGTTGATTGAGTGCGTCAAGTGACGTATATTTTTTGTTTTGTTTTGTTTTGTTTGTATTGTATTTAGTTTCGTGCATGCGAAGTTTTTGTTATGAGTGTTAAGTTTGTTGTTTGTTTGCTTTGTGGTGTTTTAGTGTATTTGTATATTTCGAAAGTGTGCGGACTAAAGAAGTAAGAGATTTGAGGAAAGAGAGAGAGAGAGTACTTCACTTGAGCCCTTCTTTGTTCTTCTCTTGAATTCACCCTACAAGAGATTTGATAAGAGTGAATAAGTCTCGATCAAGAACATACAAAACTACATAGAGATATAAATTTGTCTAATCATGCAAATAAATATGCATAATGTATAGAATAGGGAGAGAAAGAGAGATTTAAGTCACTTTCCCATTGCGAGCCCATCTTCATTCAATATTTGCTATGGAAGAAACTCCTCATTTTTTTTCTCCTCAACGTTCCCTTCTCTTGAATTCATCAAGCAAGAGTTCTGTAGAGAGTAAACTTGAATAAGTACCTACAAAACCACAATCTATGCAGAGTATTAAAGTTACTAAGATTTTTTTTGTCTAGTGTTGTGTTTTTGGTGTTTTTGTTTTGCATATTTGAATATTTTGTCGCACGTGAGGTTTATGTTTGGAGTGTTCTGCTTACATGTTTTTGTTTCGTGTTTTCTTGTTTTTGTTTTGTCGATTTGTATTTTGTTCTCTGCACGTGAAGTTTAAAATTTGAGTGTTGTGTATACGTGTTCATGTTTTCTTGTGTTTTGTGTTTTGTGTTTTGTGTAGTTATATGTTTCCGTTTGGATTGTTTGTTGTGCTGTGTTTTGTGGTTTTATAAACTGCAAGTTTGGTGTTCTAACCAAATAGGTCAGGCAAATTTTAGCCCATCAACATGCTAAAGAACTTATTCATAAGGCTATAAAGTAGAGACATGGACGAGAGGGAGTTTGAGTTACTTACCCATGGCTGATCAAGTAACTTACATATATACTGAATTCATGAAGCCCGAGTTAAAGCCCTTTGGTTTAAAAAAATCTCATTCTGCTTTGGTTTTATGAGATCCTGCTTAGAAAAACACAATGAAAAAGAACAGTTACAGTTAACCATACTTTAACCATAGAGTTTCAAAACATGTTACGCTCCACCTTAGATAGATGAGTACTTACAACTAACAAGTGACTACTTACCTGGACATGGTGAGCATTTCTGTTTCAACACCCTCTTATAAAGTAACCAACAGTTTTTGAAACTGATTTTACTGCAGTCACCAAAAAAAACAAATATCAAAAACAAAATAACATTCAAAAAATCACAAACAAGTGATGGTGCTTTAACCCACAATTCTAATGTTTTGTTGTGTTGTAGTCTACTTGTATTATCCTAAAAGTGGACTTATGCATGATGTATAGAATAGAGAGAGAAAGAAAGAGTTAAGTCACTTCCCTATTTGAGCCCATCTTCGTTCAATATTTGAGTCCTCAGTTTTCTTATTTTTGCTCCTGAAAGTTCCCTTCTCTTGAATTCATCTAGCAAGAGTTCTGTAGAGAGTGAACTTGAATTAGAACACAAAAAATCACAAACTATGCAGAGTATTGAAGTTACTAAAAATCTTACATCATCTAGTCCGAGCGAAGTTTTGGCCACTTTCTTGAAGTCTTTACAGCTAAATTCAAAAACCACAGCTCACTCTTGAACCAATAACATGATAGAAAATCCTCAGTTGTTAAAAAGTACAAAGATTATTGCATTTAAGAGTAAGGTGTGATAAAGTACATACCATATATGTGAAAACATGTTAATGTGATCTAAGCCACCTTATCATCAAATCCATACCCATCCAAAACAATGCCATGTCCAAAAGCCAAACCAGTGCCTACAAATAAAAAAGAATGAAGACTATAACTGATTTTCAAATATCCTAAAGCAGTTAAGCTTGAGAATAAAGACAATAAATTCACCTTGATGCTAAATCCAAAAATTTAAATGATTAGTAAAGACTGACATGGTTACCCATTCATTGAGAATTTCCCATCAAATATAGTGGTCAGCTTCCGGATCAATAGCACCTAAACGTTGCCCAAACACAATCATGTCATTATGACTTATGAAATGAATAGTATAATTCAAGCAGATTCTTTCAGAAGAGATAGAGATACCTTCAGAAGATATCCAAGGAAAAATGTAGAAATCAGCACTCCAAGACAAGCAAACAGAGCTATTTTCTCCAGACATCTCTAATACTCATGTAAATATAGCATCTACATGTAACGCTGGTCATCTACCTAGAATGTGTAAGAGTTCATATATGCTAGAGTAAAGAAAATAGTTCATATCACAGAATTATAAAATATCATATAGAACATGGAGAACCTTGATTTGGTGCACATCCATAAAGATTACCCTGCAGACAAACGCTGCTGCAGCAGTTCAGAGGGATATCCATGAAAGCGGCTAAGTTTCTCCTTGCCACCAATAGAAAATCCTAATGTCCTGCACATATGTCAAATTGATTTCACTTTAGACTCAAAAAGTGAAAGTTAAAGCAGATTGATAATAAGTTTTCTTCCTCTCAATGTTTAATAGACCATTCAAGCCAATATATCAATGTGCAATCAATAAGACGTATTTCACTAAAGAATTCATAAAGGAATACTAGAAGACTATAACAACAGTTCCTTTGCTGTAGAACAGAATGTAGAACTTGATATATGAACTGTGGTGATCAATATAATACCTGACACTCGCATATTCCTTTGCTCTAGGCTTCCCAAGGACATCTGCATTGACCTTTTGATTCCAAACACAGAGCTTATAAACCTTGACACCACAATTCTACGAATAATGTTCTACCATCGTGAAGTTTTTGTCTAGTGTTGTGATTTTGGTGATTTTGTTTTGCCTATTTGAATATTGTGTGTCTGCACGTGAGGTATATGTTTGGAGTGTTGTGCTTACGTGTTTATGTTTTGAGTTTCGTGTTTTCGTGTTTTTGTTTTGTCAATTTGAGTTTTGTTTCTGCACGTGAAGTTTATGATTTTAGTGTTGTGTATTCGTGTTTTTGTTGTTTTCTTGTGTTTTGTGTTTGTGTTTTTGTGTAGTTAAAATGTTTTCGTTTGGATTATTTGTTGTGCTGTGTTTTGTGTTTTTATAAACTGCAATTTTGGTGCCAGGCTATCCTAGCCCATGAAACACAGATAAACATGATAAAGAACTTATTTGTAAAGCTAGAGAGCAGAGACATGAGACGAGAAGGAGATTGAGTTACTTACCCATGGCTGATCAAGTAACTTACAGAAGCCCGAGTTAAAGCCCTTTGGTTCGAAAAAATCTCATTCTGCTTTGGTTTTATGAGATCCTGCTTAGAAAAACACAATGAAAAAGAACAGTTACAGTTAACCATACTTTAACCATAGAGTTTCAAAACATGTTACACTCGACCTTAGATAGATGAGAACTTACAACTAACATGTGACTACTTACCTGGACATGGTGAGCTTTCCTGTTTCTACACCCTCTTATAAGGTAAAGCTAGAGAGCAGAGACATGAGACGAGAAGGAGATTGAGTTACTTACCCATGGTTGATCAAGTAACTTACATTTATATTGAATACATGAAGCCCGAGTTAAAGCCCTTTGGTTCGAAAAAATCTCATTCTGCTTTGGTTTTATGAGATCCTGCTTAGAGAAACACAATGAACAAGAACAGTTACAGTTAACCATACTTTAACCATAGAGTATCAAAACATGTTACGCTCCACCTTAGATAGATGAGTACTTACAACTAACATGTGACTACTTACCTGGACATGGTGAGCTTACCTGTTTCTACACCCTCTTATCAGGTAACCAACAGTTTTTAAATCTGATTTTACTGCAGTCACCAAAAATAACAAATATCAAAAACAAAATAGCATTCTCAAACTCACAAAATAGTGATGGTGCTTTAAGCCACAATTCTAATGTTTTCCAGGATAATGCTTTGTTGTGTTGTATTCTACTTGTATTATCCTAAAAGTGGACTTACGCATGATGTATAGAATTGAGAGAGAAAGAAAGAGTTAAGTCACTTCCCTATTTGAGCCCTTCTTCTTCGTTCAATATTTGAGTCCTCATTTTTTTTATTATTGCTCCTCAAAGTTCCCATCTCTTGAATTCATCTAGCAAGAGTTATGTAGAGAGTGAACTTGAATTAGAACACACAAAATCAAAAACTATGCAGAGTATTGAAGTTACTAAAAATCTTACAGCATCTAGTCCGAGCGAAGTTTTGGCCACTTTCTCGACGTCTTTACAGTTAAATTCGCAAACCACAGCTCACTCTTGAACCAATAACATGATAGAACATCCTCAGTTGTTAAAAGAACAAAGATTATTGCATTTAAGATTATGTGAAAACATGTTAATGTGATCTAAGCCACCTTATCATCAAATCCAAACCCAACCAAGAGAATGCAATGTCCAAAAGCCAAACCAGTGCCTACAAATAAAAAAGAATGAAGATTATAACTGATTTCCAAATCTCTGTAAGCAGTTAAGCTTGAGAATAAAGACAATAAATTCACCTTGATGCTAAATCCAAAATTTTTAATGATTAGCAAAGACTGACATGGTTACCCATTCATAGAGAATTTCCCATCAAATATAGTGGTTAGCTTCCGGATCAATAGCACCTAAACGTTGCCCAAGCACAATCATGTCATTATGGCTTACGAAATGAATAGTTCACTTCAAGCAAATACTTTCAGAAGAGATAGAGATACCTTTACAAGATATACAAGGAAAAATGTAGAAATAAGAACTCCAATCATACCATGCAAAGCCATTTTTTCCTATACCTCTGTCAAATCATAGAGATAATTAATAGCAAGAACATGATAGAGTTCGTAGTTGACAGAACATGAGGAATATATTCATCAAAAAAGTTGAAAATTAAAAGATAGAAAACTTTGTTTTGGTGATTGTCCATGAAGATTGATATATAGAAAAAGAAGATCGTGAAGTAAGGCAGACAACTGGAAGTTATTCCCTGCATAATTACAACAACATCAGTCTGCTGTAAATGTACTAAAGTGATGACTATTGAGTACCTACAGATTCTAAACTCAAGATGCTTCATTATTCTGGCTTTGTGAGTACCATTTTCAATTTATTTATGCCATGGTTTTCCTGCCAAAGTAAAATATGAAAATAAAAACATTGGAAGTCAACTTTAAACATAAACTTTTGAACAGTATTACAATGGATCCTAAACTCACAGTAGCTAAACACTAAAACCAAATAGACTTTTGATGCCAAACACGAAAACAATAAAAAGGGAAACCTCATGCAAACATCAATAAGACGTATTTCACTAAAGAATTCATAAATAAACACTAGAAGACTATAACAGCAGTTCCTTTGCTGCAGAACAAACTGTAGAATTTGATATTTGAACTGTGGTGATCAAAGATAATACCTGACACTCGTATATTCCTTTGTTGTAGGGATCCCCAAGGTCATCTGCATTGAACTTTTGATTAGCTTATAAACATTGACACCACAGTTCAACGAATTATGGTCTATGATCGTGATTTTTTTTTGTCTAGTGTTGTGTTTTTGGTGTTTTTGTTTTGCCTATTTGAATATTTTGTGTCTGCACGTGAGGTTTATGTTTGGAGTGTTGTGCTTACGTGTTTATGTTTCGTGTTTTTGTTTTGTTTCTGCACGTGAAGTTTAAGATTTGCGTGTTGTGTATACGTGTTCATGTTTTCTTGTGTTTTGTGTTTTGTGTTTGTGTAGTTATATGTTTTTGTTTGGATTGTTTGTTGTGCTGTGTTTTGTGGTTTTATAAACTGCAAGTTTGGTGTTTTAACCAAACATGCCAGGCTATCCTCACCCATGAAACAGAAATCAACATGCTAAAGAACTTATTAATAAAGCTAGAGAGCAAAGAAATGAGACAAGAGGGAGATTGAGTTACTTACCCATGGCTGATCAAGTAACTTACATATATATTGAATAGATGAAGCCCGAGTTAAAGCCCTTTGGTTCTAAAAAAACCTCATTCTGCTTTTGTTTGTATGAGATCCTGCTTAGGAAAAACACAATGAAAAAGAACAGTAACAGTCAACCATAACCATAGAATTTCAAAACATATTACGATCAACCTTAGATAGATGAGACTTACAACTAACAATATGAGTGAGTACTTACCTGGACATGGTGAGCATTCCTGTTTCTGCACCTTCTGATAGAGTAATTCACAGTTTTTGAAACTCAAATTTTACTGAAATCACGAAAATAAAAAACAAATATCAGAAACAAAATAACATTCACAAACTCACAAATAAATGATAAAGCAAAGAAATCGACATAACAAAAGCAATCTGTTGCTAGTACTTTGTTTTCCAGTTATGATCCTAGAGATTGTTAATTCCCAAAAAAAAAACTATACAATAACAGAACTATCCAATCTGTTTCTCTTACAACCATTCATAAGCCTCAACAAATAAAGAATAGAAATACAATAAGTACTTGCAGCAAATAACAATTCAAGCATGAACAAAAAGCTTTTAAAATCAATCATCTTCGCCTCGTAGTTTCAAACTCAAAAAAAAATTGTTAATTCCTTTAAAAAGCCTAATTTCGTTACTAACAACCATTCAACATTTCACTCACATGAACACAAAGTAAAACCCTAATTAGAAGGCGATAACACAAAGTATATAATCATAAGAAATGTACAAATTGAAAACCGGAAGACATGGATTCACTAAGTAGTCATCACAAGTAGAAAGCGATCAATTCAAATCAATGATCTGTTCTGATTTTTTTTTTTTGGTCAAGATCTGTTCTGATTTTGATGCATAAATTAATCCAAAAAAAAATCTCAAGAAAATTCGCGAAATTGAAACATACAAATGGAAACAACTATTCAAAACTCCCAAAGATCTCAATTAATAACTTCATAAATGATCTAGTAACTTCATAGTCCATGGTTACATGTTCAATACAGAAACAGAATATAACGAGAGAGAGAAAAAGAGATTACTAGTACCTCGACGCAATGATAACTTGAAATTTATCCATGAAACCAACGATACTTATCAATGATCCATGAGCGTAACCTAGTTGATAAAAAAATGAAAATCATATACAAAGCAAAACCCTAATTAGACGGCGATTACAAAAAGTATATCATCATCATCATAAGAAATGAACAAATTGAGAATCGGAAGAACATGGATGCGCACTAAGTAATCATCACAATTTCAAAAATCGATGATCTGTTCTGATTTTGATGCATAAATTAATCCCAAAAATCTCCAGAAAATTCGCGAAATTGAAACATACAAATGGAAACAACTATTCAAAACTATGAATCGAAAAGATTAATAGAAAAATAATTAATCTAACCTTCAAATTAGGTCCAAAAACAGAGACGCTTGGATTACCCAGAAAAAGAAAACAGAGACATCGATGAAGAAGATGAAGGAGGTTTCAGAGTGAGAGAGCGATGGATTCAAAATGATTCAACCGTTGCGATATTAAGCAAATAAAAATGCTAACAATGAAATGAATTAAATAAAAAATTTACCCTGTAAATTACATTTATTTACCAGTTTTGCCACTTGATAACCCTAGGTGGCTTCTTGCTTTACACACACGTGGCAAATGATTAATTTGAATTTGGGTAAGTGGCTCCAAAAAATGAAAACTTTTGATTTTAACGTTTGGATATTTTCGATAACAATTATCTATTAGTCTGTAGATTTTGAATTTTGGCTGTTTACACAAAAATAATAATAATAATAATCAAACTTTAATCTTTTGCAAATGGAAACAAAACCTATATATACTTTCTCTTTTTTGGCCAAAACGTGTTACGTGTGTATGAAGTCATTGTTATCATGTTATGTTTATTATTTGTCTTCGTTCTCTTTCACTTCAAAACTCTTCTTGCAAAAAAGGACTTCGACATGGCTCTGACTTTGTCAATAATCTCATCAGAACCAATCTCATCAGCCCAAATAATTCACAAGCTTCTCTGGCTTCCAGAGAGCTTTAAATTGGGCCAAATAATGGGCCTTTATTCTGGCCCGAATTCGTTGCATTAAAAGAACAAATGAAACGAGGGACTCTGCTTTGTTCTATGTGAGACTTTTTGCATAAGGTAATTGGAATTCTTAAGATATGACTTTAGGGATCAGAGATGATCAGACTCCAGAGATTGTGACTTGGTCAGCTATTTAACTTAGTTTGAATTCATTAAATTTTTAACTTATATGATTCATCTGACTCTTGCCTTTCTTAATGCTAGAACCAACTTTTACTCCCAAGGCATTTCAGATTCCTTTGGGAGTATAGCGTGAATTGTTTCTGAAAGATGTAAGTACTTAGCTTTCTTTTGTTTTCTTCATTTGACTTTTGATTATATTAGCATGGAGGATTTAATACAAGTTTGCTTTATTTGACCAGTGTAGAGTTTTAACTATGAGATGTTGACAGTTCATGAGGGATTAGACTATGGTTTAGTTATATTATGTCACGCTCTATCATGAAGTCAACTCTAAATTCCTTAGCAATTGCTTAGAAATTAGGAGGAGATTTGAATATTGAAAATTCGAGTTTTGACTTTCTTGTCCTGGAAGTTATTACTAGACCTTGTTTTTTTCAGCTCAAGAGGTTTCTTGTTACCATAGATTTTTCAGACTCTCTCCTTCAGTGACCATGTCTTACAGACTGCATCTTTTTTTGATCTTCTCCTGTCTTTATCTGATTTGCCACTCAAGTCAACAAGAAACTCGGTTTGTCTACAATGGCTTCGATCAAGCTGATCTTTTCATTGATGGGATCGCCAAGATCCTTCCTGGTGGGCTTTTACTGTTAACAAACTCTACAGAGCTGCAGATGGGTCATGCTTTCTTCAAGCAGCCATTTGATTTTGGTCCATCTTCATCGCTCTCGTTCTATACACATTTTGTGTGTGCTCTGGTTCCTCCTAAGTTGGGAGGTGTTGGTGGCCATGGGATTGCCTTTGTTGTGTCTCCTTCGATGGATCTCTCTCATGCATACGCAACTCAGTATTTGGGTGTATTTAGCAATAATGGGACTTCTTCTACTTCTCCTCTGCTAGCTATTGAACTCGATACTGTTAAGACAGTAGAGTTTAATGAGTTGGAAAAGCCTCATGTTGGTATTGATGTGAACAGTCCAATATCTCTTGAATCTTCTCTGCCATCTTACTTTTCCAGTGTCTTAAGGAAAAATATAAGCATAGATCTTCTGAGTGGAGAGCCTATCCAGGTCTTTGTGGATTACGATGGCTTGTTTCTAAATCTTACTCTGGCTCCTATAGATATCCAGAAGCCAAATCAGCCTCTTATATCAAGAGCCATGAATCTTTCAGAAGTTTTTCAAGAGAAGATGTATGTTGGGTTCTCTGCATCAACAGGGAACATGCTCAGTAACCATTATATACTTGGGTGGAGTTTTAGTAGAAGCAGAGAACTATTACAGACCTTGGACCTCTCTAAACTCCCTCAGGTTCCTCTTCCTAGAGAAGTTAAAAAGAAACTATATTTATCTCCACTGCATATTGGTTTGGTCGTCTTATTGGTGATCCCTGTGGTGATGGTTCTTGGAGGAATGTATTGGTACAGAAGAAAGAAATATGCAGAAGTTAAAGAATGGTGGGAAAAGGAATATGGACCACACCGGTTCTCGTATAAGTCTTTGTACAAAGCAACAAATGGGTTTAGTAAAGATTGTCGTGTTGGTAAAGGTGGGTTTGGAGAAGTCTATAGAGGAACTCTGCCCTTAAGCAGGCATATAGCTGTGAAAAGACTATCACATGATGCAGAGCAAGGAATGAAACAGTTTGTGGCAGAAGTTGTAACTATGGGAAGTTTACAGCATCGCAATTTGGTTCCTCTTCTCGGGTATTGCAGGAGAAAAGGTGAATTACTGTTAGTCTCTGAGTTCATGCCCAATGGCAGTCTTGACCAGTACTTGTTTCAAAACCAAAACCCATCTCCTTCATGGTTGCAAAGGATTTCTATTATTAAAGACATTGCCTCGGCTCTCAGTTACTTGCATATAGGAACTAAGCGCGTTGTTTTGCACCGGGATATAAAAGCTTCTAACGTAATGTTAGATTCTGAGTTCAATGGGAGGTTAGGTGATTTTGGCATGGCCAAGTTTCATGACCATGGAGCCAACTTATCTGCAACAGCTGCTGTGGGAACTATAGGTTACATGGCACCAGAGCTAATAACAACTGGAACGTCTATGAAAACCGATGTGTATGCATTTGGTGCTTTCCTTCTTGAAGTAACTTGTGGAAGACGACCTGTGGAACCTGAGCTGCCAGTTGAAAAGCAATATTTGGTCAAGTGGGTATTTGAATGCTGGAAACATGCTTGTTTACTCGAGACTAGAGATTCAAGATTGGGAGGAGAATTTGTATCTGCGGAAGTTGAGATGGTTCTGAAACTTGGACTGCTCTGCACAAATGCTATGCCAGAATCAAGGCCTTCCATGGAGCAAGTGGTGCAATACCTTAACCGAGACTTACCCTTGCCGGATTTCTCGCCATCTACTCCAGGTATCGGGGCTTTTATGCCAGTTTCAGCCGTAGCATCATCTGCCATTGAGGTCTCCAGATTAAGGAACTCGTCAGTTTCTATGTTTGTTACTCACACGATCTTGGACGGTCATGGGAGATGAGAAATCTAAGGAACTGTGTATGTTCTGCATCTAGATCTGTCTTGCTACTTAAATGTTTTAACTTAAAACTGTTGACTATGTTGTCTGTTGATGTTGTACTCAAACAGATCGTCATGTCCTTTGTAATCCAAGAATCTGTAAGTTTCATAATTGGACATGCTTACCTGTGAAATTGAACAATAATCCAAGTTTGACATTACAGGTTGGTGTTTAGAACCCTCAGAAGTGAAAAAAAAAGACATGGAGATTAAGAAATCTGAGTAGTACAGTTAACAAAAAGAGATTAAAATGAAACAATTTTAACAAATCAACTTACAACATTATTATTCTTTCTATGGTGAAAAGCAGAAATCAAATTAGAATAAAGACTTATCTCTCTGGCTATATATAACCTATGATTTGGAGAAAAAGTTCACAAATCATCTGATCCAACATAAACTTCTCTCTACACAAAGAAAAAAAAAAGATGTCCTCTGAGAAAATGAAGACAGACAAAAAAATCTCATAGTTATTCACCAAAAACTCCGAGGTATCAATGAAGACCATCTTGATTCTTTCCCTGTATCAGAAGCAGATCCAGAATACCTTCTAGACTTATGAATTCTCATTTTTACACTCGGGACTTTACGTGCAATCGCTTGCCATATCATCTGGACTGCATCATCTACCTTCGACGGAAAATGGAACTCATAATGTTTCTCCACTTCCTGTAGTCTCTTCCACATTCGTGTCCATTCCTCTTTGCTTATTCCCCTTATTAAATTAACTAGAAAGTTTTCTTTTAATGCATCAGCGGTGCGAACAAACACCGAGAACTCAGAGTAATCAAGAACGTCCTCGAAAGGAAGCTCAATGTCGTCGCTAATAATGACAGGCACACAGTGACTGGCAATGGCGTCAAAGAGACGGTTTGATGAAGGAGTGTCTCCGGCAATGTTGAGGCAGAACTTAGAGTTGTGCATTCCCTGGCTTGCTTTGTTTATGCCTCCATTTCTCACACTCCCAAACGAGAAATGAACGTCTTTCTCATCTTGCAAGAGGTAGAATAACTCCTGACGCACAAACCCACCCTGAGATATATGACACATTGGACCAAACCAAATTTAGCTAACTTGTACAGTTCACTTTCAGAAATTAGTATCACAAAATTCAAATGCAAGAATCAGATTTGTTGAATAATAAATAATGGAACGCAAGTACTAAAAGCAAGGTAACAAAAGAACTTACATCTTTCCTGTATATGGCACCCTGAAAGTAAAGCAGAATCGGTCTGCTATCGAAACCAGACGTATCGTTTTCATACGCTTTGATAACATGCTTATAAGGCGCAATGATATCTTTCTCAACATTCGCCACAGTAGGAGGATACCTTCCAAAGTCCGAGAGTATAAACATTGCAGGAAACAGCTTGTTTCTAGCATCCAACATACTATTCGGATGATGAGCAAGAACCACATGATCTCTACCACCCGATCTCTTCCACTCCTCTTGAGCAGTCAAAAAACTAACCAACTTCCTTTGCAAATCCTTGTTCTTACTAATCTTCTGATGAGGATTCACCTTAGAGAACCGATTATAACTCAAAGACGAAAAAAACGGCACAAAGATAACATCAGCTTCAGTAGAATTATAAACCCGTTTCGCAGCAACAGTCCTCGGCGCATTCTCATACTCCGAAGCAAGTAAATCTAACGTAAGCCAATACTCGATACTATGCTGCAAATTCAACCCTCCAGGATAAGGCGGTATAAACTTCTGAACATCAGGCCATACACTACTACTACCTTTCTTCTTCCCATCAGGTTTCCAATCTAACAATCCGAAATGAAACTCTGGATCCATATTATACATATAAACCTTAAGAGGAGCCGCCTTCGCTATCACCGACTTATCATCCTTAACACACCTACTACAATCATCTCTCTCCCTCTTTACCCCTTTCACATTCACATCGAATGATTTAGATGAAAATGTGGAGCTGAGGAATCGATTATGAGCAGTGGAACGCAACACAAAGTAACACGAAAGCGCGAATAAGATCGTAGTTACGACGAATAAGCATAGTAACAGATTCCGAGCTACATACCCAATCGCAGAACCATTCTTCTCAACCATTGCCATAAAAGGATCAAAGAGAATCAAATCAAATCACACACAACATACATACATACCCAAGAAATTAGGGCTTCTACATTACAGAATCAGCTCGTGAGATTGATTATAAAGCGAATCATCGATCTAGGTTAAAGTGTTTCTCGCGACACTTGGTTGCTCGATGCGATCGAGAATAGGGAAAAGGAGAACTCACGTTTCGAATTGGGATGCGAAAGCGTGATTGGTGCTATGGGGAATGTAGAAGAAGAAGAAGAAGAAGCTTCTTTGGGAAGAGTTTGATCTCTCATGGAGCCGAGACAATGCGGCGGAGAACAAGGAAGAACAAATGGTGTTGAAGCTTCAGCGATCGTAAAGTTTTCTATAATTAAAACTTTTTTCCTTTTTAATTTTTATATTTATGGATCTGTTTTTTAGTACTTGTTTTGGTATATCTCTCCTGCAACAACATAAATTTTAAAAGAAAAATTAATATGGTTGAAAAGGTAATAAAATTACATAGATCATAAACTAGAAAAGGAAAAAATCATCAAAATAAAAAAGAATATGTATTTTAAAAGAAAATTTAATATGTTTTTTATTTTGACATCGAAAATTTAACCAATTATTTAACTCACAAATTAAATAATCAATTAATTTTTTTTTTAATAAACAACATTGTGCTGCCCAAATATAATTTTGAATAAAGTAGTAGAGATTTTACTATAAAGAGACTAAATGCGGAGGTGAATTCAATATATGACCGATATGTGACATTTAAACAAGGATTTAAATATATAATGACATAATATAAATTAAATGTTGTTTTGAAGCGATGTGACTCTTCTTCTTCCTTACTTTTCAATTTAGGTGAATCATATTTCGTTTCAATGATATATGTATGGTTTTAGCAATCATGTGAGATCAAAACACATGTGAATCTGAAGGTTGAAGAGTACTTTGGAGCTTAAAGAGTTGATAAATGTACATCTCAACTCTTAAGAGGAAATTCTATAAAAGCGATAGAGATCGAAATTATATGAGGATTGAAGAGTACTTTGGAGCTGTCTTGAACCGATGTGGGAGTTGTAGACTCTTCTTCTTCCTAAGTTACGTATACAGCTTTTTGGTAAACAAATCATTCTTTTTTTTTTTAATTGAGTAGTTTATTGTAAGATACAAAATAATTGTGCTAAATAAGTTCACTAAAGTTAACTAAAAGACTACAAGTTTATTGTACGGAAATAAGTATAGTTTTGGATATTATAAGATAAGAGTTAATTAGGACTTTAGGATAAAGGTCGGTCCATATATGAATAGTTTTAGAAATTAATTTCAATGATTGAACGCAAAAACCAAACCGAATCTGAACTTCAATTAATCTGAATCTAAACCAAATTTAATTATAATCTGAAGAGTATTGTATAAAAACGCTTATACCAAAGTACCAAACAACATAATGCTAATAAAATCCAAATTTTTTGTAACTAATGGCGGATCGAAGACCATATTTCTGTTTTTTCTATTTACGGAATTCTATATATGTTAGTTGAATATGTTGATTTTTTTTACATTATGTAAATAGCATTAAGAACTACCATATTAATTGAAATTAAATTACAATTAATATTTTATTATAAAGTTTAATCTAAAGTCTAAATATTCAGCAAAAAAATTTCAGTCCAAACCAAAAACAGTCGGTACTATTTGAATCATGTTTTACAAAGATTTAAATGCTTAGGTCAAACAATCAATATAATTCGTTTTGTATAATAAAAAGATATCGGATATGTTTGTTTTGTCGCTGCATGTAAATGCGGCTGCAGCAAACACATGTACTCTTGTTCGTTTGATAGCTGCAAATTAAAGTTGCGGCGATAAAATGAACATGTCCATTCTAGTTTAATTGTCAAAGTGTGACTGTATATTATAGAAATTAAAATAAGTGTTATTTCCGAGTTGTGTTTATAAAGTCAAACACAAGGATTATATGCTCTTTCAAAGTAAATAAAAATTCTTAACAAGCTAATGACATTTATATATAATTAAATACATAAGATAAACTCGGACACAACGTGGATACTTACCTAGTTAAAAATTAAATAAGTCAAATTAATCTCATTTAAAAGCTATTTTAAAATTGGAGTATAGATTAATCTACTTAAAAATATATAATATGTTGTCCAAAAAAAAAATATATATATATAATATTTGTTCAAAAAAAAGAACATATAATATAATTTCATAAAAATACTAATAACCATACGAAGGTTTGGCTTAAGTCTCATTATTGGCCTATGCCAAGAAAAGGGTGACTACAATCCAAATATGCAAAATCGAGAGTACAAGACATTGCAGCCTTAGCGATCTGATCTATCGTCTGACAACTGAACAATCTTCATATATTTGCTTTTGTTTTCGGCTGCATTCTAGGATTGTAATAAGAAAAAATTATAAATCATTTTTTTTTTTTGGCAACAATTATAAATCATTTGAATTTTATAAAGTTGACTGGTTCAACATTATTCATGTATAAAGCAAAAAATTGGGTTTGACAAAGTAGGGCTTGCACCAGATACTTGTCAAACAAGTTACCTTATCTTCTCTTCACATGGATGGACTTGGCACTAAACTACTCCAAAGTCGTATAGCTTCAGATTCTTTGGTCTTACTTTGGAATATGGATCACTTCACAAGTAATTGATTATTTCGCTTTAATTTAATTCGACTTGATATTGATAATACGAGAGTAGACCAAGTACTCTTTCTCAATTAGTATATTAGTAGATTCTTAAACGTATTTTTAGAGTAATTATCACGGTTATATATAATTAAAAAGTCTATAGTCAACTCTTTTTGTTTTGCATATAGGGAATATTATTCTTGAACTTGGAATATATGTAGAAAAATTGTGTTTGAAGCCGTTTCCCTTATAACCACAACTTAAGATTTTACAAAACTCATAACCCAAAACCATAACTTGTCTGTCTTTTTTTTGTTTTGTCCATTACCAATGGCTAGAATTTTTCTCTTCTTGATCTTAGTTGTTAATCTGATTTGCTCATCAAGTCAACAAGACTTGAGTTTCATCTACAATGGCTTTAACCAAAACCAAAACAATCTTTACCTTGACGGCTCTACCAAAGTCCAAGATGGACTTTTGCAGCTAACCAACGCCACAACTCAACAAAAGGGTCATGCTTTCTACAACCGACCATTCGATTTTGGTTCAGCTTCATCTAAGTCTTTATCTTTCTCGACTCATTTCGTTTGCGCTCTTGTTCCTAAGCCAGGAGTTGATGGTGGTCATGGGATTGCCTTTGTTCTATCTTCTTCAATGGATCTTACACAAACAGATCCAACTCAGTACTTAGGACTCTTCAACATCTCAACTAATGGTTCTCCTTCTTCTCATGTCCTAGCTATCGAGCTTGATACTGTTCAGAGCGCAGAGTTTGATGATATTGACAAAAACCATGTCGGTATAGACGAGAACAGCCTCCAATCTTTAGTTTCTGCTTCAGCTTCTTATTATTCAGACAAGGAAGGGAAGAACAAAACCTTGAAACTCTTGAGTGGTGATCCTATTCAGGTATGGATTGATTATGAAGATACTCTACTCAATGTCACTTTAGCACCATTCAAGATTCAGAAGCCGAGTAAGCCTCTTTTGTCAAGAACTATCAACCTCACCGCAATCTTCCCAGATCGAAAAGCATTTATCGGTTTTTCGGCTGCCACTGGTTCATTGATTAGTTATCAATACATCTTAGGATGGAGCTTCAGCAGAAGCAGAGTATTGCTACAGAGTCTTGACATCTATAAACTTCCAAAGGTTCCTCGTCCCAAGAAACCGGGGAAAACATCTCCAATGCTTATTGCTCTACTGGTTATACTCGCTATCATCGTAATCGCGGTTCTTGGAGGATTTTATTACTACAGAAGAAAGAAATATGCAGAAGTTAAAGAGCCATGGGAAAAAGAGTACGGTCCACTTCGTTATTCGTATGAATCTTTGTACAAAGCAACAAGAGGGTTTAACAAAGATGGGCGTCTTGGAAAAGGCGGTTTTGGAGAAGTCTATAAAGGAACTTTGCCTCTTGTAGGTGATATAGCGGTGAAGAGGCTATCACACGGTGCAGAGCAAGGCATGAAACAGTTTGTGGCTGAAGTTGTGACTATGGGAAGTTTACAACACAAGAATCTGGTTCCTCTTCTCGGGTATTGCAGACGAAAATGCGAGTTATTGCTTGTCTCTAAGTACATGGAAGGAGGTAGTGTTGATCAGTACTTGTTTCACGGCGATAAGCCGCCTCTTTCGTGGTCTCAAAGACTCGCAATATTGAGAGATATCGCGTCTGCGCTCTGTTACTTGCATACAGGAGCTAGCCAAGTTGTCTTACACCGAGATATCAAAGCTTCAAATGTCATGTTAAATGGAGATCTCCAAGGGTTCTTAGGAGATTTTGGAATGGCTAGGTTTGATGATCATGGAGCTAACCTCTCTGCAACAGCAGCTGTAGGAACTATAGGTTACATGGCGCTTGAGCTAACATCAACAGGAACTTCAACAAGAACTGATGTGTATGCATTTGGTGCATTTATGCTTGAAGTAACATGTGGGAGGAGACCATTTGATCCCGAGATACCGGTTGAGAAACGTCATTTGGTCAAGTGGGTTTGTGAATGCTGGAGGAAAGGTTCTATACTTGATGCAATAGATACAAGACTGAGAGGTAAGTTCGTACCCGGGGAAGTAGAAGTGGTTCTGAAACTAGGGTTGCTATGTACAAGCATAGTACCAGAAGCAAGACCTAACATGGAACAAGTGGTGCAATACATAAACAGACACCAAAGGTTACCTGAGTTCTATCCAGACACTCCGGGGATTGGAGTTTCCACTCCGGTCTTAATGGGACTGCCATCGTTGGCAATCACTTCTAGTTCAGTTACCTCATCTGCCTCTCCTTCCTCCGTAAACAACTCAATGTTCATTTCTCACACAATCATATATGGTGATGGAAGATGAAATTTATCCACTTTGATTCACATTTCTTTGATGTACAGCATAGAGACCAGACCACATCTGTCTCATTGTCCCTAATGTTTAAACTTTGTATCAGTTATGTTATGTAGAGAAGTTTTTATAACAGTTACTTGTAACACTAAAGATGTGACAAATCTCTCAAGTTAACTTTTGTATATACATGGTTTATGTGATTGATGTTGTGTCTTTGATTAAGCATAAGGTTCAAGTAAAGTAATGACCAAGTACTGAAATATTATTATCTTAAGAGTAGTACTACAGAAATGGTAAGGGGAACAACTAAATGCAAAGACCATGACTTAAAAGAATCAAGTAGATCCATTTGTGAGCAGTTTAGTCTTATTTCTTCCTTCAATCTCCATGAACATGCCCAAAGGAGCAGCAGAGGAACCGTCTTTTTTATCATCAGAAGCACCAATCACGATCCTTATCGCAATCTCTTCTGCATCACTTTCTTTCAAAACCTGGCGAGAGGATGAAACAGAACACATACCACTATTTGTGTGATCAACAACTTCTTTGGACACTGTTGGTGACTGAACGATCCACATGAGGCCGTTGTAACCTTTGGTCTTATGGAGGAATATTACAATCGAGGAGATGAGGAGTTGGATGATCCAAGGTAAGGTAATGAGTAATGTTCCGGTAATGGCAAAGAATTGGATGAAAGGCAACTTGTGGCCATTGGTTGTGGCGAGACGGAAGAAGAGTATTCCCATAAGAGTTGTCCAAAGAGAGTGGAGTAGGACTGACCAAAGAGAGATGCCTCGAGAAGAACCAGAGGTTCTACTACTACTACTACTACTACTCTCCATCTTCACTTATGGGCTAAAGTTGTTTTTGTTAGTCTAATAACGTTGAGAAAGTTATGAGAACATTTGAAGTAAAAAAAAAATGGTTAGGAGATATTGTTGGAGAGATCAATGGTGAGTTTTGATTTTGTTAGTTAGCTGATTTTTTTTCTTTCTTTTGACTTGGTGATTACTGATTAGTGAAATTAAACTATTTGTTTTTCTCCAACAAAGTTTTACAAGTTTTTTTTTTTAATTTAAATTTTAAAATATAAGTGTTTGAATTAAACAAAAAGTGGAAATTCTAAATTATTTTAATCTTTTTGGTCTCTCTAGCCAATAAATAATGAAATTTGGTAATTGGTAAGGGTAATGAGAAAAATGTTAAAACGCTATATCAGCTTAGCAAAAGTGGTGAATATATGAATTTTACTTATTGTGTATGTAATATTTAATTTTTATTGAATTTTTTAAATTTTATAAAAATCACAAACTTTTGTGTTTTACCAAATAAAACACGGCTTAGTTACATAGCTCAATAATAATTTAAATTTTTTGACATAATAATCTAACGATTTGATTATCAGTTAATAAATAATGTTAGATAGTAAAACAAAAAGCTGTGGTTTCTCTAGAAAATCAACGGTTTAATCTCCGTCATATTCATGTTTTATTTAGCAAAGTCGATTAACATTCATGATTAATTCAAAATCAATAAAAACTAAAAATTTATTTCACAACAATCAATTTTCCACTATTCTGTAAATTCTAAAAAAAAAAAAAAAACACTTTTGGCAATTGATAATTCAATAATTTGATTTATGGTTTATTTTAAATTATCCTGTCATAAGATTCCCATTTCCAATATCAATATAGTGGAAGAACTAAAAAAACAACAATGTTCCGTTATATACGTCACACGTCACCATACACATCAGCAATACAATTATTGAAGCCAAAGTTCAAACCAATTAAAACTCACCACGTGTAAACCAGACAAAACATAAAAAAAACCCAACTCGACAAAACAAAACATAGAGAAAGCGAAACCCAATCTCCCTCCAATCTTCTTCTTCTCGACTTTTGTAAGAAGAAGAAACACTAAAGAACCAGAGTGAAGAAGCCATGTCTGTAAAACTAATCTTATCTTCATCGATCCTTTTGATTCTCATAGCTGCAACAACGGCTGATAAAGATATCGGATTCGATGAATTCAATCCAATCAGAATGGTCTCCGACAATCTTCGCGAGCTTGAAGACACTGTCGTTCAGATCTTAGGCCAGTCTCGTCATGTTCTCTCGTTTTCTCGATTCGCTCACCGGTAAAAACTCTCATCGTTGACTTATTTTTCTCCGTTGACTTGTATTTGTAATGTGAAGTTTACGATTTCGGTAAATTTTTGGGTTTTTGTGAATAAAAGGTATGGGAAGAAGTATCAGAGCGAAGAGGAGATTAAGTTAAGATTCTCAGTTTTTAAAGAGAATCTTGATTTAATCAGATCCACTAATAAGAAAGAATTGCCTTATAAACTCTCTGTTAATCGTAAGTCTTATCTCTAACGCTTTGATTTGATCCTTCTTGTCTCAATTCACATAGTTCAAGAACGTTTGGTTTGAGCCTTGTCTCAGTTCACATGGTTCAAGAATGTTTTATTTCAGTTTGCTTTGTCTTAGTTCACCATAGTTCAAGAACTTAGTATGTTAGCTTTGTCTCAGGTCACATAGTTCAAGATTGTTAATGTTTTAAAGCACTGAAGTGGTTTCTAGTATATGTGACATTGTGGAAACATTGTTCTACTTGTTTAGCTTTTAGTTGTGTTCCTTGATGGTTGATGGATTGAGCCACATTAGTGTTGTTTATGTTTAGTGAGTATGTTCTGTTTTACAGAATATGCTGATTTGACATGGCAAGAGTTTCAAAGACACAGGCTTGGAGCTGCTCAAAACTGCTCTGCTACTTTGAAGGGTACCCACAAGGTCACCGAATCTGCAGTTCCAGACAAGGTTAACATTCACTTCTTGTTCTTTATCTTTGAATGGAGATAGAAATTTGTGGTGCTTGGTCTTGAAGTCTTCAGATTGTGTAAAACTGCAGAAAGATTGGAGAGAAGATGGTATTGTTAGTCCTGTTAAAGACCAAGGACATTGTGGATCTTGCTGGACATTCAGGTAAAATTCTCATGATCATAACTTTTTCAGTGATTTCTTGATGTAAACAAGATCAGAATCTCTGAGATATATGATCAATGGTTCCACTTCAGCACGACCGGGGCTCTAGAAGCAGCTTATCATCAAGCATTTGGAAAAGGGATATCTCTGTCTGAGCAACAGCTTGTGGATTGTGCTGGAACTTTTAACAACTTTGGTTGCCATGGTGGACTTCCTTCTCAAGCCTTTGAATACATCAAATACAATGGTGGGCTTGACACAGAGGAGACTTATCCTTATGTTGGTAAAGATGGTGTCTGCAAATTCTCAGCTGAAAACATCGGTGTACAAGTTCTTGACTCTGTCAACATTACACAGGTAAAAGCCTGATTTGGAATAAGATTCATATATACTTACCTCCACAAATCATAGATTTGTTCTCTAAGATAAATAAACTAATAGGGTGCAGAAGATGAACTGAAGCACGCGGTAGGACTGGTAAGACCAGTGAGTATCGCGTTTGAGGTTGTACATGAATTCAGGTTTTACAAGAAGGGAGTTTTTACTAGCACTACCTGTGGAAACACTCCTATGGTGAGTTTTCTTTTCTTTCTTTCTCGAAACTCGCAAAAATGTTTCGAAAATGTTAACATGGATTTGTTATAATTTGCAGGATGTAAACCATGCTGTGTTAGCAGTTGGTTATGGAGTTGAAGACAATGTTCCATACTGGCTTATAAAGAACTCATGGGGAGGTGCTTGGGGAGACAAAGGCTATTTCAAGATGGAAATGGGGAAGAACATGTGTGGTAAGTCTTTTTTTTTTTTTTTTTTTAAACGAATTGGTTTGGTTTCTTTTACTCTCCCATTGATTTGTTTCCTTTGGTTTTGGTAGGTGTTGCAACTTGTTCATCGTATCCGGTTGTGGCGTGAGGTTCAAAGAATCAAAGATAACAAAATAAAGTTTGAATTTTTATATGTGTATCTTATGTTTCCCAAATAATATCGTCGAAAGAAAAGAAAAATAGTGTCTATTGTCACATTGCAGAAACTTCTAACTTTGTTATAAATAACTAAACAACAAATGCATGATTTTTTTGAAGGTGATACTAATGAGTAATGATAAAGAGATCAATGAAGGTGATTCTAATTATGATAATGACAACTGAAAGAAACATCAAAGATGAATATCTTAGCCAAAGTGTAAACACATATGTTTATAATTTTTACATATTTCAAGTTTGTATTCAGTAATTGAATTTTCTTTCGTGATCCACTATTTTATATGAAACATGACTACATTAATATAGGATAATCTTGATTAATTTTCATTGATCATTTTTCAATGAACTTGTAATGAAGAGACATTAATTCTATAATTCTTTCTGACAAATATTTTATTAAATTTTTCCTAAATGTTCTATAAATAAAATAAGTATTTATAATTTTATTGAAGATTTTTATGTTATCTTTTCCTTTTGATTTCATTATATATACATTTTTAAAGATTTTTCTATTATCATATGTGATGGAGCATCAATGCTCTAAAATGAGCCTCACCATCATTAAAATATTGTAAGAATGAAAAAAAAAATCAACATTGGTCATACCAAATTTTGGGAAATAATGTATATTGTAGCTTAGATTTAAGTGATTTAAAGACTCAATACTAAAATATAACTAACTCATTAACATACCTTAATAACGTGCCAAATTAACTTATTAACAGAAGTAAATGACGCGCCAAAAGTTTCCATTGTCATAATAATAAAAATTTGTTAACTTTACATATAAATTTCATTTTTATCACCTAATAAAATGTTAATTTTTATTTTTCTTGACTACAAGATGATATTAATTTGTTACCAAAACAATATTAACGATTTTGGATATATATATATATATATATATATATATATATAGTGAATCCACAATGTTTAATTCTTATAAATTAAAATAAGAGCCCTGCTGCATATTTCAAGAGATATACATTGTTAGTTGTTCAACTGTAGCTTTTGATTGACTTAATTATTGAAGCTAAGGTATCCTTACTACATCTCTTCAATAATTTTTAGCCAAATTTTCAATGTTTTCTCCCCCTTCTTTTATTTTGTTGATGTTGTTTAAGAAAAATAAACTGTTGATATTCTTTTTAAATAACGCGCGAAAATAAATTATTAACGGTAAGATTTTGAACCACGTGATAAATTTTCAAACACTATAGTTTTTGGCCATCGTTATTTGTCTTGACTCCACGTGTCATTTATCTTATCTGTAAGTTTATTTTTTCTCAGTTTTTCCTTAATTTGATTTCCTTTTTTCACTAATTACCCAAATTAATAGATAACTTACTTTATATTACAAAAATAATTTCAGGTAAGTAATCGATCCAACGGCTTGTGTTTCTCAACGTGGCGTGATCCTAGTAAATCTGATTGATATAAGTTACAAAAACTTACGATACGATACGATACGATTCTGTGAGAGAGAAGAAGAAGAAGAAAACAAAGTTAGGTGAGCTTTTGTAGAGAGAATCTGGTTTTTTACGTACATGTTAGCACACTGGAACTAAACCCGGACGTATTGCGGTAAACTAAACCGGATTTGATAAAAATCAGCTTTTGTTCTTCCGGTTATCTGTAAAAATCGATTTCTTTCTCGTCTCCTTCCTCCTTAAGTCAAAAAAAACAAAAAAAAAAAGGCGAAAACTTTGAAATTTGTCGGCGTTGTTTTGAATCTGTAGAACACTAAAAATTGAGTTTTTTTTTTTGATGATTTGATATGCAGTATCCGATCTCTGGGTAAATTTCTTCAATTTTTCTTGTTCTTGGATTGATAATTTTTAGAACTCGGTGGAAAGGACTAATTTTTTTGAATGATCAATCTCTTTTTTTGTTTAGATCGGTTGCTGTATAGAGACTTGATTCTCCGGCGGTGTTACTCAATTTCCCGGTGGTGGTTTTGTGATTTGAACTGAGACGTCTTTGTGTGTGTGGGTTTAAGAGATGGATTTAGTTGCTAGCTGCAAGGTATTAACACTGATTGTGATGGGTTAATTAAGATTATATTGAGAAGAACTTTTCAAAAGAGCTTGCTTTTTTAATTTTTACAGTCAATTTGCTTATGATCGGTCTGAAAAAAATGATTTTTGAGTTGAGTGGATGTTATTGTTTACTTAGTTGAGATGTATATTTCAGGAGAAACTTGCGTATTTCCGGATAAAAGAGCTCAAGGATGTGCTTACTCAGCTGGGACTTTCTAAACAAGGGAAAAAGCAGGTTTGAAATTTTGCTGCTGATGTTTCCACTTGCTATTGTTATGGTGTTAAACTCTGCTTATTAATATCGAATAGAAGATTGTGTTTGGGTGATCATAGTTGGACTTTTCTCGTTTTGAGGGAGACAATGCTGTCATTATATTGTAATTGATTTGCTAATAGTGAGCTTATGTATCTACTTTGGTGAAGAGGGTTACCTGTTTCATTTGAAAGTAGTAGTTGTTATTGTTAGATAGATATCTTGTGTTCTTTTACAGAAGATTACAGCTTAGTTACCAGGAAATTTCATGAAGTTCATAGTCTACTGTTTAATTGGGGTTCCAGTTTGGGTTGTGATTAATGTTAACTTTTTTCTCCGTTTGTCCTTTTACTTATGCAGGACCTTGTTCAGCGGATCTTGACTATTCTTTCTGATGAGCCTGGTATATTGCGCACTCATTTTTATTTACTCATGCGTGAACTGTGTAATCAGGGAAAGCTTTTGAGTGTTCTTATAAGCGTTGTTTCCATTACCTACTGACAGCGGGCAGGTTGTGGTCTAAAAGGGATGCCATGGCAAGGGAAAAGGTTGCAAAACTAGTGGAGGATGCATATAGGTGAGTGTATGTTTTAGCCATGGATTTCTTATGCATGCTTGTTTTTTCCTTGTGGACAGTCATTTACTTTTTGTTTTACCACAATAATTTTTTGTTTCCACAGGAAAATGCAAGCATCTGGGGCAAGTGAATTAGCGTCCAAAGGAAAAGTTAGTTCGGATATCAGTAATGTTAAAGTTAAGGGAGAACTTGAAGATCCCTTTCAACCAGATAACAAAGTTCGGTGTATTTGTGGAAGCTCACTAGAGACAGAGTCAATGATACAGGTAAGTCTGTTACACAATAGTCGTCTCAAATCCTTTTTGAGTTAGCAGTATCTCTTGGTGGTGGTACCTTATGGCTTCATTAGACGATTTTGTAAATTTCAGTGTGAGGATCCGAGATGTCATATCTGGGAGCATGTTGGTTGTGTCATTATTCCGGAGAAGCCTATGGAAGTAAACCCACCTCTTCCTGAATCATTTTACTGTGAAATATGCCGACTTACCCGTGCTGACCCGTAAGATGCTCATGAACTTCTTTTGATTGGGAAATGAGTAAAAATCTGTTCTTACATAACATGAAAGGGGGGGGGGGGGTTCCTACATGCCACTTTATGCTCTGTGTTTTGATTTTGTTTAAAAATTGTTTTGTGTTGATTTTCGCGTCTTAATTGTTTTTTTTTATGTGCAGATTTTGGGTTACAATGGCGCATCCATTGTATCCTGTCAGGTTAACTACAACGACAGCCCCAACTGATGGGTATGTACACGAAGTCTTTTGTTGTAACTATCATGTTTAGATTTGTGTACTTGTGGTGGAAATTCAAAGACATTATAGTGTCTTGCGGTCTGCATACTGTTTGTGGATGTAGGGTTAATTTCAATTGAGGGATGAGGTGAACCGTAGTCACTCAGCTTTCGTAGCTGGACTTATGTTTCATTTTAGTACTTAGAGAAAAGAATTCATGGTTGTTCCTAGGCAGATCTATAACACCTACTTAAATATGATAATAACATGTGTGTTCTTCTAATACTCCGACACAATTTTCAGTTCAAACCCAATGCAGAGTGTGGACAGAACATTTCAAATAACAAGGGCAGACAAAGATTTGTTGGTGAAACATGAGTACGATATTCAGGTTGATGATTTTAAAAAGGAGGTTAGATATGTACACTACATACGTGTGTGTGTGTTTTCTAATTGGCAGTTCTATTTGTTTTGTTTTCAGGCTTGGTGTATGCTCTTGAATGACAAAGTTCTATTTAGGATGCAGTGGCCTCAATATGCTGATCTGCAAGTCAATGGTATGTGAGTCCAATTCATTGTTTAGGGATGATATGTGTTAGTGTTATTAGCGATTTATTAGGAGGAATATGAGGAACATGGGTTTCATGGAATAAGTATGGTTTGCAGATCTCAGTAAATGTGCTCTCTTTTGATATGGATTCATGGTTAAGTTACTTTTTTTATAGGTGTACCTGTTCGAGCAATTAACCGACCAGCGTCACAGCTTCTGGGGGCCAATGGCCGCGATGATGGACCTATGGTATGTTTTTCATCTCTTTTCAGTAACAGTTGTTTGTTGTTATGGATAGTTTACTCTCTCTAAAATTAATATGAAGCTGTTTGTAATCTAGTATGCATCCATATTTTTGGCAGATCACACCTTGTGTTAGAGATGGAATTAACAAGATATCCTTGAGTGGATGTGATTCCCGCAGTTTTTGTTTGGGTGTAAGACTTGTGAAGAGACGAACTCTGCAACAGGTACTTGTATTTACTGTAAGATGTTGCATGAGAAACATTAAAAAACTAGAGTCAATGCGAGGGAAAAAAAAAAAGATGAATTTAATCTGTAAGAATAAACTAGAGCATGTGCATGCGAAGGAAGTTAATCTGTGTGAGGGTTACACTATGGTTGCACTGAAAATTCTAGGTTTTCCCAGTTCTATGTTGACTACAATTTGTTAGTTATACAATGTTAAGAAAGATATATTCTCTTTGATCCTGAGCTAAGTCAATCTGGTATTTTTAGATCATGGTGCAATGGCATAAGTGAGTACATTTTGTTGGCTATTTAGTGCTGACTGCTGAGTTTGGTTCTCTTTGATGATGAGCTGGGTCAGGAATCCATGGTGCAATGGCATAATTGACTACAGTTTGTGGTTATATATTGTTTTCTTAAGTATAGTCTGTTATGCTGTAAAATCTTCTTTCTCACTGTATTAATCACTATTTCTAGTGTTCTTAAATGCTCAAAACATGATCTACTTCACTCTTATGAGTTTCCTGTAAACCTACCGCTACTTCTTCATCTAGGTCTTAAACATGATTCCGGATGAGGATAAAGGTGAACCTTTTGAAACTGCTCTTGCGCGTGTACGCCGATGTATTGGAGGTGCAACTGGAAATGATGATGCTGACAGTGATAGTGATATTGAGGTTGTTGCAGATTTCTTTGGTGTCAATCTCCGTTGTCCTGTAAGTTCCTTTGGTAGATTACTCCTTGTTTTTAATAAGTTGTTGCAATCCAATAGGTGTGTTTGTCTCCTGACTACCTTATTGTGTGTATGAGAACGTTTCTAGACTGATTAGTATTACCTTTCTGTTGATGTCACTAGATGAGCGGCTCTAGGATGAAAGTTGCTGGGAGATTTAAACTCTGTGTGCACATGGGATGTTTTGACCTTGAGGTGTTTGTGGAGCTAAATCAACGTTCCAGAAAGGCAGGTATCCTATTGTAGTCTTGTTAATTGGGTTATTCCTATTGTATACTGAGTTTATATGTTCCGTGGTTTGTGTAACTACAGTGGCAATGTCCTATTTGTCTGAAGAACTACTCTCTGGAGCATATAATTGTAGATCCTTATTTTAGCCGTATTACATCAAAGGTAAAATTTGGTGGATGTTAATTCTTGATGAATTTGATGTTTTATTCATTTAAGTACATTTACAAAGATTTTCTTCCTGCATGCAGATGAGACATTGTGATGCAGAGTTGACTGAGATTGAAATAAAGCCTGATGGTTCTTGGCGTGTGAAGTTCAAAAGTGACAGCGATCGTAGAGAATTGGGGGAACTCTCAAAATGGCACACACCTGATGGTAGTCTCATCCCCACGATTGATGAGATTAAACCTAAGATGATAATGCTAACATCAGTTAAACAAGAAGGTTTCTCAGACGATCTAACCCCTTTGAAACTTGGAATAAGGAAGAATCGCAATGGCATTTGGGAAGTCAGCAAATCTAATATCAATGGTTTGTCTTCCAGTAATAAGCAAGAGAAGGTTGAGTATCAGGAGCAAAATGTTATACCAATGAGCAGTAGCGCAACTGGAAGTGGTAGAGATGGCGATGACCCTAGCGTAAACCAGGACGCTGTTGGGACCTTTGACTTTGGAAACAATGGGTTGGAGCTTGATTCTCTATCCATGAATGCAGATCCAAGCTACAACTTTAGTGATAGGAATCATCAACCAGCAGTTGAAAGTAATAATGAAGTCATCGTTCTAAGTGATTCTGATGACGAAAATGATGTTGTAATTACTGGGGGTCCTGCTTTCAATGAGAATCAACCTGATGGCGAGGCAAACTTTCCATTGCACCCACCTGGTATTAACTCGTACAGTGAAGACCCTCACACCATGGCTGGGAGCAGTTCGGGCCTGGGTCTTTTCACCGACATTGACGACGATTATGATATGCGCCTTTGGCAGTTTTCTTCAGAACCCCAAGGAGGCCCTGGGTTCCAATTATTTGCTTCTGATGCTGAAGTATCAGAGGATTTAGTTGGTTTAAAGCCTGGTCTACCGAACTCTGCCCCTGCAATAAGTAGTGGTTACACAATAGCTCCAGAGCAATCAATACCATCTGTTCCTATATTTCCAGAATTGGGTGGGGAACGTGAAGCAGATGCAAACGGTGGATTAGTGGACAATCCTCTGGCAACTAGTGAAGAGGATCCCTCACTTCAAATATTTCTGCCAACAAGACCTGATACCTCACCTCAGTCTGACTTAAGAAATCAGGCAGAGGTGTCAAATGGAACTCCCAGTGATGATTGGATCTCCCTTAGACTTGGTGATCATGGAGAGACAGTAGGTGTAAACAGAGTTAATGAAAACAATCCAGTGTCGACGAGCGAGGGTGTTTTGGATACCTTGTCAGAAACAGGTTAGTTTCCCTGACTGAAACTGATTTTGCTTTATTTTTCTTGAAACATGAAGAGATCTTTAATACAGATTGTCATGCTTATGACTTATTTGCACTGTTGCATTTAGATTTCCTTCACTTGTATGGGTTGTTGGGTCTTGTAAAGACAACTGAACAAGAGTGGTCTGAATTATCGGGGATTTGTTACTGACTAAAATCTAACTTATTTGCAGCGTCGTTGCTTCTGGGAATGAGTGATAGTAGTAAACAAGAGAAGGCAAGTAGACAAAGATCAGATAGCCCGTTCTCGTTTCCTAGGCAGAAGCGTTCAGTAAGACCCCGGCTGTATCTCTCCATTAACTCAGATTCAGAATGACTCATGATTTATTTGTCTGGATGATGCTACTACCCATATGTATAGCCTACCTCAACTTGTTTATTTTATTTTGCGGGGATGATCCATCCGGTGTTACTTTGATTCTTTACATATACATATATGCACAGAACAATCAAATGGATCATCATCATCATCATCAGAGCCAGAGTTTGGAAAGCTTTGCTTCATTCTCTGTGCTCGGGCATCTTAAAGGCTCTCATGCAAGGTAAAAAAAAAAAGCCAATCTAAGTCTTCATCAACATATCCGAAGCTAATATATCTTCTCTGTGAAACTAAAGCTACTCTGTCTCATTGCAGGATGTTTATTTGCAAAGGAGTAAACTTAGGTTTATACATATAAGTTAATGAAAGACTTGGAAAGCTTTTGTATTTTCGATAGGACAAAGTTGTTTACTACAGATAATATGGGACAAGTAGAGGAAACTTAGCATTTTGTAAATGTGGGGTTTTAACATTTGTTCTCTTCTGTTGAATAGAAAAAAAAAAAAAAAAAAAAACAGTTCTTTCTTCTTCCTCTCGATTCTTAAACACTTCTTGAAAACACCAACATTTTATAACACAGTACTTAATATTGAAAATGGTATCTTAGAACAGTGTCAGTGTTATATATACTAGAGACGAGACGACAAAGATGGTATGGGAGAGTAGTAGTTAGTAAACATAAACAATAACAAAGTGGTATACGGAACTACATAGACCCATGACTCATTGCTCATATCTTCTCTCTTTTCCCATCCTTATCACTTTACTATTATTAAAATCTAAGTTACAAAACTTTAAAATTCTTGGGTCTCTCTAAAAACCCGAACTTTGGCATTTTGACCAATACATTCTTTGTCGTCTCCTTCGTGTATATCGAAAGATGCAGAGGTTTTTTGCAGCGAGATCGATTCTTGGTAACGCCGTCAAGACTCGGATGAGGTGTTTCTCTTCTCTCTCTTCATCTCTCCTCTTCGACGATACTCAGTTACAGGTTCTTTCTTTTTTTTTTTTCTCTGTTCAGATTTTAGGAGTCAGAACTTTGCTGAAGCATTTGGTAGTTGACAACAAATGGTGTTGTTTTAAAAAAGACTCATCTTTGTGCATGTGTGTTCATACATTTGCCCTTTGTTAAGTAGTTAATAGAGCTACCCAAATAAGAGAAAGAGCTTAGTTGTTGTTCTCTCTGGTGTTGATTTCGACTTCCTCTCCTGGGTCTGTGTGGTTTTCACATGGTAATACTTAAATAACATTCAAATTGAAATAATCTGAGAGTTTGTGTTTAAGTAAGTGAATTTGATGGTGTGTCTTTGTTACATCACTAGGGGAGACTTTTAACATGTTTGCCAAGAGTTTTATATTTTTCTATATGGTTTTCTCAGTGGTATTCATCATAAGTAGTTTATCTAATTTTATCTTGATTGCATTTGTTGCGACTTGTAATTGTTTGTGACATTCTTTCTATCCCCTGGATGGCTGGATGCATTGCAACTGCAGTTTAAAGAAAGTGTATCCAAGTTTGCGCAAGATGTTATCGCTCCTCATGCCGAAAGAATTGATAAAACAAATTCATTTCCAAAGGTCTGTCTTACTTATATAGTCTTTAGTTCCTTCCTCTTACGTTTTTGTTGCTTAGATATCTCATCAAAATTTAGATTTTGATACTTTTTTATAACTAGGATGTTAACTTGTGGAAGAAAATGGGTGAGTTCAATCTCCATGGAATCACTGCTCCAGGTAGATCTGTTTCCTAACACAGATGAATATGCTTCTGCTATTCAGCTCAGTCATGTTTCGTTGTATGTCTAGAACGGGAACCTAATCGTATAGTCCTTACCTGCAGAGGAATATGGAGGGTTAGGTCTTGGTTACTTGTATCATTGTATAGCAATGGAGGAACTTAGTCGGGCTTCAGGGTCTGTTGCTCTGTCTTATGGTGCCCATTCCAACCTTTGCATCAATCAATTGGTAAAAATATATTGCTCACAACAGTATTTGAGCTGCTGTAAAAAATGAAGGGAGAAGATTTATTACTACTTTTTACAGGTGAGGAATGGAACTACAGCCCAAAAGCAAAAGTATTTGCCAAAGGTATGATTTCATCTGAGCTTTTTGTATTGTCACTGCTATGCTAATGGTTTATCAGCAATTAACACCAGTGGTAGAAATCTCACCTTATTAGTGAATTGATTATGAATCGAAGAAAGAATGTATTTGATTTTTAACTGACATTTCTTTTTTAAAATCTTGTTAGAGTTTAGCTAACTAATGATCTACTGTTATGAAGCTTATCAGTGGAGATCATATTGGTGCTCTAGCAATGAGTGAACCAAATGGTAAGATACATATAATTTGGATGAAGAGTTTGAGAGTGTGAGAGCACACACTCATACATACAGATAGTGAATGCTTTATTCTGATGGATACTGATTTTAGTTTTTATATTCTTCACAGCTGGTTCAGATGTTGTCAGCATGAAATGCAAGGCTGATAAGGTAGATGGTGGTTATATAATAAACGGCAACAAGATGTGGTGCACTAATGGACCATCTGCTGAAACACTGGTAATATACATTAGATTATATGTTAACTTCTCAAATTGGTTTTGTTTGATACTTCTTTTACTTTAGTTTTAACATATTTCCTACTATTTTGTTTTGGTTGGATCAGATTGTTTACGCGAAAACTGATACCAAAGCAGGTTCTAAAGGAATCACGGCTTTCATTATAGAGAAGGGAATGGCTGGGTATGTAAATTCTCAGTCTTGTTGAAACTGACTTTCTATAATCTTTAGTAAATAAAAGAAAGAGGGAATCCAGAGAGCAAGTTACTTAAATCCATTTCTCATTGTGATGGCTTTGCAGATTCAGTACTGCGCAGAAATTGGACAAACTAGGAATGCGGGGAAGCGACACGTAATCCCCATTCTCTCAAGATAAAGATATCTGTGTAAATTAAATCCCTCTTTTTCTCTGACCTTTGTCTCTTCTGAGTAGGTGTGAGCTTGTTTTTGAGAATTGCTTTGTTCCAGAAGAAAACATTCTTGACAAGGAAGGAAAAGGTTTTGACTGATGCAACTTCATCGTTTTTTAACTCTTATTCTCTATGTTCATGGATAATTAACATTGCATGGTTTATTTTTCCAAGTAATATGATGATCAACTATTTGAAATTAAAATGCTAAGTATTCTAAGGGGATAAAGTAATTGCCTGTTTGAAATCTGTACTTAATCACCAACACATGTTTGCTACATTCACGCTTTGTACATTTCTTGAGTCCTACAAGCCCCATCTTTATACTTGTCTGATGAACATAAGGTTTGTACGTGCAGGAGTATATGTTCTGATGTCAGGTCTGGATTTGGAGAGACTTGTTTTAGCAGCTGGGCCATTAGGGATCATGCAGGCATGCCTTGACACTGTGCTTCCCTATATTCGCCAAAGAGAACAGTTTGGTCGTCCAATTGGAGAATTACAATTTATTCAGGTTGGTTTACATCATCCTTCACCTAAACTTCTTCAAAATATCTTTAGATTCTTAAAATTAATTTGGTTGAATAATTGCAGGGTAAAGTTGCTGACATGTACACTGCATTACAGTCTTCAAGGTAGAAAACTTCTCTCAGTACTCTGAAATTTATATTGTCCGTACCGCAGAAATGTAGCTCAAGCAAAAAAAAATGTTCCTTTGGCATCTCAGGTCATACGTCTACTCTGTTGCTAGGGACTGTGACAATGGGAACATTGACCCAAAGGTAACTTTGATATAGCAATAATAAATCCCCTCTTCTCCTTTTCTGTTTTGAAAAGAGTCCTACACCACCACCGCAACCAAATAACACCAGTCCTCTTATGTATATGCTTACCTTCTAGGACTGTGCCGGAACTATTCTTTGTGCAGCCGAAAGAGCAACGCAGGTCGCTTTACAGGTCAATTACCCTTTCTCTCCTCAATATGATATATCTTAAACATCGAGTCCATTTCTGTATGTAATCATCAGCTTAAAGTTACTGTCACTTTACTGAGTAAAGCTGAATTAAACCGGAAAACCAGTTTTAAGAGTTATATTTCGTCTTTCTAATGGTTACCAGCAAAACAAAACTGGGAAGGGCACATAACTATACACAACTATACATATAAGAGATATGGTTTGATGTTGCAGGCGATACAATGTTTAGGCGGAAATGGATATATAAATGAATATGCAACAGGACGTCTTCTGAGAGATGCAAAGCTATATGAAATCGGTGCGGGAACAAGCGAGATAAGAAGGATCGTCATCGGTCGCGGGCTTTTCAAAGAACCATAGGTCTGTTTTCTTGCCAATGCCGACACTTTCACACTCTGTACAAGTATATATATTATTCACAATGTCTTCAGTAACCTCACAATAAATAAAAAGGTAACTTCAAAACAATTATTCATGTTTCAGATAGGATCATACTACATACACTCCCTTTTTATTACAATAAGCTATAATTAAACATCTGGCTAACTAAGTGTTTAAGTCATTTGATAAGTCAATAATTAGTAAAGGCAAACTCTATTTGCTTTATCAATACTACCAACACTCTCTCTTCCTTATGTTCCATCAACCTTATCACCTTTCAGCTTGCTTGTGTATACCTACCGGTATCTCTTGTAAAACCTGTGGTTGTCTACCCATAGATCTGAAATCATAAGCAACTTCTGACTGAGTTGGACTCGCAGCTAAACCAATATCGTCGCCATTACTATCACCCTCGTTATCGTTACCGTTGTTCGTTTCTGTAGTTTGTCCTGTCTTCCTCTTGTCTCTAACCCTACCATGCCATTGTTTGAACACATTTGCTAGCTGTTCTTCCAAGATTACTTTCTTATAGCTTGATCCCATCTATACATACACATGCATCCAAATCAAGTTAAGATCACAATATTACACTAAGAATAGTAGTAGTTATATATGTATGGGACTTAGTTACCTGAGTTACAAGGGCATAAAGAGGCAGTGTAATGTAGCTGCTCAAGACTAGGACTGTCACCCTATAATTATAAATTCATATACTTATTAACGATATAATTTATAATACCAAAACATAATTTCATGTTTTTTTTTCTTTTGGTGAGATTGAAAGAAAATGTATAAATTGTAGTGCTTACGCTAATACAAGTCGTGTGATGATGATCTCTCGGTTATCATGGTAGCAAGAGTTAATCCCAAATTGCCACTAATTTCATAATTAAATTGAAATGTATTAGATATATCAATTTCAATTTTCGTATTTTTCAAAGGAAACCAAAGAATTAAAAACTTACAGTGATCCAAACAAAAAATGCCATCTCGAAGGTGTTCTGTATCAATATATCATATACCAAAATTAGCTTAAAAAAATGTTGCAAAATCATATGATGAAGCATTAGAGAAAAACGACGTGGAGTTTAGACGAGATTACCAAAAACAGCGTGTAGTGTAGAATGCTCAAGAGGAAACGAGGATTAGAAAACCAGAAATGCTTGTCGTTTGGCTCAACAACAGGGCTTCCTCTAATCACATTGTTATGTTCCTTAATTGTGACAGCCATTTTCGCCACTATCATCTCTAGTTTTGTCCCAATCACTAGAACTACCTAAAATCAAAATTATTAATTCATCAATTATATTTTTTTAAAAATCTAAATTAGTTTAGTTATATTAAGTTAAAAAAACTTACAATTAGTGGCACAAATGACATATAAAAGTATACTCTCCAACCTGATGATTAACAAAAACAAAAAAAAAATGAGAATAATCACTAGTTTATATATATAAACTATATAAATGTATAATTTAAGTTACCATAAACGTCGAGGAGCATAAAGATGACAACAGTTAGCCACATCAAAGGACTGTAATAATATATAGTCAAAGTTAATTTTGATATTTTTACTTTAATAAGTGTTACTAAAATATGATTAAACATATGTAAGAATTTGAATTACCTGATACCAACTATAGTTTTAAAATCTTCATGTAAAGATCTTTGTATATACTTTTGGAAGTTAAAAGCATTATTTGATGATAAATGAGCCTGCATCGATAATAATAATTAAACGATCATATTAATAATTTAATATAGAGTTTTATTTTCTAGAATTGTAATTCATTGATAAACAAATAAGGTACTAACTGTGATGAACCCATGACGTAGTGTGAGGTAATCTACTTTTGCCACCGAGTTGAAAAATTGCCTGAAAAAACATTTCTAAGAAAAACAATTGTTTATTATTAATCTTTGTTTACTTAAATATATTTTAATTACATATTAATGAACTGATTAAAAGATGAAGAGTATGTTACTAACTTACAATCCAAAGTTGAATCGATGTTTCAGTCCAACCCAAGTGTCGTCGAGCAAATGTTGTATCTCTTGTCATTCTAAACCTATTCGGATCTTTTAAATTACATATTAAGTTTAACATAAGTTTCTTCGAATAAGAAATTAAGGAATATTGCATGTAAGAGCATCATTATAGGGATAAGTGAGAAGATGTATCTTAGAGGTTTTTAATTATATTAATAATGTAAGAGGTTGAGTTAAGAACCAAAAATTTAGAGTTGATTATTGGTTGAACCTTTAGAATCTTAAAAATTAAATAATATAATATAAATTATATTTTAAAATTTTCAAATTAAATAAATAACTTTTAAATTGAAAACTTTTAAAAATAAACATACAATTGATTTGAAAATAAAAAGAAACAAAAAATACAGTTCAAAATTATTAGTAACCAAAAAAAACAATGAACATAAAAATGAGAAACATAAGAAGATAAAAACATATTAATTAAAGCACACAAATATTTTATTAAATTAATACAAAGTTTATAAACCTTTTTAATCATTTGAAAGATGTTTAAATGGAATAATGAAAAATGAAATATGAAAAATGTTTTGGGATAAAATAATAAAAAATGAAATTTTTATTTTTTAATAATTATTTCTAACCACTCAGCACTTTACACATGGCACAAGAACCTCCTTCCAAAAACTTCTTAGCATTGAACCGATTACTTCTTCCAATAGAACTGTTTTATTATTTTCGCTTTTATTTAATAGCCTAACATCCGTTAGTATGTCTCGATAATGATGGCCTAATTAATTTAGTAGTAGAGAATAAAAATATATTAAAAAAAATCTTACCATTTGCTGCTAGATACTCCACTGTTTGAGTCTCTTTCTCCCATGATTTCCATTTCTTCATCTATATGATTTACAAATTCAAAAGTTTATATGTAAATTGTAAAATTAATATTATGATAAAATATTCAGGAAAAAATTGTAATAAATTATAAATTTCTTACAAATGATTTATTTTAATCGAAATCGAATAAATTGACTAATAGAATACGGTCTAACTCAAATACCATGGAATAAATTGACAAATGAGATACGGTCTAATTAAAATGGCATGAAATAAATTGACCAATGCATATATTTTGTTTATTAAAAACGTTAAAAAATTAATAAACAATCATTTGACCAATATAATATTTTCTTTAATATGTTAATATGATGTTTAGAATATTTGATTGCATAATACAAAAATATGTATGTATGTACCTTGGCCATTCCAAGGAAAAGAACAGCAAGATTGTAGAGAATGTGCATACAAGCCAACACAAAGATAAAGTAACTCAACTGGGTCAAACCCTCTTGTGATATGAATGACGTCTTCCCCTGCAAATTTTTAATTTGACTAAGTCAGATTAGTTAATTAGTTCGCAATTAGTACGTAAATGCTTTTTAATTAAGGTTACTACTACTACTAGTAAGCAAAGAAAAAGTCTACATTTCCTTTTCACTTTGACTTAGTTTATACAAACTTCGAATACCGACAAGATTAGTTATACCACATGAATAATATCAGAATATACCCCATAATATATAGTTTTGGAGTTAAATCAAACTGATATGTAGTATTATTCGTTGACTCTTGCTAACGACAATACGTATATATATATGTCCAAAGACTCCAAGTCAACGTCAAAGTAAAGTATTTGACAATTTTGTTTAAATTATTTGACAATTTGGATCCTTTGTTTTGATTTCTAGAAGGTATGTAGAAAAATTTCGGATTCTAAACATATATGACTTAATTTAGATACTAATCTGTGAAAAAATAGAAAATCATTAAACAAACATCTTTGTGTATACTCCATTTGGATTAAAAGACAAATGAAACTTAAAAACATTTGAAAAATGATGGTAATTAATAAGGATCAAGAAGAAGAACCTTGGAGCATTGGTGAAGGAAGTTTTTGTCATAGTCATTATCATCATCTTGATCATTATCATCATCATGATCATCATTAGCTTTATCATCATCTTTTTGTAATGAATGAATGGTTTTACGGCAAGGCAACATTAGTTTTGCATACTTTATGGGAATGCATATCTTTGAAACTTCAACCTCAGTCACGTTTAGCATCAGTGACATGAATCCTAGCACCATTAGAACTGCCCTTATAGAAACATCCAAAATTCATGGATTAATAAAACTGTTATAAAAGATTGTTAAAACACACAAATACGTGTGAGCTTCTACTAGAGAAAAAGATTAATCACTAACAACAATTTTTACCTGATTTAAGCTTCTCTAATGATTCAAGTAGCGATTTTTTTCTATTTTTCTTAAGTCTCTGCAAGAAAAGAAAAAACAAAAAAAAAAGACAATAATATAACAAATTAACATTAATATATCATATATATACGCATATTTTAAGAAGAATCGAACATTTTGTAACTAAAGATTCGAACTGAAAATCCCAAAAAAAAAAGACTTAATCAGAAATTATATTAAAAAAAAATTGGCAGGTACGTTCGTAGTTCTATCTTATATATATTAATTGTTTAAAATACTAATTTTTTTTCTTAACTAATATATTTATTGTTTCCACTATAACATGTATGGTTACTCTTGCAAGAAAAGCAAAAAAGTTCCAAGAACTTAGGAGAAAATTAAAACAGAACTTTACAAAAAGAAGTAAGATGATTCAGTAAACATGTGAATACATTTGTGTACTTACAATGGAGAGAAGATTGATGAGACGCTCAAGGAAGATGGAAACCGCGACGAAGAAGAAGCAAACAGTGGCCAGAGCCCAAGTGGGAGTTTCTTGGAGGGATCTGACGGTGCCAAGGTGGTGGTTGCTTTCTTCTTTCTCCGTCATCTCTTATGTTTTTTCCGGTGACTTGATCTTTGTGCAGTTGAGAAGATGAAGAAGATAGATATGTGATGAGTTTATATAAATAGTGTTGTTGCAATCATTGTTGCAAACAAAGACCTTTTCAAAGTTTTGGGGTAAGCTTTAAATGTGACATTAAATCCCAAGTCCCACTTTGTACCGCCCAGTTTGACTCAGTAAGACTTAGTACAGTACATAGTATAAGTAAAAACTTTAAGTGTATAATTTGCTAGTAAAACTAAAACATGAAATGGATTGGGAAAACTGATATTTTACTATACGAAGTGAAGATGGATATATATATATTATTATTTTTTTGGTCAAAATATATATATATATATATATATATATATATATTGTTTTTTTCCCAACAAATAGAGATTATAGATCTAACCTATACATGTTTCCAGTCCAAATTATAGGAGATTATATAAGCTCATTTTAGGAGCTATTCGACCTGGTGAGCTAGGCCATTGTCCGAAATTTTTACCAATTGAGCAATTGACTTTGGGTTGTTTGTAAACAAAAATAAATAAATAATGACGGTTTTAATCATTATTTTAGTACTAGCAAACATGTGAATTTTTTTTTCTTGAGAAATGTTAGTGAATTTTTATTTATTAAATAGATACATATTAGGGTTTAGAGCTTTAGTTTTGTTAGAGGTGTTCATTTGATAAAATTAGACATTCACTTAACAAATACTAGCACTTTACAAAAACACTATATGTTTCCAAATTTCAATAGTTTAACTGAAAATACAATACAATTTAATGACAACTAATCACATTATTGATTATTTATTAATTTCATCAATAATATAGCAATCTATCTACTTAGTTCACCTTCTTTTTCGGTTAGACAACATCATTTATAAAACATTTTTTTTTATTTGTATACAAACCCGAAAATAACAATAAAAAAAAAGAAGTACGTACTATTCAAAACATGATATCAAAACAAAATTCTAATATGACATATTAAACTATTGAGGATACGATTTAATATATTTTTAGGTACAGTTTCTTGAGATTATTAGAAGAATCACTTAATTACCAACTGTTATCTTTTAAATGAGTTACTTTTAGTTGCTAAAATAAAATTTAATTATCTATGTAATTTATGTTAAAATAATAATATACTTTATTAATGCAACTCTTGTAGGTACTCTAAGCCGTGCCTAGAGTAAAGAAGGCTGGAGGCAGTATCCAATTCAGTAGGTCTAGTTCAAATCCAATTTTGTTTTTGTTAATTGATTTAATAAAATTAAACTAATATGATTATTCAGACTTTCCTAAACGTCAAACATGTCTTTGCTTTCTGTTTTTGGTAACGCATTGTTACTTCTTCTTTGGCTTCAACTAAAAGTAAGTGCATTAGAGTACCCAGCATAAAGTCCCACCGAATTTATAGTAAAAAAAAAAATCAAAAAAAAAATTAATAGGTAGGACGTACGCAGAAACGGGACCGTCCCGTTTCTTATTATCCATTATTCGCGAATCCCACTGACACGTGCCGGCCTGCGATTAATTGTTTTTGGAACTAAAACAAATCCCACTAATGCACTTGCTCTAAAATAACGCAAAATCTCGTAATCTGGTTAGTAACTCCATATCCAGCTATATTGATTCCACCACTGCACTAATTAAATATAGCTAATGATTGAGTCAGATATATCTAAAAGCATCTCCATCAAAAAAAATTTTAGTGAAAATCTACAATCATAAAAAGTATTTATTATGTTTGTCTAAAAAAAATTATATTTTTTTAATCGTTCTAAAGTTAAAAGAATTCATAATAGTGCCGTTTTAAATTTCCAATACAAATGTTTTATAAAAATTAAAATTTTATCCCACTACTTCAATGTTTTAACCAATAAAAAATTAGAAAATATATTAAAGAATGATAAAATAGAAAATTTATTTTTTTCTAATTTGTGTAGTAAAACTCAAACAACAAATGATTAAAAAGAAAAAGAGTAGCAAATAATAGTAAAATATTGAATGAGTAGGACACCCCGATTCAGTACTTGTGGAGATGTTTAAAATAATTAATTTGGCCACTATTGTCATTAAAATGCATTACCTCCACATAAACCATGTTAACAAGTAAATCCATACAAACTCTTGCTTTTGGTAAGCAAAGCCCACTCACTCTATATTGTTTGTTGTTGAACGGATGGATATGTAAAAAAGTAATAATGTTCCTAACGCAATAGAGTGAATCAGAAATATCACAAAAGGTTTCAAGATATTTATTATATATTTTATTTTACATATAAAAGTAAAAGTAAAAATAAATCAAGCACGAAACAATAGAGAAACTATCTCTATGCATGCATTTCTTCCATCCCTTTAGTCTTTCATCCTACGTTAACACCACATAAACCATATCAACTCACCATACTACACACAAGTAAATACAATACATGCATATTACTTGCAAAAGAGAGAGAAAGAGAGAAAGAAAGAGTTACTGCGAATGCGATGTAGATGGAAAGATACTACTTGTGGGTGGATGATGCTTGCATAGCTTGTCAACACAGATTTGCAAGCAGTTCAGTAAGCCGGGGAACTGGTGGCAGCGTATAAAACACATCTGTTCACATGAAGTCGACGCTGCTTCTCCTCCAATGGCAGTCATTACCACCAAAAACAAAACCATCATACCTCTCGTCTGGTTCTCCATATCTGCTTAATCAATTTCTTTTGCTTAAAGGTTTATATGTATATATTTGATGGAAACTATTTATATATATAGAGAAGAAATTACCAAAATCTTTGTGTTTGACTATATATATATAAGTTAACACATTTATTAATCATTATAGTCAAAACATTCATTAATTAATCACTATAGTTAAAAATATGTTTAATTAGTCAAACAAAAGATTACTATTTCAATAAGCAAAATCAGTGATACTTTTAAGTCAAAATATTATTAATTTTCAATTTTTAAAGATTAGACAGTTTAAACTTACCAAATTTCTTTCTATACTATCTTAAAATATTTTCTATGATATAAATTAAATTACTAATTTGTTGGTTTTAAATACTGTCAATACAATTTATTATCAAAAATTATTTTTTAATTTGAATGATATAAAATCATTATACATAAGTCAATGTAATATTTAATATACAAAATAATATAAGATAGAATAAAAACTAATTCTTTCCAAAATTAAATCATACAATTAATACCAAATCAACATTAACAATTATCTATGAATATTTCAATTTCATTTATTAAATTTTGATTTCCTATGTTTTAAAGAAAATTTAAAATTATTTTTAAAGTTATTTTTAAAATCTTATAAAATTTACTAGATTTCCGGACTTTAATGCATATACAGTATATGGTTAATTGCTGTTCGTATACTAATCAAAAAGTAACGATTTGCACGAAACAGAGAGGATCACAAATGCATGAATATGATAAAAGCCATGAATGTTTTGTAGTTTTTAAATGAGTTTTAGCTTTTGGTTTTTGGTTTTTGGCTTTTGGTTTTTAGTTTTTTAGTTTTTGATTTTTGCTGTAAATTTTAGTTTTTGCAAAATCTTGAATGGTAATTTGTTTAGTTTTTGGTTTTATATGAAAAAAATAAAAGTTAATAATCAATAATGTTGTGACCATGAAAACCAAATTAGGAATATATCTCTATAAATTAATACTTATTAATTTATCGATAAATTAATACCTTTATAAATTAATAGATTTTCATGGTCCCAACATTATTAATTTATAGAGGTTTTACTGTACAATGAATTCAACCAATGAGAAAATATGATGTATAATATGATTGGTCAAAATTTAATAAATACATTAAATATTTGCATAGAAAGTTGAAAACATCACTTAAAACAAAACGGAGAAAGTAATAAGATACTTAATGCATATTTAGAACAGTTGAGAAATTAAACTCTCTTAATTAGTCGCCATCCTGCATAACCTCCACATAAACCATGTCTTCATCCTAATAATCTTATTAACGTGTTTAAACTCTTAATTAATATTAAGTAGAAGTAACAAAAAAAACCATTTTAAAAAGTCAATCCACAACCACACGTTAAAGCGGATCCGAACAAAGTGTGATAAGCAAATTAAAGCTGTTGAAAGGATATGTAAAAAGTTAACAATGTTCCCAACGAAATAGAGTGGATCACAAATCTCACAAAAAGTTTTAGGATATCTGCTACACGTCCACCAATAATTTTGCATGAATATGAAATTTTTGTATATATTTATCTTATTATATATTTTATTTTACATATATTAATAGAAGAAATAAAAACAGATCAAGCATGAACAAAACGATCTCTATGCATGCATTTCTTCTATCCCTTTAGTCTTCATCCTACATAAACACAACATAAACCATGTCAACTCACTATACACACAAGTATGTATATAGAGAAAGATAGAGAGAGAGAGAGAGTTACTCTGAATGCGAAACAGATTGAAAGATACTACTTGTTGGTGGAAGATGCATGCATAGCTTATCAAAACATTTTTTCAAGCAGGTCGGTGTTATTTGGACACCATGATAGCCACAGCGTTCTATACACGTCTCTTCACATGGAATCGTCCTTGCTTCTCCTCCAATGGCAGCCATCACCACCAAAACCAAAACCATCATAGCACTCCACTTGTTCTTCATATCTCTCTCTTCTTAATCAGATATTTTGCTTAAAGATTTATATGTATATATTTCATGAAAACTCTTTATCTATATATGTATATAACTGATGGAAACTCTTTATATATATAAAGAGAGAAGAAATGACCAAATTTTTGTATTGCTTTCAACATGTTATTAATGGAAACTATCATCACATAGTCAACACATTCATAATAGTTAAAAGTATATCCAATTAGTCAAAACTACTTCAATAAGCAAAATCAGTTATACTTTTAAGTCAAAACTATTATTCAATGTTCAAAGATCAAACAATTTAAAATCACCAACTTTCTTTCTACAATATCTTAAAATATTTTTATGATTTAAATTAAATCATTATATTTTGTTGGTTTCAAATATGGTCTTATTACATACTTTATTTATTTTTTATTTTTTGAATAATCAAAGAGGTTCAGGGCCGAAACCCATACATCCCCTTAAGCCCGAGACCAAAGCATGTTATATGGTCTCGTCCCAAGAGCTACTCGAACCGGCAACCTCTAAGCTTTTGCTATAGATTTTTACCAATCGAACTATTAGCACTTGGTTATATATACTTTATTTTACATTTAGAAATAAAAGAACAAAAAAAATCAAACATGAAGAATTATGAACCTATCTCTATGCATGCATTTCTTCCATCGTTACTCCTCCTCTTTTAATTTGCCTACGACTAAAATAACGTAATACCTCAAAATGTAGTAATTAATTAAGTAACTCGCATATCCACTTATCCAGCTGAATTGCTTCGACCACTTATTAACGATTGAGTCGGATCTAAAATCATCTCCATCAATTGTTATTGATAATCTAAACTAAAGTTCTTCAAGATTCATAATCTAGTACTGCTAAGTCCTCAAGGTGGTTTTAAATACAAATTAATGGTTTTAACATTTAATACCCAAATGACTCTTTGATCCAAGAAAACTTAATTAGGCCATATGACCCATTACAAATATGGGCTGAAAAAATAAAGTATACTCAAATTTCAATTTACTATTAAAAAACAAAAAAAAAATAACAATTCCAACTATTATTACTAGACCGACGATTACGCTCTGCGCCTCATTCTTGAAAGAGGGAGAGACTCCAAAAAAAATGGAGAATGATTGTGAACGAAGAAACAGGGAACCAGATCAGAGACATTGGAGAAGAAGAAGAAGAAGAAGAAAATGCCTGTCATTGATATTATCTTTAGAGTCGATGAGATTTGCAAAAAATACGACAAGTATGACATTGACAAGCAGCGTGAGCTTGGAGCTTCCGGGGACGATGCCTTCTCTCGTCTCTACACTTCCATCGATTCCGATATCGAAGCTGTTCTTCGTGTTCGTCGTGATCTCCTTCTCTTTTAAAATATGTTTCTTAATCTTTTGGATTTTTCTTTAAGTCTTTAAAATGCCAAGATTCATACTTATAAATTTGGTTTTATGATGATGATTGAAAAAAAAGGTTTTGTCTATTTATTATTATTATTTTTTGTTTCATCTAAGAAGATTTTGAGATTGAATGTGATGTGAGAATTGTAGAATATGATATAGGTAGTTTTAGGCCCGAAACCAGAGCATGTTATATGATTTCGTCCCAAGCGCTACTCGAACCATATATATATTAAGGTGGTTCATTTTGAGTGAAGACTCTTAAATTTGTATCAAACTCATGTAGAAAGCGGAGTTGGCGTCAACGGAGAAGAATAGAGCAGCCGCGGTAGCTATGAATGCTGAGGTTCGAAGGACAAAAGCGCGATTAGCTGAAGATGTTGTTAAACTACAGAAACTCGCTGTTAAGAAGGTTTAACATTATTAGTTACTAATGAGTAATGAGTCAAGACGAGGAATATATCATATGGTTGTGTTTGAATTTTGGTTCTAATTTTTGATTTTGTGAAAGGTTAAAGGGCTTACGAGAGAGGAACAAGAATCCCGATGTGATCTAGTTATCTCATTAGCCGATAGGATTCAAGTGATACCTGATGGAAATGAACATGCGGCAAAGCAAGCTAGTAATGATTGGGGAGGAGGTGCTTCTGCACCTAACAAGAACATCAAGTTTGATATGTCTGGTAGTATAATGTTTCTTTTGTTTCCATGTTCTTGTCTTATAACACAAGAGTAATGTATATATGTGAATATGAGTTTTTTTTTTCTTCCTTGGTTACTATTAGAGGAAGACATGGACGATGGATTTTTCCAGGAATCTGAAGAATCTAGCCAGTTTCGACAAGAATATGAGATGAGGAAAAAGAAACAAGTACGTGTTCTGTCTTTAGTATATGTTCATATTAGTACGTGTGCACATTATTAGTATATGTTCTGTCTTTTCTTCAGGACGAGGGTCTTGATGTCATATCAGAAGGCTTGGATGCACTGAAGAACTTAGCACGTGACATGAACGAGGTTTGTTGTACTCACTCATCATATGGCACATGTAATCGAGTTTACTATTTAATCCGGATTTACGACTTTTCGATTTTTAGGAACTTGACAAGCAAGTCCCATTGATGGAAGAAATGGAAACAAAGGTGAAATTCTTATTCTTTCTCCTGTGATGATTCTTCCTCTATCTAAAAAGTCTTGTAGCTCGTCTCATACTTGAGATTTAGAGTCCAAGCCGACAAGATTACATAGATCCGTAACTATTCAAGATACTGTTCGTTAGGTTACGTTTGGTTCTCTATCAAAACACTAGACATATAATAGATCTGCATGATTGTTCTAGGTCGATGGAGCAACTTCGGATTTAAAGAACACCAATGTTCGACTCAAGAAACAGCTTGTGCAGGTAAAAATTAAAACAGAGCTATGTTCTTGATCAGTTACTATTGTGATTCACAACTCTATGTGCTAAAATTGGGTGAGGATTTCAGATGAGATCAAGCCGCAACTTCTGCATCGACATTGTTCTTCTCTGTGTGGTCCTTGGCATCGTTTCTTACATCTACAAGTAAGCCTGATGTCTAAGTTTAACTCTATATGTATATTTTATTCAATCTCTAACTTGTGAAAAAAATCACTATGTTTCTCAAATTACAGTGCTCTAAACTAAAGTTGGAGATGGCATACATCGACATTTCTCTCGTTGTTGTGAAGCTTTATGGTAATTTAATTTCTCTACCAAACTATAAATGTTACTTTCTTGGAAAGCAAGAAAGCAAGATAGTTAACTTGGTGAAAATATTATTAAGAGTCATCTAACCTCATTTTCTTAAATATTTTGCTATTTTCTTTTTTTTTTAACTACGGTAATTCAAACTACTAATATTTTTATGGTTTGTTGGCTACTATAACTTGAATGATTATGTCATAAGCATCAAATGTATTTATGCTTAAGATTTCTTGCATTACCACAATTTGTTACTTGATCCATTTCAAATATACAATATCTACGGTTTTGGATTCAGATTCAAGCATTTTGTGCTTATGTATGTATACAATTTAAATTTTTTATATAATAAATAGACTAAGTACAATATTTATTTTGGAGTATTAACAAGTCTTTACCAAAATTCTATATAATAAATAGACTAAACCAATCGACTTTAAGTGACGCGGTTTGCCTAAAACGATGTAATTAAAAGGTAAATTATAGCAAATGCGATTCACTAAGTTGCAAACATGAGATTCGCTTATAACAAAACCTAAGATTAAAGAACACACAAAGTCTAGTACTACTTGTAGAGACCAAATGTAAGTTCCATGTACATAAAGACAATGATTTGTATTATAGTTTCTCTCTTGCACAATGCATGCATATACATTAGACTGACACAAACACATAGTATATTTCTCTCTGTTCCTTACTTTTTTATTTTAATACTCGATAAGTACTTTTGGAAGGAAGCTGTTGGATCGTTGTAGGTAAAGAGAACTTGATTTTCCTCATTTCTCTCAAGTCCTTATCAAATATTTTTGATCTAGATGATATTTTACCGTAGAATTTATAACTTTAATCGATGACGTTAAAAATTTGGTGAAGACCTTTAAAATCAAATAAACTTACACTTATTTATATAATATTAGTAAGAATCCGTAGTAGGATATACGCACAAATATTATAGTAAATAATTTTGTATAGTCTAATTTATAATGTAATTTCGGCAACTAGTCTCTATCACCAAATCTTCAGTATATTTTCTTTACTGGAAGATTTTCTTTCTGCATCATATTCATTTTTTCCTCTATACAAAAGTATGTATATTTTAAACATATTACAAAATAAATCATACTTAACTTCTCACAAACACATTACTATCATAATTAAGATGGTATTTGAGGTTCTAAATCTTTCATATCTGACATGAATAAAGCCAAAATAGATTATAAGTGAATAATCACTGGACATTGGCTTATACATTCTCGACAACAGTCATATTTAAATTATTATGGAGATTTGTAGTGGGCTTAATTTATTGTATTTGACATTTTAGTGAGCCACGTACTAAATCATATTAAGCCCACTATAGTGAATGCAGTCCAAACAAATTTTTCAAACAATGAACTGAATTCTATAAAATATATATTGCAAGGAATTTTTTTTTTTTTTTTTTTGGTCATTTTTGTGGTTTTCCTACCGAAGTTGGACATCAACCATATTACCAGTTGTTGTAGTATTTGACTATGGATCATAGGCCTAGCTATTATAGTTTTGATTGATTTGTGAGACAAAAAAAGTTTCATAATTAAAAGCCACACTTTGAACATTCTATTGCTTTCATAGACAATTTACATAAATAAAGTAGACATACAAGTTTAAAAATCTGTCTTGTTTTACTTTTTTTTTTCAATAAGACAAAACAAAATCTAAAAAATATTTTGGCTGGCAGAATCAGATGGACTGTTTATCTTAGATTTCATATCATGACCACCATTCATCCTAACATATTAGTGATATAATCAACTTGCATGCAGACTATATGAATACTTACATGATCATTAACAGTTTTGTTATTTCTAGCACAAGATTACCTGATCTATTCAAAATGTTTAAATCATATTATGATTCTCTTAAAAGGAAAAAACTACAGTAAAAAAAAAGATTCAGAGAAAGTTTTTGGATAGGGAGAAGCAGAGGAGAGGGAACAGTCATATATCTTTGTCTGAACAATAAGATGAGATCTAATCTCCTTTATCTATAGGGACCCCAATCACATACCTTGTCGACCCTTGTGTCTATTTTAGAACTCTACATCACTTCTTTTGGATTTTATTCTTTTTTACCCAAGAATGTTGTTAGGATTTAAAGATCAGCAACTTACCTAGGTTCTTCTTACTTCTTAGAGATTCTAGATAGAAAAAATAAAGAATTATGAAATGGATCTCATATAATTAACCTAACAAGAACTTTTCTAATTGATTAATCAATAAGTAATGGATATAAATCTCATAAATAATTTACTTAAGTAAGCTCAAAATTCAATAAAATAATTAGTTAAAGAAATTATTTTTGTATAAAATCCTTAGAGCAGCTCCAACGTTCGTTTCTATCTCTCAAGATTAAATTTTATAGAAATAATATATAGAAAAGCATAAGAGAAAACGAGAAACGGTTTAATAAACGACTTTGTTAGCAAAATTGAGAGACCTTTCTATTATGTGTCTCTTTCTTAGAAAACCTCCAAAGTCCAAACCAAAGTTTTATCTTATTTTTGGTATTTTTGGTTTCTAAAATATAATATTTTCTTATTATTAGATTTTAATAGCCATATATCGTTTTGTAAAATATTGTTGAAGAGAAAATCACTTATGTTATTTTTTACTCGTACCTAACCTTGGTTCAACCTAGCTATTGTTACTATACTATGTTAATATGTTATATATGTGAATTAATGAATCGATTCCAAAAATCCAAAGAGCCAACACCGTAATTAGAAATGAATGAACATGATGAAGTTTAAAGATCAACACATGTGTTTATATGTTTCTAGATTGTATACGTACGTAGACTTTATGTATACATACTTAACGTTAACGTAGGTGTTAGTATATAGACAGTGGTCCAGTTCAAGTCTATCGCTGACCGACTTGTAAGAGAGGAACAGTCGTGTGTGAAGAGAGAGAGATTCCCTCTTCGCCAGCTTTCTTTTTGGTTTTATACTACAGGACTCTTCGCAACTGTCCAAAAGCTTACTATCACAAATAATAAAACAAATTTTTCTTTTATTATTTTATTAAAAATTTGTACCGACGACACCCCAAGAAAAAAAAAAAATGAGAAATACAAAACTCTTTTTTGAAGCTTTCTTGGAAAATATAAAACATCTATCCCATTTTTTCAAAATTTTCGAACTTAAGAAATATCTTGCGTTTACTTATTTCTCTACAAGTCTTGTGAGATTTATATTAAGAACACTTGATGACTTTATATATAAAGCTTAATTGTCAAAGTTATATATAGTTGAACTTCTTGTACGCTAATAGCCGTAAGAAAACAATACATTAATATATTTTTTTTGAGGTTCAGAATAAAAACTAATGAACAATATATGAATTATATAATTCTGTAAATTAGGTGTATTATTTTTATACTCTATATATTATAATGGAAATATAATAAGTTTAGATACATTCTCACTTGTTTTCTTCTTCATAATACTCTCTGTCTTCTTGCTCTCAGAATTTTACTTGATTTAGTAGAGAACTGTATGACAAATTAAAGAGTGTTTCTGTATATCTCTCTCTGTCCACCTGTTTTGTCTTCTTACTTCGAAACTCTCTCTCCATCTCTCCCTCTCTCTCTCTGTCTCTCAACTAAACCCATATCAACATGATGATGCCAGATGATCATCATCATCATCACCTCTCATTTCCCAGCTATGTCCTTCACCAAGAACACATCACACCAAATGATCCTAACCCTAACCCTAATGCTACCTCTTCTAACTCAGCCAAGAGGAAGAGAAATCTACCGGGAAATCCAGGTATGTCTATATATATTACACTTAATCTAAATCTTAGACTTTTAATTATACGATAATATCTTGATAATTTTAAAAATCAAGAACAAGATTCTTGTTCCAACTTTCCTTAGATATTATTTCACTGGTTTTTATTTGGTTAATTAAATTTCTTAAACCAGATCCAGATGCAGAAGTCATCGCTCTATCGCCAAACTCACTCATGGCGACTAACCGATTCATATGCGAGGTTTGCAACAAAGGGTTTAAGAGAGACCAGAACCTTCAGCTTCACCGTAGAGGTCATAACCTTCCATGGAAGCTAAAGCAAAGGACTAACAAGGAGCTAGTTAAGAAAAAAGTGTACATCTGTCCCGAGAAGACTTGCGTACACCACGACCCGGCCCGAGCCCTTGGTGACTTAACGGGAATCAAGAAGCATTTTAGCAGGAAACATGGTGAGAAGAAGTGGAAATGTGAAAAGTGTTCCAAGAAGTATGCTGTCATGTCCGATTGGAAAGCTCATAGCAAGATTTGTGGTACTAGAGAATACAGATGTGACTGTGGTACCCTCTTTTCCAGGTATATATTACAACACCCATTTTTTAAGTCAATATTTATTTTCTTTTCTAGTTAAAGATATAAATTTAAACTATATATACAACGTTCATACTATAAAACATATGCTGCGGAGGTAAATGAACCAACAATATATAAGATCTTTGATTATACATATGTAACGTTATTAATTTAGTATAATTAATGGATGATTGAAATGGATCGTAACAGGAAGGATAGTTTTATTACACATAGAGCATTCTGTGATGCCTTAGCTGAAGAGAGTGCTAGATTTGTCTCAGTTCCACCAGCTGCAGCTCCAGCCACACCCGGATATTTAAACAATGCCCCGGACGCAGAAATCAACCTTGGAAACATCAATCCAAATCATCAACATGGACAGCTTAATACTACATCTTCCCAATTGGATCATCAACAAGGTTTCAATTTCAACCGCCAAGCCTTTTTGGGACAAACCTTCACCAACCAGCTTCCCACCACACAAACCAATGTTTTTGCCTCTCCATCAACTCGTAGCCCATCCGACTCGCTTCAAAATCTATGGCAATTACAAGGACAATCATCTCACCAATGGCTTCTCAACGAAAACAACAATAACAACATCCTCCAAAGGGGAATCTCCAAGAATGAAGAAGAACATGAGATCAAAAACGTTGTAACTAGTGGTTCTTTGTTCTCTTCGGAATCACACAACAACTCTAATAACTACAACCAAAACGGTGGACAAGTAACATCCATGTCAGCCACGGCATTGCTACAAAAGGCAGCTCAAATGGGATCAAAGAGATCATCATCAAGCTCAAACAATAGCAAGGCTTTTGGTCTAATGAGTACCACATCCATCTTCAACAACAAGCAAACGGAGAATATCAAAACTAAAGAAGTTGATGAAGGAGGCTTCACTAGAGACTTTCTTGGTGTGGGAAGTCAACACCGTACTTGGCCATTAATGATGGTCAACCATAATATTCCCGACTCGTCTCCTCCTGCCAACGCCGACGGTACACCAACCGCCGACAGGAACCAGTAGTTTGGTAAAAACACATCGTTGTCCATGTATATGATAAAGGTAACTATATCACATTATATGTTATTCTTATATGTGTCATGTGTGTATGGAGTTGCAGAAAAAGGTAGGATTCCTCTGTTTATGATGTTTCTTTTTCCTAAATGCAGAAACGTAAACTATTTAAGACCAAGTGACGAGAGGACAGCTTAAGCACGGCGGAGAAACACCGTGAGAGATGAGTTTTTTTTACTCGGAGAGAATCTCTGAGTTAACTCGGTGGTGCATACTGGGTCCACTCGGTTGACGGAGATGGGAAGCTAATTCGGGTCCACTTCTGCATGCATGGCGAAGCGTCTGAACTCTGAACATGCATGCACAGCAAAGCATACGCTATGTCTTTTCTCATTCTTGTTTTTTTTTTTTTTTCTTTCTTGTAATTATTTCATGCTTTAAAGTTTTGAAAGAACTTAAAAAGAAACAAGGAAAAGAACTTAAACTTTAAGTCGTTGTACCTTTTTGTTTTTTTCCTTGTATAAAGGTTAAACTTTTGTATTGTTATTGAATTTTTTTTTTTTTTTCTGTCACTTTTTAAGCTAGAATGGGGTCTTTTTTATTTTAAATGAGAAAGTCCATTTGACACAATTTGCGAGGTAGCCAACAAATGAACCAAGTCATTAGTGAGCTTATCAAACCATTCGTAGTTTCGTAATAATATAATTTTGCACCTAGGTGAAGTTAAAAAGCTGCGATATTGTCGAAGAGAAGGCATATGGGGTTGTATAGAGGTGTTGAAGAAGTTATGTAGTTGTAAGTTGTAACATATATAATGGTACTTATATATGTTAACCTTCCTGTTTCAATTATTGTGTCGCTTATCTTAAACAACGAGTTTTGGGAGATGTGATGGAACCAGTGGTTCATCCAGTAAGCACAGCAAATGGTATATTGGTATGAGCTTTTTGTGAGTATGGCCGGCCCAAACTAGAAAAGTAGTCCAATACAACTTGAGAGAGGACTGGCCTGGAGCCACATAGGCCTAGGATTATAGCCCAAATTTTTATGAATTCTTGTGAAAATGTTAGGAAAATGATAAGATCTGTATCAAAAAGTCTTTTTTTCTTTTTTTTTTTTTTGCTTAGTTTTGACGATTAATAATTCTCTTTGTTATTAGCATTAAACTTTTCTCTTTCTTTCGTTTATGAATTTATAACATTCAAAAATGCTAACAAAAATTGTAATCTTAATTAATTAGGCCCTTGCAAACGTTGAAACTTGAAACCGGTTCAAAATAAAATTTAACACTCTTCACACTCTTCATAGAAGATTTTTAAATTGTATATAGCCATAGTAAGATAAGTTTTCTATTTCACAAGAAATCTTTATAAAATAATCCATAAATTAAAAAGAATTTTCTTACAATATTTTATTAGTGAAGATAGTTGAAACATATGAAAGAAAAATATCGCAAATATTTTATGAAGCATGTTTGCAAGCAGTATTAAGAAGACCATGGTAGATATAAGGAATAGGAAACAGATACAAGAAACAATCATCAGGAAGAGTGAGTAAGATATCACAACACGTCTTTGTGACCTCTTTGAATCGGAAGTGAAACACTGCTTTTACACAATCCGGAACTGCTTTCACGTCGTGCAGACATGGGAGCTCTGATTTCGGAGATGGAGCAGGAGCAGGAGCAAGATCATCTTCTCCTTGTGTTTGTATAAATATTGATAACATGATTATCAATGCTATCGCGATCATGGCCAACGCTCTTTGCATATTTCTTCTGCTTGATGTTTGATGTTATTACCTTAGTATTGATAATCTTTTCTGGTTGGGGTCTTTTGGATGTGGAACTCTCTATATATAGCTTTAATAAAAAAAATGAAATCTGTGTGTATTCTCCCTACATTAACATATATTAAAATAATTTCCATTACATAAAGTTTTAGATTAATTAAAATAAATAAAAAACTTAATTGTTCTTAATAATAATAATAATAATCAAATCTTATCATTCAATGGAAGTTATCTTAATGAACTTTTCTTTATTACAACTTACAAGGATTCATTATAGATATGACAATTGACAAACACAAATTATATATAAAAAAATTATCTTGATATTAAGGAAGTGATAAGTTATAATGGAACATAAAAAATAATGATAAATTTAAGACATTATAAAGTTATTTAGTTATTATTTTTTTGTTTTGACAAGATTTCTTTAGTTATTAAACTTACTTTCTATGTTTGAAAATAATTGGGTTTTTAATAGTTCTTTTTTTAATATATATTATTTAATTTTTTGGTAAAAGGTTAAATGATAGTTCTTTTTATTAAATTTGTGTACAGGTTCATTTTTGTTAATTCGTAGAAAATGATATAGAAGTTAAATAAACAATTTTGACCAATGCAAGCTTTTCACAGACCACACAACAACTGATGATTATGTCTTTAATTAAAACTAATTATAATCTATTATACACTATTAAGGCAAAAAGAGAGTGTGAAGATTTTAAAATTGTAGATCTTGCGCTGTAATACGTAGCCATAAAACAGTTTATAAACTATAAAGATAGTTCTACATATATTATTTATTGACATTGATTAGAGAACATAATATTACAAAAAAAAAAATCTCATCATTTGTTAATGAATTTGCAAGCTGCCTTAAGAATAAGATGGTAGAGAAAAGGAATAGGAAACAAAACCCCAAAACAACTCTCGGGAAGAGAGAGCATAACTTTGCAACATTTCTTTGTAACCTCTTTGTATCGGAATTCCAAAACTGCTTCCATACACTTTGGAACTGCTTTCACGTCGTGGAAACAAGTTATTGGGTCAGGCAAGACTTGGTCCTCTCGTTCAGGTCGTCCTGGTGTAGCCGATGGTCGTGGTGCCACTGCCACCGATGGTCCTGGTGCCATTACCATCGATGGTACGAGTGCAAGATCATAGTCAAAGTCAACATTATTTGTATGTTTTAGCTCCTTGTTTGATTGTTTCTTAGAGCAAGCGCAGCCGTTTGACGTCCTACCAACATTTTTTTTTCTTTATTTTAAATTAAAAAAAAAAAAAACGATAATCATTCAAGAGCCACCACGTGTCAGTGGGGTCCGCTAATAGTAATATACGATGGTAAAGTTTAATGTTTTATGGTTTTTTTTTTCTTCTCGTTTAACGTGAGGGACTGGGGGAAATACCATTGATGCACATGCCCTTAGTATTAATAAACTTCTATATATGGTTGGATTTTTTGGTTAGCATTTTATATAGTTTTTCTTTTCTCTTTTTTTTTCTCAAAAACACAATCTACATTATGTTTTTTTTTTCTTTTGTCAACACAATCTGTGTTTATTCATGCATTTAAGTACACATGGTGATAATATTTTTCACCTCATTAATATATACTAAAAGAATACTTAATTAAAATAATTAAAGTTTTTTTTATATATAGGGGAACTTAATTATTTTTACATGAATAATAAAAAACTTTATTTCTCTTTTAGATTTAAAAACACTTTAGTTATTCAAGGGAAATTAACTTATTTCCTGTTTATTTAATACTAGGATTCACTATATGTAGATATGAAAGCACATATAATATATTTTTAAAGAGATTTTTTGGTGTTTATGTGGCAAACTCACATTTTTCTCAACCATTTTTCTATTTATTTATTTATTTTTATTTTTTATACTACGTATTTTCCAAACAGTTTAATTCTACTATCTTTATAATTATTATTTTTCTTCCTCAAAAATAGTCTTCATAAGAGATTTTTTTTTTCAATATTGTGTAGCCATAGTTAGATAAAAGTTTCTATTTCACAAATCATCTCATAAAATGGTTCATAAGTTATATAATTTTTTGCTGAAACTAACTAAATAAATATATACAATACAGAAAAAAAACTATCCAATGTGACTAAGTATTTTACAAGCCAACTTAAGAAGAAAACGAAAGACAAAACGCATAGGGAATAAAATCCCGAAACAATCTTCGGGAAGAGAGAGTACAATGTTACAACACTTCTTCGTGACCTGTTTGAATTTGAAGTGTTTCAATGCTTTTATACAACCTGGAATTGATTCCACGTCGTGCAGACAAGCCTGAGGCTTAGGGATAAGTCCTTGCTCTTGTTGAGGTCCTGAGGCTAATGTTGGAGCAGGTGCAAGATCATTTCCTCTTGTGTATATAACTTTTGATAGCTTGATGATGATAACCAAAGCTATGATCATATACACTCTTTGCATGTTACCTCTCGCTCTTTGAAGGTTTTATAAAAAAGAAAAGAAAAGGTTATAACCTATGTGTTTATTTTGTTGGCAAAGAAAATCTATGTTTATTCATGCATTACATTCCGAAATGTATTTAATATAAATAGATTCTTTTTTCACTAGATACGAAGCTGAGCTTAAAAATACACTTTATATATAATAAATTTAAAATAAAAATATGATTATTCAAGTGTAATATACATTAACTTAATTCACTTTATTTTATTACAAAAATTAATTATATATAAATTAATGTAAGAAAACACATAGTACTCTTTTATACTAGCTTTGAAAGAAAAAAAAAATACAGAAATTAATGTTACTTTTTTCTTATTTGGAAAAAGAGTTAGACAGAAAATTATACAAATAATTTCTTTTCTTTTTTTTTGTAAAGAAATGCTCTGTAAAATAAATCTACTTTTTAAAAGTAGTTAAAAAAAAAAATCGCACTGATAAATTTGAGACAGATGAGATTCTTTTTTAATTGATGTAAATTTGAGACTGATGAGATTCTTTATCGTATTGATCAATTTCTAAGAGGAACATTATTGTCAATGGGATCTTAAGCATAAGATTTACACTAGAGGGTATCCCATTGATAATGTTGGTCTAATACCTTCCAATAAGTATCGCAATGTTTGTATCATAAAAAAAATATAATTAGATTTTTTTTTCTATATTATGTAACCATAGTTAGATCAAAGTTTCTATTGAACAAATCATCATAAAATAGTCCATACATATTATTTAATTTTTTTCTAATATACAAATTTTTATTTTATCGAATGTGACTAAGTATTTTACAAGCCAACTTAAGAAGAAAACGAATGACCGAACGCGCAGGGAAAATATACCCGAAACAATCTCCAGGAAGAGAGAGTAAGGCGTTACAACACTCCTTATCGATCTTATGGAATCTGAAGTGTTTCACTGCGTTTACACATTTTGGAATTGTTTGCACGTCGTGAAGACAAGCTTTAGGCCTAGGGAGAAATCTTTGCTCTGATTCAGGTCCTGAGGCAAATGCTGGAGCAGGTGCAAGATCATTCCCTGTTGCATGTGTAAATATTGATAGCATGATAACCAAAGCTATCATAAGCATAGTTAGCATTCTTTGCATGTTTCCTCTCGTTGTTTGAAGTTAACAAAGTTTTAATTCTTGTTTGATTGGTTATTTGGGCTGACTATTTGTATTGTTTATTTTTTTTGTTTTGTTCTGTTGGGAACAAAGGAAATCTATGTGAATATATTGACGCTAGATTCTTTTTCACTAAATACGAAGGCTTAATATAGTAAAATACACTTTTTTTTTGTAAACCAGTAAAATATACTTTTTTTTTGGTAGAAGACCAGTAAAATAACAAAACAAAACAAAATTAAAGCGTAATATACGTTTACTTAATTCAACTTTATTTATTACAAGAATTCCCTATATATAAATGTGAGAAAACATTTAGTCCTCTTTATATGCTTTGAAAGAAAGATATCCGTTTTATAAAAATGTTATTTTTTTATATATAATTTGGAAAAGATTCAAAACAGAAATATTTACATATAACTGACTTATGATTGTTTTTTTTTTTCTGTAAAGAAATGCTTTATATATGCTCTACTTTTGATTTGAGAAATTTTGAGAAATGCCATTTGGTTTAATCCTCTTACAAAATGCTCATTTCATCTATCCATTTTTAATTCTGAGAAATTATAAAATTTTATATGTTTTATAGTTACCTCTAGATAATAATTACTATTAGGAGATTCGATCCAATTATTTATAAGATTTTAATTTTTGTAAGAGGTTATAGAATTTTTTTTATGATGTATTTATTAAAATATATATATATATATATATCTAATTTTACGCACACATAAAAGTATTTTGTGTATATTTTTACAAGTTTACACCCATATCTAGATCTATTTCGAGTCAACGATCTCTGGTGCTACAATTGTAACACCTATCTCTGATCCAAACTCTGTTCTTAGTGTTTCATAAAAGGAGATCAGAGCGGCTTTACTTATCTAATTCATTAAGTAAATTATAAGAGGCAAATGGATACAAAGATGTTACACAATAAAAGCTCAATCGGGGTGAGGCAATGTAACCACATCCAGAAGCAACTGCGACGATCTTTCATCTGGACTCACTTAGGTATGGAGACGCAAAAAAGGTGCAATATACAGACCCCCCCCCCCCCAAAAAAAAAACGTTTAATGACCTATGCAACAAAGGAAAAAATAATTTCAAAGGGTTAGTAGAAAACACATATCATCTTAGAAAGATCTTTGGTCTGAGTAAAATGACCATAGCCGGTGACGCATTAGAGAGATCATCGATTTCTTCAAACAAATAGAGTGGATCAATTCCTGCATTTGTAACTAGATGATCCACTGCTCACATTAAAACATTAAAAAAAAATACCCAACAAAAAATAAAATCAACAAATATTATTCTCCTCTATTTTTTGGACGAAGATATATGTTACAATAATATGATTGACTCAAACGCCCATGTCTATGTTGGTGTTTATAAATGAAATTAAATATAACTTTACTTATTTTGGTTGAATTTCATCCAATATGAATTTTTGCAATAACAATGATTTCACCATAAAATTTGGATTGGTACGCTAACAGATCCGGATCGACATGACATCGGATCCGGATCAATTGTAAACCTAAGTTATGAGTTAGGTTTTTAGTAAACACATGAACTATTAAATCATATAAAATTCATTAAAAAAATTGCAAAAAGAATTATCTAAATTGTCAAGATGGAAAAATGATATATTCAAAGAATTATCTAAATTATCTAAATTGTCATAATATATATATACCATCCAAAATAGATAGTTACCTGTTCCAAAGTTGACGAATATTCGAGTGAGATTTTGAGAACTGAATATAGCTACCATAAAATATAATTTTTTTTATCCAAATTCATGTATAACATTCATACCCGTACGTATATACGGACTTTAGAGTGTTGGGCCATAATGTCAAATTAGTAAAATGGAAAGAAAATATATATATATATAAATATATATATATATATTTTTATTATTTTGTGTTCTACAATATGAGGAAGCATTTTTTTTTTTGACCTCATATGAGGAAGCATTATTTTATAAATACTGTATATTTTTTTCTTCGATTAAAAGAAGTACGTTATATTTAAGTCCCACACATATATAAATCATAAATATAATTAGATCCAAGGTACAAGTTACATCTAGGCATGTCAATTAGGGCTAAAGCCCGCGGGCTAGTTTGGCCCGGCCCTGAAAAACATCGGGCTCGGGCTTAAATATATATGTCCAGAAAAAACCGGGTCTTTTGGGGTAAGCCCATTCGGGATAAAGGGTTTTTTGGGCTTATCCCGGTCGGGCTCGGGCCGGCCCGAAAAGCCCTTATACAAATATATTTTGAATTTTTTGAATATTTTAGTTTGATTAAAAGATTTGATTAATGTTATAGTTTTCATATTTACTTACTAATCTTACTTATTACTTTTAAAATCTTTATACAAAGCTAAAACTAAATATATATAAGTATCATGATTTTGAAATCATCAAAATATCTATTAAATTTTGACTCTATCTTATACTTTAAAGTATTTTAGTTCCATGTTTTATTGGGTTAAAGTGTAAATAATTTATTTGGCTTTTATTTTTTCTCTTAAATTAAGTTAGTTTTATTGAATATTGATAAGTTATTTAAAATTTGATGCATTATTTTTATAGTAGACCTTTAAATATAGTTTTTAAAAAACTATTATGAACTTAGAAATTGATTTTTTTATCGGTAAATAAAACCCAAAAAAGCCCGAAAAGCCCTGTAGACCTGTTAGGGCCGGGCCGGGCTTTGAAATATAGGCTCGGAAATTTTTCGGGCCGGGCCGGGCCGGGCTCACATATATGAGGGTTTTACGGGTTTCGGGCCGGGCCGGGCCGGGCTAGCCCGATTGATATGCCTAGTTACATCTAACACCGGTTTAACTTAAGAAACACCGGTTTAACTTAAAATAATTGTTCTCTTTACGAAACCAAATTCAAGACGAAACCGGACGAACCACCTTTAACCGGCGTTGCTCGAGGATAAAATAACTTTTTAAATTTTTGCTTGCACCTCACAGTGTACAAAAGCTGGAATTTGAGACGGTTAATTTTTGTCTTCGGATTTTGCTTTTTTCGAAATTTGAATTCTCTTTATAACGGAACCAAGGCCGTTTGAAGAAGAAGAAGAGCCGTAAACAAATCTTTCTCTCATTTTGAAGCCCTAAAATTCTTCTCTTCGCAACTTGTCTCTAGAAGTTTCGCATCAATGCCTTTTTCGTTTTCCGGCGATTAAACACTAGAAATGGCGTTCGCTAAGGTTATCAATTCTAAGGTCAGTTTACATGAGAGATCATATTCCTGGATTTAGAGTTTCGATCATTCTGATTTTGAATTTTGTTTCTATATTTCTTGATTCGATTTTTAATCATTTGGGGTTCCTTCGATTGCTCTGTTTACGAATTGTGCTCCTCTGTTTCTTGATTCGATTTTGAACATTTAGGGTTCCTTCGGTTGATCCTGCTTACTAATTGTGTTTCTCTGTTGCTAGATTCGATTTTGAACAGTTAGGGTTCCTTCGATTGATCTGTTTAGGATTTGTGTTTCTCTATTGCTTGATTCGATTATCAAACATTTAGGGGTTTAGTCGATAGATCTGTTTACTAGTTTTGTTTCTTTGTTGATTGATTCGATTATCAAACATTTAGGGTTTAGTCGATAGATATTGTGTTTCTCTGTTGCTAGATTCGATTATCAAACATTTAGGGGTTCCGTCGATAGATCTGTTTACTAGTTTTGTTTCTTTGTTGCTTGATTCGATTATAAAACATTTAGGGGTTTCGTCGATAGATCTGTTTACTAGTTTTGTTTCTTTGTTGCTTGATTCGATTATCAAACATTTAGGGTTTAGTCGATAGATCTGTTTACAAATTGTGTTTCTCTGTTGCTAGATTCGATTATCGAACATTTAGGGTTTAGTCGATAGATCTGTTTACTAGTTTTGTTTCTTTGTTGCTTGATTCGATTATAAAACATTTTTGGTTCCTTCGATTGATTAGATCACTGTGACTGTTCTTTAATTTACCCCCAATCTTCTTGCTTTTATGCGCCAAGAGATCAATCAATTTTGTTAATTTTCATCGCTACCATCTCTGTGATAGTTTTGTGATTTGCTTGATTGGGTTCTGACAGGAAGATAAAGAATATTCTGAATTCGTCAACTTCACTGGTGATGGTGGATAGTAATCGAAGATAAAAAAAATGGTTACGTGCTCCTCTGTTCTCGGGTTAGATTTGCTCTGGATCAATGTTTCTTCGGTTTGTATCTTGCTCTTTGTTCTTTATGGTTTACATTTTTGTGATGTTACAGTTCGTTTAAAGTCTTTGTTGCTTGAAGAAAAGAAATATATATACACCACCATTTCAATACGGTTTTTAGGATTATCTGTCTAACTTTCATAATTTCTTGTGTTTTCTGGAATTTTCAGAAGCATCTAAGGTTTTACTATGTTGGCGTGAAGCTGTATGGGAAGCTCATTGTGGAGAATATAAATAATTTAATATGGTCAATTTAGTTTTTGATGAAGAACAGATCAGTGGTGAGTTCTCCTACAATTTTCGTCTTCTTGAAATATGTTTTTTTTTTGCAAATTATTTTGTTGGTTGCTGATGATGATAATGTATTAGTGTGGTTCTGGTTCATCATAGTTACCAATTTCAGTATCGCAAACTAACCTTGAAGTACTGCGAATCAAGGAAGCGGTAGGTAATGTTAATAAACACAAAGTACGGTTGTCTTTGGACCAACGTCTATAAATTGAAGAATGCATTCATACATTCATTCATGCATTCATTCATGCATTCATACATTCATTCATGCATTCATACATTCATTCATGCATTCATTCATTCATTCATTCATTCATTCATTCATGCATTCATACATACATCCATACATTCATTCATGCATTCATCCATGCATCAATACATACATACATCCATGCATTCATAATCATACATCCATGTATACTTGTCAACTTGCTTCCCTTGCACATTGATAATTTCTTGTGACTTGTGAAATCATGAAAAGGATCAGCTATGTACAGAAAACCCTATGTATGAAGAGGTGAATGGTAATTTTTCACTTCCCCTCTATTTCATTGACCTCACTCTTAATATTGTATTTGTCAGTAATCAGCGGAGTTCAACTAAGTGTCTAGAATCAGATCAGTTCATACTTCGGCAAATGGGGTGTGAAGGCATGCGGGTCTTGACGTAAAAAATCATCATGGCCTGGTATTACAAATCCATTTTTGAATTTTCTGTATATGTTTTTGTGTTGTGTAAGTTGAATATTTTGTTTAACATTCTTAGTTCTTCATTTAAATTTCATTATATAGTTTCATAGCCAATCATCTGGAATCTGATGAATGCTGCTCAGATCCATGTTTCGGCTTATGCAGTACCATATAGAAATTTTATAGGAAGGTATGAATGTGTTGTCCCACTCAAGCTTTTGTAAGTGTCGTTAGTATCCAAACCAAATTTATCTGGCTGTTGATGTGCAAGCAGGGACGATTGAAGGAAAAGTTACATATGGAAAGAAGTTGAGATATTGAGAAGTAAACCGTGTTGGTACAAAGCACACCTTAGTGCTTCATTCATTTTTCCCTACTGATTATTAGTGTGTGGTAAGATGAAAATTCTAAGCCATTTCTGCATCCATCTTTGATGTAGTAGAACTGTAGCAGTGTTATTTTACATGATATTATTTATATACAGCGTTCTTATGAAAATTAAAGCTTTTGGCAGCCACTGAATATGGAGCACTTAGCGTTCACAAGATGGCAAAGGATTTGTCTACATAACATTGCGGTAATAATTGATTCTCTGTTTCTCGCTTTAACTTCCTGTTTTCTCTGTAGTTTAGTTTTATTTTTTTCCTGGCTTGTCTTCCTATTGAATTGAGTTCTAAAATTTCCCAATGGTTCAACTCTGTTTCATGTTGCCTCTTATTTCTTCAGATCAAAGCTGTATAAGCCCATTTTATCTCAATTATATTTCAGTTTGGTGATTTTTATTTACATTTATTTCCTTGCAGCAACTTTTTCTTAAGTTTTGAAGAAATCGAAGTAGACAAGTTAGTGGAAATCTTGATTTGGTTGTTGTGTGCAGTTCCTGATTGGATGAGAAGAAAGTGCAGGTATGGTATCAAAAAACCTTCTTATATTGTATTTCCACTATTGTTGTTGTGAAAATAACCGTGGAACTTATTTCTTGGAAACGCAGGTTCTGCAACAAGTCACTCACATATCTTCGAATGCCAAATTTTTTTAAGTAAAACCTACCTTCAGTTGATGAATGCAATCTCATGACCTCTGTTCTTTTTTTTTCTTGCTTATTTGCTTGAGTTTTTGTGTTAATTTGCAGACACTTGTGATCGAGTTGCTGAAGTGTCCTATTGCTTTCTGCGAAGCTTTTGGTTCTGGATTTGTTTTCGAGAGGGTATGTACTGCAGTAAGTTTTCTTCGACTTTTATGTTAATTTGATCACAAGGATGATTCATGGCTTTCGTTTGTAGCTTTACAAAAACATGAAAGCGCAACTAAATTCCAAGGTTCTTCTGCTAACTTAAGGTTTTGAAAGATTTTCTTACTTAGATATTTCGGTCCCCTAACTTCTCTACTTTTAAAACTACAATATCTAATGTACTTTCATTTGGATGAAAGAGTTTTTTCTTTCATGATTTGATAGATTCTTGTAAAGATCTTGGGATGCAATCAACCTTTTGGGTGCTTTTCACAAGTTTTTTAGCTAAGGTTGATTTTTTTTCTTTAAGCTACTTTTGCTTTTTCCAACTTGTGTTTGTTAGAAAAACATAATTTAATCATGAACCAAAATGTGTTATTTCTGTTTACAGACATCAAAATGGTTTCTTAAGCCTGCACTTATCGCTGAATATGAGAAAACCCCTTTTGAGGTACACTAGTGTGGATTTTGGTAATTTTTGAATTTCTTGTTTTTCTTTCTGTAATTATATTATGTTCCTGCAGCTTCGAAGAGAGATAAGACCAAGAGAAGAAATCAGTAGCAGGATTACCCCTGTCTTTTTAAGGGCTTTAAAACTCCTAACTGGAAGGTCCATTACAAATTGAAAATATTCTATGTTGTCTAAACCTAACAATAATTTTGTAGCTTTGTTGAAATTTATAATAAGCTTTAAAGTTAAAACTCATTTTTTCTACTTTTGTAGGTGCGTGTGGAGTCAACTGAAGCTGTAAATAAAATTTCAGAAGAAGCTAATAAACATATCCACCCAACTGGAATTGGTATGAGGTTAGAAGTTTTCCTATAGTTCTCTATTACTATTAGTGTTTTAATTCCAAGTTGGAGATACATGTCAAGCAATCAATAAAATTTGTACATTTTAATATAACATGGCTTGTCTGTTTTACCAAAATACTTGAGTGATCTACTTCCGAATTTTTAATTTGGTGTTCTAAATGTCTTGGTGACAACAAGAAGCACATGAGAGAATGTATGTTGCATGTTATTGATTTATGGCTCGGTGTTGTGCGTCTTCACAAAGTGGCTGTCTATTTCATTCTTTTAATGCAGATTCCTTACATAGCTCTAATAGATGGGAAATGGGAGCAGAAGGATGTAAAGATCTTTTTGATTGGTTGAAAGTGAGTCACTTAAAATTTATACCACCTCATCAGCTTCACTCAGTAATTATCCCTGTGTGTAATGACTTCAACTTGTTATACTTTTATGAAACATTCCAGGAAAAATCAACTGTTGTGTGAAAATCAGGATAAAGATGCATTTCCGAGATCTTGAGAGTCAGTGGACAAGAAACTTATGTTTCTTAACGTTTGTTTTTTTCTATTCATGGCTGGAACTAGTAGCTGATTCATGTGCCTGAAAAAGTATGTCCAAGATTTATTCAAGGTACATCTCCATGATCTGGTTGTTTGATTTACATCTTATCTCGTCTCAGTCATGCTATTACTAACAATGTGACTTTCATGATGGTCGGGATAGTGACAAAAGGTGTTTCATGATTTCAAAATCGACTTCTAGTGGTACCTTGAAGCAAGGAAAACAAAACAGTAAGACTCTGCCATACTTTTTCCTGTATTCGGAGCAGATTCGGTGTGACTGAGTGATAGATTTGTTGATCATAAGAAATCTCCTTCTGTTTCAGAGCTACAACACTTTAATGGATTAAATTCGAAGTATAGAATCGCATTCTCGAAGTGTTGGGAGAATTGGGTAAATTTCTTGTTTCCTCTTGTTTCTTTGTCATAAAAGAGTAAAGTAATTTTCTGATCTTTCTCTACTACACTCATATTTTACATTTTCTCTTGTTTCATGCATGTGCACAGGTCTTTTTATCACATAACTCCTCAAGACAAATCTGTGCGTAGTCGACTGAGTTACTACAAATGAAGAGTCAGGTATAATCCCTCAGACTCTCCTCTCCACACAAACAACAACAACAACAACAAACTTGATTACCACTCAACACAAAATAACACTAAACGTAAATAACAAGCACGAAACACAACAGAAACCGAACAAACTCCACACTCAAAACCAAAAACTTCACGAAAATTTGACTACCACTCAACACAAAAAAAATAACATTAAACGTAAATAACAAACACGAAACATGAAACACGATACACGATAAACAGAACAAACTCCACACTTAAACCAAAAACTTCACGTGCCACGAAACCCGATACAAAAATGACCAAAAACTCTACACTCGAACTATAAAACTTCACGTGCCACGAAACACACAAGAATCGACGAAAACTCCACAAACTTGAAAACTTCACACGCCGCTGAACACAACATAAATATCGACAAAGACAAAAACAAACAAATTCATTATCACCTGAAACAAGAGATTATAACGTCAAATACTAATGAAAATATTTTGATGTTTATAACGTCAAATACTAATGTTGTCTATATATATAATGTCAATAACAATCCATTCATGGATAATTTTGAATGTTATATATTCTCTCTTCTAATATATCAATTTTAGTTATTTTCCTATTCAATTTTCATTTCTTATTTCCATATTTAACATATCTTGTCGCAATTCATTTTTTTTTTTTCACCTTTCTTAATTTCCCGAATTGTATATACAAGACTATATATATCATGTAAATGACATTAGTAGTGTATCTCTTCTGCAATATGTCAAGATCATTTTATTACACAATGTTTTTAGTGGTACCAAAGATCTCAAACGGTATACGAATCCGGAGAAGAAAAATTCTTATAGATGTTACACTCTACATTCGGAGATTAACTAGCTAAAGACTCTAACGTCTTTGTCTTTATTCATTCAAAATTATTAGCTTCGTTCCTAAAAACAGTAATCTTCTAAAAAAGATAGCTTGTATTGCTTCTAAACCGTTAACTTCTTTCAATTTTTTTGGTCTCGTCATTTTCTAACTTGAATGTTAGAAGCTCTTAGACATACCGCTTTAGTTAAAATTCCCTTTTGTAAAGATCTGTTAGATTTTATTTAAATGATTAGTGATTTGGTAAAAAGTTCAGTATCTCTTTCACTTTTTTTTTTTGTTAAGTTTCAATAACAGTGGACTTAATGTTTATTTTTATAAACCTTTCATTGAATAACAAGTGATTGTGAATTATTTTGTCCTACATAAATTCCAAGTGCAATCTCTACCAAAAAAAATTCCAAGTGCAATAACATAGGATTTGAGAAGATATTTATATATCACAAGTTGAATAACATGTAAGTTTAAGGAAAAACCAAAATCTTTTAAAATCCTCATTCCAATACAATCCCTAGTTTAATATTGGCAGATTTTATCAAATTTTTCCATATTTTACTAGTAGTAAGCCAGACATTGGTGGAAAATATATGTTTCGAAAACAGTATATCATGCAAAGGATTTTTTCCATATAACCCTATACTAAAGATTATGTTATCTTTTGAATTTTGTTATGAGCAGTCAAACTGTTTAAAAGGGAAATTAATGATCAAAGAAAATATAATCAAGGGAAAATGATCAAAGAAAACAACGTAACTAAATTGAATATAAAATCCTTTACTATTTATTGCATATACAGTATATGATTCCTATCTTCTTAAAGGACGACTTTTAAAAGAATAAGTAAGCATTAGTTATGTACGTTACGACTATAAAATGTTCTCATCTGTGTATATATATAACATAAACATAATCTTTTATACGAAATAAAAAAGAGTCGAGAGAAATGACTATGAGAAAGTGCATTGTACTGATGTTGTTGGTGGTGGTGGTAGTAATATCGACCATGGGAAGAGAAGTACAAGGTCTTTCATGTGAGGACAAGTGCATGTTTAAGTGTGGTGGTCTTTATGTCCCTGAAGATGCATGCATCAATCCATGTATACGTGAGCATTGCCACAAACCACCAAGTCATCGAGTTCAATCACTACAGTAATGATCTCGTTACTGATTACAATACATTGTGTCAAATTATTATGGTTTTTTGTAAGAGATGTTTCTACCAAAAAAAAAGTTATAAACTTAACATATATAAGCACAAAATATCAGTTTATGTCTTACGTAGTCCGTCTTAATCATTTTGACAACCTTAAGCAAAACAGAAAAATTAATAAACCTTTTATCTGAAATATTAGTTTCTAATTAAGTCAATTTAATTTTTTGGGCCTTTTTGTTCTAGGATTTTTTTTTCAAAACTATATCGACATAATGTTTTTATAATGGACTCTTATTTTGATAAAAAAAAATATTTTTCTAAATTCAACAGTTTAGAATTAAAAATTATGGGCCTTTAAGTCTTACGTTTATGCAAGAAAATTTAAGATATAGAACTTGAATACTTGTGTTTAAAACAACTATCCACATATGGATGTATTTTCTTGTGTTGTGTGTATAATATAAATGACAATGGTTTTAATTATATATGGGGATATTGCAGGGTGGAGACCGCAGGGATGAGAAACCCCAGAGAGTAGAAACATGCATCGAGAATATTATTGATATATTTGTATGCTAATCAAAATCATCATTTAAATAAAAACTTTTGGCTTTAAGAAATAATTGATACAAAAAGTGTTCCAAAAAAGTTTGCACAACAAAATCATCGACTAAAAAGAATGTACTCAAATAAATACATATATACTCTTCCCATGCTAATGGAGATGACATTTTTTCAGCATTTGGGATTTCAAATTTGTAATCGTGCATGTAATTTGGATTAGAAGACAATGAAATTTCTTAAATAAAAGTCTTATGAGTATATCATATATACAAAATCGATATCCAAAAAAAAAAGGATTAACTAACAGATTATGTGAGGAGTTGAACTACAAGACAGAAGCTATTCAACATTGCTAAGAATTAGTTATGTTTACCTTTGTTAGAAGATGGTGGCAATTTTGTGCCATAAACGCCACACTAATCGTGTTTTATTAGAACTACTAGTAATGAATCTAATTCATATCCAAAAGCTAATTTAAGAAAAGAAGATTACCTCACATTATATATAACCTAATGATATTTGTTTCTTTTGAAGTAAGACTCTAACAATATTTTTGGAGTCAAATGTATCTGTATTAATATAATCTAATGCATGATACTAGGATTTAACCCCCAATATACAGCAGGATAATATTTGTATTTTAAAAACTTTATATATCTAGTGGTTATGCTACGATGATTTGTTACTTTATTATTTTAAAAGATATTTTTATTGTAGTAATATAGATTTGATTGATGTAAACAGAGTGATTGTTCCTAACTTTAACACATGCATAAACTTAGAAAAGCACGAGATTTAGTTCCTAACTTTATCAAATGCTTTGAATCATTAATTTAGAGGTTGCAAAAATATGTAAAGGTTGAGAATTAATGTGGTTATATATTTGATGTTGTATTTTTTTTTTAATTTGTGCTTTATAGAAACTTGTAGGCAGATTTGAACATTGGCTTTAACCCGTGATATAATATTTAATCTATAAATACAACAATTTTAAAATTTTATTATTTAAAGTGTAAGATTTAAATTTTATGTTTTTAGATTCAACCCGTAGTATCAATGTAATTTAATAATGAAGTGTTGCAGTTATACACTTTAAAGTGTTAAAGAAATAACAGTTTCATAGTTATTTTTAACCGGCTCAACCAACTGATCCGTAAGCTCTAAATTGTTTTCATCAAAATAATATTTTTGTCACACTACAATTTTTTTTAAATTGAATGTGTGTAAATATATTTTTAAAAGAATAAGACTCGACTTAAGGTTTTTATATGTGTAATATAATAATGATATTCATTGGTGTAGCTAAAGTATTATCATTATTTATTTTATTTATAATTACAAACACATATTTTGTAACAAAAAAAAATTCTTAAATATTTTTCCTATTCCATTAATAAAAAATCAAGATTTTATTTAGAATATTTTATAATTAATTAAATTTATTGATTTACTATTAAGATTTTGTTATTTGTTTGGTAGGATTCATATTTAAGACCCATGGATTTTGGATATTTTAATTGGATGATCCAAATGTATTATCATGAAAACCAAATTACCCTTATTGATTTCTAAATTCTTTTTCTAAAACCAATAATTAATGGACAATTATGGAATTGAAATCATAAATTTACAATGTTCTAATTTGTACTTCTCTTTTAATATATAAAGATATTTCATTTGCTCCAAAAAATGTTTTTAAAAAACGAAGATATATACGTTCGTCAAAATGTTAGTATTACTTACTATATTAATAAAGATACATTTGACCCAAGAAGAAACATTATTTGTTTAGTCAACTTACTAAATACGAAATTTATGAATTATGACTGAGAAAAAAAAACTGTTTAGGTTTACGACTATAAATAAAGATCATTCACTCTAGTTTTCTAATAAATTCATAACACAAACAACAAAAAAGACACAAAACTTAAAAGAAGAAGAAGATGATGAAGATGAAGGTAATGTTGATGGTTGTGATGATGATGGTTTTGGTTGGTACCATCATAGGTGAGGTCAAGACTGAGGAGTCTCATGAGGATTGTTTGAAACGGTGTGTGAAGATGTGTGCTGATAAGCCTGAGGATAAGAATTGTGTTCGTCAGTGCATCTTTTTTAATTGCGGTCCTCCTTCTCTTCCTACCAATGTTCATCATTCTAAGTAATTATACTAAGATACTCTTTTTTTTTTTTTTGGTTTTTTTACATACATTTGCTTATTGGTACTATATATATGAAGTTAATTTTATTTATAAGAAAATTGAAAATGGGTTTTCATTTTTTATGGTGTCTAGCAGGATGAAGGCTCCAGAGAATCATGGAAACTAAGGATATGTTTTATTTTTGGTTTTTAGACCAGAAACATAGATATTAAAGATTAAAATCTAGCTTTATCGTTTGGGTTATTCTTAAAAATTTGATGTTTAGATGTGTTCTTGGCTTGTTCTGTTTGTTCCTACTGAGTTTTAATATACAACAATTCAGTTCGATCTGTTTGGTTCGACAGTTTTAATGTTCGAGTTTTTTTTTCTCTTTTTAAAAAATTATATTGATGAGATGAAAAATATTCCAAAAATTACTTAATTAAAAGCACAAGATTAAATTATTTTTGAAATTTATTGAATTGCTATGATTTTAGTCATATTTTGTTTTTTATCAAAGTAGGTTTTTTATTCACCTTGTGTATCCATTTGTGATCTCTTCAAACAATAAAAATTAAAATACAAGAACATTTTATATATACATATAATTTCGGTAAAAAATTTAAATTACACATTTAAAAATATTTAACTAGACTACCAAAATTTTGGTTCAAAAAGTAACCACCAGGTTTTTTTAAGACTACCAAAATTTTGGTTCGGTTACCGGTTTGTTTAGAAATTAGAACTATACAAAGCTTAATCAAAATTTTGGTATCATAATATTTTTTTTTTTGGGTTTTACCGTTTTAGTGACTCAAACCAAGATATTTTATACTACATATCAGAAACCCATACATGAATAAAATAAAAAGTTAAAAAAAAAAAGCATATGATCATCCAACATCAAACCAAACAGTGGCTTTGACAGTGAATGATAAACCACAACTTATAAAAATTTGTCCATGAATTATATATGTTATCATCGTAAATATTAAAAAAAGATACATCTATTTTATATATTTTAATCAACTTTTTTACAAATTTATTAAAAAACCTTAGTAATACACTTTTCTGACATTGATTAAAAAGCAAAGCATACAAAAGTCTTTAAGGAATGTGACCAAATACTTTGCAGGCAATCTTGAGAACCATACGATAGACCCATTTAATAGGGAATATATATCCGAAACAATCTTCCGGAAGATTTAATAAGATGACACAACAGTTCTTTGTGACAGTTCTGAGTTTGAAATGCTTCACTGCATTTACACAATTCGGAATTGTTTTAACATCAGCCATACAAGATATAGAGTTTGGTAACAATCCATCTTCAGATTGTGGTGCAAACGATGGAGCTGCAGTGGCAATATCATTCTCTTTCTCATGACCACTCTTTGTTTGTATAGATATTGATAGTATAAGTATCAAAGCTAACATGATCGTCGACCACATTCTTGTCATGATTCGGATCGTGTGTATAACTTTATTTGTGTTTGAAAAAAAAAAATTTGTCACATAGTATTTATAACTATAGTTTGGTTTTTTTTGTTTGGTAAGAAATCATAATTATTTTATTCATTACATTATAGTATATGCATATTAATATTTGTCCCTTATCCATATTTTACATATCTCTTACCTTCACGAGAAAGAGATATGTTTATTCAATGTTGGAATATACTCAAATGTTACTATGGGAATGAGATTATCTCTTTCATTTACTGCATGAAAGGGTAATTATGCATTAACTAAATACCCTTTCATCTTTACTGCTTGGATTCTATATATCATGGTAAACATTATATATACATAAGTTAGAAGAGATATGTTTTTTTCATATATAAAATTAAATATGTCAGTATTTTTTTTAATTGCTCAAATTTTACAAATCAGAATTTGAATGTAAAAGCGGATTTGTTGACACGTAAAGCTTGTATCAGTCCGTTTCTAGTAAAGTATGTAAACAAGTGTCTCTTTAATACTCTTTTAAGCTAATCTTAGTATTGTTGACAAAAAAAAAAATACAAATCAGAGAATGTAGGAAGAAAAAAGTAAGAATTTTGCAAAATTTTGTATAACCACATTTTATATATTAGTTTTGAGAAACTTCATAAATATACACAAGTTATTTAGGTATTTCAGTAAAATGCATAATATGACCAAGAAAATACATGGACTAGTTTTATTTTCCGTTATAATACAAAATAATTTAAATAACTAATCTATCAAACTTAGACGAAAATTAAAATATTTAATCTTTTTTGATAATAAGATTAATATTTTCATAGAAGAAAAAAAAGCTTGAGTTCTTAAAAATATATCTTAAAAGTTCTTATACAATTCTTAAAAAGTTCTTATGATATATCTACTTGCTCACTTCACATTCTTCTTTGCGAATGTCTATATATATTTCTAGACATTCACAACAGAAAATGTTTTGTATTGTATCACTTAAATTGTATCACAATTGACAAAACTAAGTGATATGATTTCTATTACTGATTTACAAGTGAGCAAGTTAATGTTTTTGGTTTTTAATTTTTTTTTTCCAAATGTTCTTTAATTTTTTTATATTAAATATCTTATATTATGCAAACACCATGATATGACTCAATTTAGATGAGGCTTTTTTTTTTTTTTGGTCGCCCAATTTGGATGAGTTTAGACTCGTAATCACGTGGGTGATGAACATTTGATTAAAAAAAATTGCAAACGACATTTGTTGGTTGCAAAGGGTAATCCCATCGCTTTGTAATCTTCAATGCTTTTGTATTTTGAATTTTTCTGAAGCTTACAAATAATTCAAATCGACTTTTCAGGTTTTGATGATAAGTCGTGGATACCGAAGTTCATAATCAGTGGTACCTAAATCCTAATAACTGATGAGAAACCTCAATTTGAAGTGAATAAACGAACAAATCAAAATAGTTTGTTTTGAATAAACAGACCAATCATGTTCATGTTCATGTCCGAGTCAATCCTAGCTTTTAGAAGATATCAAAAGAGGCTTATGTCCACACCATTTGTTCTATAGCGTCTGGATTCATCAAGCCTTAAAATTAAGATCATATACCATATAGTTGAATCAAGAAACTGTTCTAGATAAATAACAAAAAAAATCTATTTCATAAAGATGACCTTAATTAATATTATTGTCTCCAAAATAAGATCGTACATGTGATTATCCTTTATTAAAGCAAATTATACAAAAACCTTATTTATGAAAACCTAGTACAAAGCAGGTAGCTGTAAGTACAGATTGATAGATCCAGCGTATAGGGAACAATTTACCAAAACAATCTCCTGGAAGAGTGAGTAAGATTTTGCAACATTCTTTTGTGACATTCCGGAGTTTGAAGTGCCTCACTGCTTCTGTACAGTTTGGAATTGTTTTTAGGTCGAGAGCACAACTTATAGGCTTAGGCAATAGTCCATTCTCTGACTGAGGTGCTAGTGCCGGCGACGGTGCGAGTGCAGGATCATCATTTGCCTTCTCATCTCCCTTTGTTTGGATAGATTTTGATAATACCATTATCAAAACTAACATAATTGTTGCCCACATTAGTTTCATGTTTAGTGTTTTGTGTTGAGCTTTGTGCTTATTCTAAAAAAAAACTAAAAATTCTATTGGTATTTATAGGTCTTGGATGGTTGATTATTTTGGTAGGAATCTATATACTCTTTACTCATGAACATAATATTTTTGAGTTATTCATATATCTTACCTTCCGGAAATTAATTAAAAACAAAATCTAAATTTGAAACAATTTTTTCTGTAATCAAATTAGATAACTAAGTTTGATGATACAAAAGGTTTGTTATTCAAGCCTAATTATAAAGTAACTTAATTCCATTTCCTTTGATACAGTGATCCAAAAATAAAAATAGAAATACATAATTTGGGAAAATATATTCATACTGTAACTACATTTAGTTTTATTTTATCTCCTCAATCAGTTCAAATTTTTAAGATATTTTATCTCATCAATCAATTTTAAAATTTAAGATATTTTATAAGTAATATATATCAGAGAGTGCAATATATGAAAGAACGGGAAAAGTAATGCAAAAAAAAAGGACAAATGCAATCTATTTTCCCAAAAAAAAAAAAAATCTCTAATCTATAATATTGGAATATAATGCATAATTTAAATCAACTCCAAACATGTAGAAGAGACATTATATAATTGTCTTATTTTGTGAATAGCATCGATGATTTTATGAGTATTTGTTTTGAATTTTCATTAGAATTAAAACATTTTTCAGTTTTTTTTTTTGTTTCTTATACATCTTAGTTAGGATTCAATGCTCTTGAGTTTTTCTCCCCTGTGGTCTAGTTTTTAATGTTGAACGAAGTTTTATCATTTAAGAGGGAATTATTACATAGAAATCCCTTAGGCCATAGGCATTAGTGTTTCTTAAAGCAGTCCCCCACAATTTTTGTTTAAAAAAAAAAAGAAAAAAAAAAATTGGGTCGTTTCTCCAAACAGAATCGTCTCTCTCTCTTTTGCGGGCCCCACTGCCACATGACAGCCCGCGATTGGTTACTTTTTTGTTTTTTGTTTTTTTTCTAATAAAAAATAAAATAAAAAATAAAAAAAAAATAGAACAAATAGTTGTCCCATGGATGCCCATGCCCTTAGTGTCAGTTTTCTTAAAAGATAGCGAAATTTATAATGTGTGCCATGAATAGTGCGAATCCTTTCTCTCAGTGCCATTTTCGCGGTTGCCACAGCTCCAAGAAACTTAAAGTTTTTATTCATGATAATAATTTCATGACTCATGGTGTAGAATTATTTGCATAAATTGTTCATAATGTATCAACATTGTTCAAATAAAGTTCGTTTATATTTTGCTATGGTTACTTAAAATGATTGAAACTGACACTAATATGCTAGTTTGGAAACTCAATCTTTAGTTTCTACCAGTTTCATAAAACCTTTTCCAAATCTGTCAGTTTCTGGATTTGTGGCAGTAGATCGAATGACCATTAACTTCACCATCTGCTTTGGAGAGGAGCAGCGCATGTTTGCACACATCGAGCAGATGGGACATTCTCTTCACTGGCATAGGAGCATTTATGCCAAGAGAGGGATGCTATTACCCAAAGGATATTACGTTAGTTTGTAATAACCCAAAACTGTTTCATGTGGGGCTAAGCTAAACCCATGAATCCCACTTAGATTTTTAGCATATATAAATAATGGTTACGGGTTAGGGGAGAGAGCTAAATCATCCCCATCACAATCCCTCATGGCCAACCTCGCGAGTCGAATGTAAACCAGAGAGAAAGAGAAGAGAGATCCGATGGAGAGTGAGTCCGAGACGGAGAGGACACCGCAAGGGAGGGACCGTGAACTGCCAAGTAACCGAGTTGGGGAAGAGGGTGGATACTCTTAACATGAGTATGAGACCCAAGCATCATTAAAAAAAAAGAATTATAAATGAAAATCAAGCATGATAGAAATGGTAAAAGAATAATTATCATTTGATAATGTATCCTACAACTATTTTTTTTGGAAAGATTGGATATTTAAATCTTGACTTAAAAAATCAAAACTGTTAAATAACTAATTACTTAACATAAACAAAAAAATGCATACACAAAAATAACTTGTCAATAAAACTGAATAGCGCGCCAAAGTAAGTTACTAATAGCAATAAATAACGCGCCAAAATTGAAACTAACTAAAATAACAAAATGTTTGACTTTGAATTTATATTTTATTAAAAAAAAAGTTAAAGTATTACTTAAAAATATGAGATTACAACTTTTCATCTGTTTGACTATAGAATTTGGGTATTATTATGTTGACAAAATAATTCTGAAACTTTTGGCTATAATTCTATAAATACAGTGAATCCAAAGTATAGAGACATTAAGCTTTCATACTCTCCCAAAAATATTAAAAAATAAAGATATAAAAGCTCGTGCAAGGGTTGAAGCCAAGGTACGTACCTTGCTATGTATACTCGAAACATCTAAATATAAAAAATTCTATACATGTAAATACAAGTGGGTGTACATTGGTACCGTAGAGAGTATTTATTGAAATAGTTGAGTTGCCTTTTATTTGTTTTCTTGTTGTTGAATGATTTGCAGAATAATAAAGTGTTGTGGAAGATGTTTCTTTTTTCAAAAGAGATACACCAGACTGACCAAAGAAGATATCAAACCATTGGTAGGGAAGATCGACTAAGCTTACTACCAAATCCTCTTCTTTCCCGGGTACTCTTGCATCTACCTACAAAAGATGTTGTTAAGACAAGTGTTTTGTCTTCTAGATGGAGATCAGTTTGGCGTTACGTTCCCGGGTTAGATCTTGATGACCGTGAACTCCCGGATTATAGTTCCTTTGTCAATTTTGTCGATAGGTTTGTTGAGTTCTTGAGGTCTAATGATTCACCCATTGCAAAGCTAAAGCTTACTTCTAAGAGAGTGAAGAGTGATCCCTCGGCTATCAAACCATGGGTGAAAGAAGCACTTGTGCGTAAACTTCAACATCTTGAGATTAATTATTCGACGCGGTTTAATAGTCTTGAGCTTCTGCCAATAATGCTCTTTGCCTGCCCGACTTTGGTATGCTTGAGACTTTTTGACGTGGCCTTTAACGAGTTGAACCATGTTTCCCTACCGCGTCTTAAGACAATGCATCTGGAAGAAGTTAAGTTCACCAACCATGCGGCTATAGAGACACTTATCGCTTCTTGTCCAGTTCTTGAGGATTTGAGCATAGTTCAAGATGATTTGAAGGTCATACGTGTGGTCTCTCAAACAATAACTAGTATCAATCTGGTTCGAGATACTAACCATCAGGATAATGAAAAGTGGGAAGTTCTGATCCATACCCCTAGACTCAAGTATTTGAGTCTTAAAGATAAAAAATCCTCAAGCTTCATCATATACAAAATGTCTCCATCTGCCAAGGTAGATATTGCTGTTGATTTCAATGTGAAAGGTTTTTTGGATCCTAATGACTTGGAAAAGAGAAATAGCATTGGTCATTTCTTCAAAAACATCTCATCAAGCGTCCGTGACATGATCATATGTTGGGAAACTCTTAAGGTACATATACTATATAATGTCAATGAATCAATTCATTAATTATCTTCCTTATACACTTCTTTTGTTTTCTTTTAGGTTATTCATCAATACCTGAAACTAGAAACCCTACCTCAATTTCCTATCATGTCTCATTTGCATGCTAAAATCTTTGTCGCGGATTTGGAAATGTTGCCCATCCTTCTGCGGAGCTGCCCCAATCTTAAAACCCTCATCTTGGTATGGTTTGTCTTGGTCTTAAGTATAAAATAAGATCATCCAAACCCATCTTATTATATTTGTTTCTTTTGTGGTATTTTTTCAGGAGCTTAATGTTTCCACTAATAAGAAAGAGAGAACTCGTTTCTCATATGTGCCTTGGTGTTTCTACTCAAGCTTGGAGAGCGTGGAGATGAAAACACCAATCAGTGAAATTGGACTAGAAGTGGAAGTTATAAAGTACTTCCTCGAGAATTCAAGAATCCTCAAGAAGCTTACTTTGAGATTGGCTGGTCGTACGATGAAAGAAGAGTCTCTCATCTTCATGGAACTCCTGAATTTCCCAAGACGCTCTAGCGTGTGTGAAGTCCATGTTGCTGGACTCGAAGAGACAATGCTCAAACTATGATCGAGGATCAGTTATGTTTCAAGCTTCTTCTCTCTTCTCTTGTGTTCATTTAAAGGTGTGTCTTATTCTAAAACTTGTCATAAACTCTTAAAGGTGTGTCGTATTCTAAAATTTGTCATTTGAAGCTTTGAAAGATTCTAATATTTGAGTGTGAGTTGTAATAAAATTTAAAATTTATAAAATATGGAGTTTTTTCAAATTTCTCGAATAGTAAAATCTAGAGTTGATCAACAAATTAGAGCTATAGGAAAGTGGCAAAAAAAAGAAAAGATAATTACTTTTTTATATTTTAAGAAGTGACGAACTCAGATTAGCTGGTGATGTTTGTTTGATACTAATCCTTTTTTTAACTGTCATTAAAATATCACAGAAACAAAAATAATACAAATCTCGTTGGTTGGGTGACAATTCTCTCACGCACGACGTCTCTGAGAGAGAGAACCCTAAGCTTCCGACAAATCCCTTCTTCTCTATTGCTTCTTCTTGTCCCTTTGGTTGATTACGAATTCAAATTCCCAATCAATTTCAATGTAAGATTCTTCTATAATTATTGGGTTTGTGATTTATGAAATTTATTGGGGTTTATTTGAAGCCATCATTACTGGGTTTCTTTAAAGTCTCGTCTTTTATGAATTTTTCATTGGTTCTCCTTTTGTGTTCTGTGAATTGGTCATATGGGTTTGGAAAAGTTTAATCCTTTCGTCGAAAAAGTTTGATCTTTTACCTCAAAGTTGTGATCTTTGATGTGTTTTGGTTCTTGATTTGTTGACTTTGTTTGCAGAAGCTTTGGAGTTCATATTGAGTTTATTGGTGGATGTTGAAGCTATCTATGTTATAGTTATTAGAAATTTTGGGGAGATACACTCTGGAGGAAGAGTTGAGATCAATTTTAATATAAAGGTGGAGCTTCGAAATGTTGCGTTTCAGTTGTAGTGGTTTCGATATCTCAAGTTGTTTTATTCATCTTGCTGAGTGGCATCCTTTGGAATAACGAAGCTTACAGGGCCTTGAAGCCCCTCTTTTTGCAGAGTAAGACTTTGATTTTGTATTGGTTTTGATCTCTAGGTGAGTAGTTTTGGTACTATTTGAGTCAGGTTATTTGATTATCGCTTTTGTTTCTTGTAGGTTTCGAAATTGTTAGCGTGTCAGCAGTTGAGTATTCATAAGTTTCGGTGTAGATAATGTTTCGTGATAGTTTTTCATTTGCCCAAGTGATGGGTTGTTTTGGTTGCTTTGGTTGCTCTGAGAGATCAAGACAGTCGCCAAATCCATACGATGATGATATGTATTCCAATGATGGTGATGAAAATAGTAATGCGGAAGGAGGAGATGAAGAAGAAGAAGAAGAGGAAGTGGAGGAGCAGAGCCGTTCTAAACGATCTGAAGAAATTTTGAAATGTAAATTACAGAGTGGATTAATCTGCAGGCAGTTTCCAGTGAAGGAAACTAACAAGCTTGTACGCGGAGAGGTATGCGAGTATGGGACTTTTTGTTCCCATGAGTAATGTACTTTGTTGAATGGTGCGCTTATACCACTTTGTTTCTTGTTTAATGTCCAGGATGAAGATGGAAATAAGACAATAAATGAGTTTGTTCGTGAGCGTAAAATTGGATCTGGTAGCTATGGGAAAGTGGTAAGTGTAAAATAAAAGTTCAAAGCTACTCTTTTGGTCGCACTTGAGCACATTTTAATCAAGGGTTATAGATTCCGTAACATTGTTTTTATATGTATAACAGATTCTATATCGCAGTACTGTTGATGACAAGCAATATGCTATTAAGGTATGCCCTTGTTTATATTTCCATGGCACCACTTGAAAGCTTATTTTGATTTGCTAGTCTTCTATGATGACACTGTTCATTTGAAATAATATTACCATAAAGCAGATTATACAAATATTTTCTTTGTTGATCACATGATGGGATTAAAGCTTTATGGACATGTGGTGATTATATTTTTTGGATGTACAGTCATTTCACAAGTCACATTTATTAAGGCTACGGGTTGCACCTTCAGAAACTGCAATGGGGGATGTTCTTCGCGAGGTATCATGATACCAAAAGACTTGTGAACAATGCTGATAGAATTTTCTAATGGGATTCATTTCGGAAAACTTACATATATGTTTTATATCTTGATCGTTGTAGGTTATGATTATGAAAATCCTGGAGCATCCTAATATCGTTAATCTCATTGAGGTGATTGACGACCCTGAGTTTGATGATTTTTACATGGGTATTTCTTTCCCTTTACTTTGTATATTTTTTACCTCAAGTCGTTGGTTATTATTTTGTCATCTAATACCATAGTGTTTCTTGTCAAGTTCTCGAATATGTTGATGGAAAATGGGACTATGATGATTCTGGACCACCGGGTGCTCTCGGAGAAAACACTGCTAGAAAGTACTTGCGCGATGTAATTGCTGGTCTCATGTACCTTCATGCTCATGTATGATCTGCAACTGTCAAATACTTCTTCATCCACTCTGAAGTTTATATGATTCACTCGTGATTTTTCTCTTTGTCGTATGGTAAAACAGAATGTAATTCATGGGGACATCAAACCAGACAATTTGCTGGTTACTTGCACAGGGAGAGTGAAAATAGGAGATTTCAGTGTCAGCCAAGCATGCAATGTACTGATAGTCTCATTATTTCCAGTCTTGTTTATTTTTTCTTTATTGTATGATTTGACCTGATCAAACATGATACATTTGATTTAGGATGATGATGATCAACTGCGTAGATCTCCCGGAACCCCTGTGTTTACTGCCCCAGAATGTTGTTTAGGTATAACATACAGTGGCAAATCTGCAGACACATGGGCAGTGGGAGTTACTTTGTATCATATGATATTAGGACAATACCCATTTCTTGGTCATACACTTCAGGATACTTATGACAAGGTTTCGCCTCTCACGCTACACTTATTTGTTTATTTGCTTAGAGACATCTCCTAGGAAACAGTTTGACTAAAGCAGACATCTCCTAATATTGCAGATTGTTCACAACCCATTGATAATCCCGGATGGACTGAATCCTCAACTCAAGAACTTGATTGAAGGTCTCCTTTGCAAAGGTGAGTTCTTTATGATCATACAAAAGGGTACCCTTTGTAGATAAACATATCACCTTTTGTGTATAATGTGGCTCACGCTATATTACACTTGTGGCAGATCCAAACCAGAGGATGACGTTGAAAGCTGTAGCGGAGCATCCATGGGTTACTGGTGAAGACGGGGCTATTTCCGAATACTTTTGTTGGTGCAAACGCAAAGCTAGAGAAGAAGAACAACCTAATGGGATAGCAAATGTAGCTGAAGGCTAGGACCAGTATACTTGAACATGGCAAACATATCGTTGTAATAGTTCATTGTGGCAATCTTACTTAATACCGTCATCTTTGAAGACTCTTCTTGATTGTTTTATTTGTCTGTTTGCTTTCTTTTTTTTTTTTTTTGTTATAAAGGAAACTTTGGGTGATTGGATCTTTTGATCTTATGAGACAATTCAATGAAGCTTATAAGCATATGAGAGTGAGACACATTCGGGTCAGCTGCCATCAGTGTCGCAGGTCACGTTACCAATGTATTAAATCGACAATGACCTTTAGTTTTAGATATTGGTTTTTCAAAAACCACTAGTGCTAAATTGTATTGTTAAACACTTGTTGCTTTTGATTAAAAAAAAAAAGAAAAACACTTATTGCTAAATGGTTTTCTCACGGTTTTGAATGGTTACAGCGGTTGGGCTTAATGGTTACAAAGGTTGGAGTTGAATGGTTACGGTGGTTAGGGAAGACAAATCCGTCAGCAATTTAGTTTCCTGTATTTTTAAAACGAATAACAAACTGTAACGAATCGACTTTATTTATATGTAAACTCAATATGTAGTTGGTCCGCAGTAATTTTGTTTTTTTTTTTAATCCGTACTACTGTAAATACATTTGGTGAATCGTAAATAAAAAATATACGGTTTTTTCCATTCGAAAGGCCAACATGTAGTGCTAAATATATCTTAAGAATTTTATTTCTCAATTTTATAAAACTGTTTTGTTATATAATTTTTAATCAAAAATGTTTAATTTTGACTTATAAGTTGTGTCTCATATTTTAGCCGTAAATTCAAAGATTTCCTGATAAAATAATTCAAAAAATTTCCAATAAAATAATTCAAAGTGTATTTATATTACAGTGCATTATTAAACATCTGAAACATATAATATAGAAGTTATCACATATGATTTGAGTTTGATAAATTTCATCACCCGGATATTAAAAAACTTCAAAAGATGATTATACGATAATACCAAACGAAAATAAATTAATAACTATATATCAATAAATGTTTTTTTCGAATTTAAAATTTTATAGTAATCAAACAAAAAAAATCAAAAATCAAAAATTAAATCAACCTATCCCTCTCGCCGGATCTATCTGAGACTCTCTACAGAATCTCTCTGGCGGCGTAACCGTAACGAGATCTGCGAATATTCTCTTGCCGTTTCTTGTACACAAATCCGGCGACTCCTACCACACACACCGCCGCAATCACTCCGAAAGCTATCCCAACCTTCTTCCCACCACCTCCTTCGGACGACGGTTTTTTCCCTTCGATCCCAGTCATATCACTGTGGTTGATGATATCACTTGCTTCCCGCGACGGAGACGGAGACGGAGAAGCAGGCGACTGAGAAGCATTCGGTAACGGTGGAGAGATCGACGGTGAAGGAGAGTTCGACTGAGACGGAGACGGAGATGGAGAAGGTGAGTGTTCTTTTTCAGGTTCTGGAGGAGAAGAGTATTCAATTGGAGATTGCGCTGGAGAAGGAGGAGATCCGATATCCTCCGTAGGTACGCGGTGCATCAAAGGCGAATCTGCTGGGTGTACGGCTAGATCCGGTGACGGAGCTGGTGAAGATTTAGTTGAAATCTCACCTGAGACGAGTACGAGCATTAGCATCATAGCAACAATGGTGACTCCGAGCTTCATCTTCAATTTTATTTTTTTCCTTCTCAGATCTTCTCTGATGAAGATGATGAGTAAGTAAAAGAAGAAGAAAGAGATCTGAAGAAGTTTTTAGTTTTTTGAAGTGTGAGAAAAGTAGAGAATAAAACTAATAATACGAATCGCTAGATTTGCGGCTACGAAAAGTGTACGACTAATGAGATTGTGACACGTAGGATGATGCGTACGGGAGTAGTAAAAGGAGCGAAGCAGTGGATCACGTTTATGTGAAATGGGCACGTGGGGTTCACGTGAAGAGCTGACCCTTCACGTTATCTTATTCACCAGCACGCACACTCGCATGTATTTTTTTTGTAGTAATAAAGCAAATCAAATTGTGTGAAAAGCACTGAAACTTTGTTTGGGAGTTAAAGGTAATCAGATCTAAGGAAGAAACTAAGGAAAGTAACAAAGAACGTTATTAGCATTGTGTAATCTAAACTTTTTAACCAAAGAGAAGAAAATAATATTCCGGCGAGACTACGATCGGAGGAGGAGATGTCGTCTATGTCGAATGGTTTCCCGTCAATCAAAACTGTCAGAAACCTTAGAGGCGTATAGATAAGGTTTTCTATGTTGTATTGCTTTAGCCAAAAGCTGAGTATTTATACAAGAGATTAACCTAATCATATGTACTATAGAATGACTAATCTACCCAGACATTTATACACACATAGCACATATAACTCTAACAAAAACCAACAAATCCAGCAGATTCAAAGAGGAGAGCCGTCAAATCTACACCGGAGATTATATTTTTGTTGAATAAGCTTCAATGTTACTTGCAACGAGGGACATCTTTACCAAGTTGAGTTAAGATAAGATAAGGTTAAATTAGAATATGAGTTATCTAATTCTAATAGAACTAGGGTTAGCATGGTTGTGCTAGCTTTATAAATATAATTGTTGTCTGTTGAGTTTGTGACAATTATGTGTGAGAACATAGTTTTTTTGGTGTTTGGTTTTTGAGCTATATATAATTCTGAACATTAATAAAGAGAGGTATATTTTATACAAAGCTAAGATTGTTCTAAAAACTATATTTGGTATCATAAGCTTTAGGCTATATATCGTAACTTTGGTGAGAAAGTTACTTGACATTATGTAGCCATGGGAGACGTCAACCCTCCACGCACAAAGACTTCACCACCATCGATTCAATGGCCCATGCTAAACGTATCTGACTACAGGGTATGAACAATGAGGATGAAAATATTGTTGAAAATAAAAATGGTGAAGGATAAGACGACAGAAACAATGTCTCGATAGGACCAGCCCCGACTTACTTATATAATAGACCTTGTACAGAACTATATAAAAAGAAACTAAATTTATAGGTGTAAAATATATTTATTTTGTAAAAGGACTCTAAAATATGTAAAGTTGTTCCTAAATAGCTGTAAAAAATTGCAAAAACAAAAAGGTCCCTATACAAATGGACTTGTTGCACATGTGAACCGATGGGCCTGGATAGGACTATTGTTTCAAGGATATCCCGAAAACCCTTATTTTACAAGTAGGCGAACAAGACATCCCAAAAGGATATGAGAAGCATTCAAAACATGTCATCAAGGAGATGATCTTGTCAAAGAGGCGCGATAACAAACTTTTATGACCGAGTTTGAAAGAATCAAGATGAGAGACTCATATACAATATAGCGTTGCATGAAAATTATCGGAGATTGCATCAAAATCATCTTCACTATGACTGAAGAATCCAAGCTTGTAAAGAAATTTCTCAATAGTTTAACAAGAAGCAAATATATTCAGATCATAGCCTCCCTTGAGCAAGTTTTGGATTTGAAGACAACATGTGAAGAGAAGGCATATGAATGAAGGTATTTTTCATGAAGAGAAAATATATAGAAGGTAAACTTTTTGATAAAAATAATATTAAGATATATACAATTGTTGCCTGAGAATACTTTGTTTGCTGTAATAAGGTTACCAAAAAACTAAACTGATATATATATATATATATATATATATATATATATTCAACTGATCTCTTTTCAATATTGTACAATCATAGAACAAAATATAACATTCTCTCATTTTACCTTAAAACCCTTTGAAAACCAAAACGATGACAACAAAGTAGCAAATGCTACGACCAAAACGAAGGATTTCACTTTGATCCCACATGCAAAGAACTTTTCAACCATTATCCATAGAAATAAAAGATTATAATTTCATTGATTTTCTCTCATAAAATTTTAAGATTTTCTTTCATAAGTACAAGATTTTTCAAGGAAGTTGAGCATATAACCGATATTGAATCCTCACAGGGGCATATTAATATTTCCCCTACACACCAATCAGACAAGCAAAAAGAATCATCACACACAGGCAAAACGAATCATCACATCTCTACAAAGCAACCTAGCAGATGATTGAACTCTTATTTGAAACGTTGCTAATTGGAAATCAGGTCACTAAAACTTTTGGAAAACGTTAAAGAGAGGAAATAGTTCTAGTTTCACTACCAGCAACCTACAATCAAACTCACCTTGTTTCTCTTCTCTTTAGAATCAGTGGTCTAGGTAGAAGACCCAACCTATTCCGTTTTCGCCGCATTTTCTCTCTTCTCTGAAAATGGAAAATGAGAAAAAAATTTCTTTTGTTTAGGCAAAACACACAATCGTTTATATCCCACTAGTTTAGTACCCCTCTAATGCACGAGTTATATTTGTTCAAAATAAAATTAAAATTAAAACGTTATTATGACTATCCAAAGATTTCTTTTAAAAGATAAGCAAAACATTTAATTTGGGAGCTATTCACCGTTATTCATAATATTGCTAAAATATTTAAAATAATTTAATTTAGCAATTATTCCCTAAAACATGATTATACCATCTTATTAAATTGTTATTTCGTAACTTTCAGTTTTTTTTAAAAATCATTCCCATGCTTTGCAGTTTATTGTATTTTATCAAAATTAATGAATTATTATTAAATTTGATGGTAAAGTTCTTTTAATTTATTACCAATCTAAAATATGATATGAAATAAAATTAAATATATGTGTAAAGAAGTTCATATGAAAAGCTAATAAACATAAAGAATTAAAAAAAAAATATAGCATCGTTGAAAAACCGACTTATAGTCTCGTTTAATTGTAAATTAAATACATATCTTCTTAATGAATCAAATTTACATAACTACAATTAGATTTTTTGTTTAATTTTTTCATAAATTGTCACGTTAATTGTTAATATTTAATTTTGAAAATCAAAACATGATAGATGTATCGGGGTCAGTATTTTGGAATTTTAAGAGACTGATAAAATATTATGATCACCTTTACTGGGCGTACAATATATTTGTCTTGGATCAACACCAAAAAATAAAATAAATATATTTGTCTTGGATTTTAATAACTAACTAAATGGGCCTGTAGTATTCAAGATAATTAGCATTTTATATACTTTGGGTTACGTCAGATTTCATTATGATTAAGCCCAATTCTTGTTTTTATCGCCATTTAGGCAGAACAATGTTTTTTTTTTTTTAAACAAATCCTCATTTGAGACCTCATTTCTACACAAGTCCGTCTTTAGCTGCTTTATTTGAATACTGAAAACGTTTAGCTTTTTTTTTTTGTTGTTGTCAACTGTTTAGCTTTTCCTTTTGTCGACTAATTATTCATTTTAATTCTCAAGCAACAAAATCTTACAAAAAAAAAAAATATATATAGACAACTGAACTATTTTTTTGGGTCTCAAAGTTATATTAACTTGGAATATTCTTCAAATTCGTTAGGAATCCAACAAAATAAACACGATAATATAGGAAGATATATATTTTACTAAACCCTTTCAACAAAAGAAAAAAAAAATTACTTTACTAATTTTATTTACACATTTAACTAATATACCATAGAAACAAAACATCAAAACAAAAACTAAACTAATCATTGTCACAAAAAAAAGTAAAAAAAATGAGGAAAATACATTAACTAAAACATGTATAAATATGATTTTTGCTTAAATTAATGTAGATAGTTTCATAGATAACAAAAATTATTTTTTGAGAATATGCCACAAAAGTCATAAACCATTAAATCCATTATACATTGACGCATGTAATATTCCTTCCACCACAAAACCAAAAGGGCATTTACGTCATTTAACCCAACCCAAACTGTAAGTTAACAAAAACATTTATAAAAAGCAAAGAGAGAGAGACTCTTCTCTCATACTAAAACCAAACCCATCAATGGCGACGACGGCGACGAGAAAGAGCTATTACCAACGGCCGAGTCATCGCTACCTTCCCACATCAGATCGATCTCACAACACCATCACTAACGATTCAGAATTCGAGTTCGACGAGTCCGATCTCTACTCCACTACTACCCGATCCGATTCGTCTGATCTTCGCCGTAAACTCTTCGCTTCATCGAACCGTCGATCATCTCCGGCCGCCGCGAAAACCACTACGGTGGTATCTTCGTCTCTACCGGTTAACGTACCGGACTGGTCTAAGATTCTAGGGAAAGAGAATAACCGCCATGTCCGGAGAAAAAGCATCGAAAACGACGATGACGGTGGCGGTTACGGCGGTGTCGGCGGAGGAGGAGAGGTATTACCGCCGCATGAGTATTTGGCGAAGACGAGAATGGCTTCGTTCTCTGTGCATGAAGGTGTTGGGAGGACATTGAAAGGGAGAGATATGAGTAGGGTTAGAAATGCAATTTTGGAAAAGACTGGGTTCTTAGATTAATTTCTTAAAAGTATAAGGTTCTCTCTTTTTTTTTTTCTTGAGGGTTTATATATATTTTTTACTGTTTTTACTAAAATAACTGATGAGAAGAGGCATATAATATTTTCTAGATTACGCCTTTTTTGTAATTTTCGGAATATTGCAAAGTTTTTAATGTTGAGTATTTTACAGTTTATAAATTAATATTTTTTTCAGTCCTTTATTAATATTTTTTGTCTCGATAAATTAATAAAAATTATAATCCAATGTTTTTAATTTTTTGGAGGTTAGATTGTACTGTAAAAACTGTACTACAAAATTTCAAATCGGGAAAATTCGTACTTGAATAAACTTGTGGGGTAGAAAACGAAAATAATAAGAAATAAGGGGAAACAGTATAATTATTGGTGGGGTTTATTATTGGGTTTGTTTGATGTGGGTGTGGTTGGTGAGAAAAGTAGAGGTTTCAATTACATGAAAGTGACCAACTTTTTTTTTTTTCTTGTTTTTGCAGAAATAATGAAAATAGTTTTGAAAGATATTTTTGTACATTTAATGAAAACGAAATTGGACCGACGTGGAGAAAATAATTTTATTTAGAATGGACAATTCTATAAAAGTATTGTTCGTTTGCATTTAAAGATGTAATTGACAATTTTCTCAATTTTTTGTATATTTTATGTATTTATTAGAATTGAAATTGATAAATTTATTTAAAAGTGTGGATGTAAATGGAATTTGATTATTTAATTGTGGAATAGAAATGTTGTGATAGGTTTTTTATTGTTGAGGTAGCAAAGGAGCATGGAATTTATGTGATTTTGAGGATTTTTTTTTTTTTTTTTTTTTTTTTTTTTTTGTAGCCTTGAGGGTTATTTACATGATATTCAAGCTAATTTGTTTTAGGATATTCCCAATATATTTAAAAGAATATAAACGAGAATTTAGCTGAATATAGATAACGAAAATGAAGATGAATAGAATTTACTTGAAACTTCTTAAATAATTCTAGAAAGAAATATGATGAATATTTTTTTCTAAATAAAAGCATATAATATAAATAAATCACTACTTTTAGATGTTGCCACTAACCAAACCACTTTTCACGAACAATCAAAGATTAAATAAAATTTGGTACTAATTAAAGTGATGCGTAAGCACATATCCATTTATTTATATAAATAATCTTATACTACTATTTAATTTTCACTAGTATATATAATTTTCTATATGTTAATTTGCCCAATTCTTTTTGTTTAGTTAAACATTCAATTCTTTTTTTACCTCGTAGTGAATTAAGCTACAAGTTGATATCTTGAACATCCATGGTTCGATTGTGTAGCTAGAGACAAACACAATTCGAAAAAATTGTATTCTCAAAACCCTTAAAGGCCTTCACTTTTTATCTTTAAATGATTCTTTGTGATTCACATAGAATACAAATATACAATACAATACAACCATCGAGTCACTCGACATTGATCAACTTCTACTTTCTTCTATACACGTTTTAAAAATACTATGTTTCACCATGCATGTTGATTTTTGAACGTTAACAATTAAAAAAAAAAAAACATCGAAACTCTCGGTATAAACCATCAAGATTAGATAATGTAAAAGAAATGTGAATATTAGATTAGAAATCAAACTAATTAACGAATGTAATAATATGAATTTGTTTGCTATGACTTAGACTTGGTCATGTCAGCTTCAAGTTCCAATGATGAATGAAACTATGAAAGCATTATTTTGTTTTGATATTCACTGGTCAAAACTCGACTCTTAGAATACCGAAAAGCCAAATGTTTATAGTTTTAAAGGTGATGAACGAACGATATGACCAAGACAATATGTTATGGTCAAAAACTTTGGTCCTCTAGCTCTCACTATATATATATATATGTGTGTGTGTGTTCGATTGAGTCAATATTTGGAGTTAGGTCAAGGAGATATGCAATTTCGGCTGAGGATGGTCTTGTGAATGTTATGAATCTTGGAGAAGGTGGTGTTAAAGAAATGTATCGTATTATTAGCTTCAATCATCTTAAATTTTGGGAATACAAATTAAGCCTTGCATTTATACTTGAATAAACATCTAATGTAAGGCTTTTATTTGATTATTTTTCATTTGACGTGTCCGTTTCAGTTTCGAATTATATTGTTTTTTTCCCATTCGCATCAGGTATGTGAATTTGAATTATGTTCGGTTGAAAATTTTGGGTATTTCCATTATTCAATATAATAGATTAGGTACGTATGTATTGAAGTCAACCAAACAAAAACTCGGTTTAATATGTTTTGATTCGTTTAAAGAATAATTTGGTTTAGTTATGACGCCAATATATATATATACTAGTATAGTACCCGTCCGATGGACGGGTTATCTTTATTTAAAATTAAATTAAAATTAAAATTTATTATAACTTATAAAAAATAATTTTTAATTTTTTTTTGAAAAAAATAAGAGAAATTAATTTCATTTGGAAAGAGATTTTATTGGGTTTGAAGTATCAAATAAACGTGTGTATATATATATATATATATATCTCTTAAAATTCGTTATTATATGTTAATTATAAAAATCTAGTAATGTCAAATTGACAATCACCAAAACATTTGGGAGCTATTAACCATTACTCATAATATTGCTAAAATATTTTAAAAAAACTTAATTTAGCAATTATCCTCTAAAACATGATTATACCATTTTGTAAAAAAAACAAATTCGTAACTTTCAATTTTTCAAAAAAAATCATTTTCAGACTATGAAAATTAATCAATAATTATTTAATATGATGGTAATGTTTTTTCAAATTAACATTAATCTAAAATATGATGTTAAATACACATATAGTCATTTGTAAATATATTCATATAAACAACGCAAATAAACATAAAGATTCTAAAATAAATTATAGCATCGTTGAGGATAACATTAAAAAAATTTCAAATGTGAATTATAAAAAACTACATATTTTCTTTAAAAATATTTTAAAATTGTAAAACCTAAATCTCATTGCTCTTTAATAAACTCAAACCGATAAATTATCTCGTATAATTATAAAATCTAAACTATAATGCACATTTATAAACTCAACATATAACCCTTATAATTGTAAAACCTACAACTCACAAAACCAAAAATTAGGTTAATAGTTGAAAGATAATTTTTGAGAAATACCTCTTTTGGTGTACCCCATTTTAAAAATACACCAATTTTCTATCCATTTCAAAAATATCCCTTTTCAAATATGAAAAATTGTAAACTTTTATATAGTTTATAAGGTACATCTAGATCATCATTAGTATTGTGAGACTCAATACAAATATTTATAAAGTTTTAAAAAGGTTCTAAACGGCATTTATAAGATTTTAAAAGGTTTTTATAAGGTTTACAAAGTTTTTATATGTTTTTTAAATAATTTTTTTTTAACTTTTTTAAAAGGTTTTTAAAAGGTATTTATATAGTATTTAATATTTACACACATAGAAAGATAATTTGTGTCTTAATATATAAGCTTACACATTTGTTTTTTATAGATATCAATTTTTTAAATTTTTAATTTATCAGATATACCCTTTTTCCATACTGCTTTTTAAAAATACTCCTATTTCAAACTTTATAAAAAAAAACCACTATAAATGTTGAAATTTATCCAAATATGTGTGTAAACTTATAAGTATACACACAAATTACCTTTATATATGTTTAAATTTTTATATATCTTTCATTAATAGCGTAAAACAACTTATAAATACCTTTTAAAAACCTTATAAACCCTTTTAAAAACCACTTAAAAACCTTATAAAACTTGTAAAAACGATTTAAAATCTTTGAAAACATTATAAAATATTTGTATCAAATTTCCAAGTAGTAGTTATTATATAGAAGTACCTTATAAACCATATAAAACTTTATAATTTTTCATATTTAAACATGGATATTTTTGAAAATGGATAGATAAAGGGGGGAATTTCAAAAATACCTCTTTTCATATACCTCTTTTTAAAAATACCCCTTTTCAAACTTTATCAAAAACCCCACTAAAAATGTTGAAATTTATCCAAATATGTGTGTAAGCTTATAAATATATACACAAATTACTTTTATATGTGTCTACAACTTTATACACCTTTCATAAATAGCGTAAAAATAAATTATAAAAACCTTATAAAAACCGTATAAACCCTTTTAAAAATCTTTTAAAAACCTTATAAAATTTACAAAAACGATTTAAATCTATTTAAAACATTTTAAAATATTTTTATCGAATCTTCCAGTAGTAGTTATTATTTAGAAGTACCTTATAAACTATATAAACCTTTATCATTTTTTATATTTAAAAAGGGGTATTTTTGAAAATGGATAGATAAAGGGGGTATTTTTCAAAAATTCTCTAGATAACAGAGGTATTTTTGAAAAGTGGTACACAAAAAGGGGTATTTCTCAAAACTTCTCTTTAATTTTTATAATTTTTTTTAATGTTATTTTAAAATTCTATTTGTATCTTAATATTAACAAATTAGATATAACATGTTGCGACAACTTATGTTTTTACTTGACACTTATCATGATTACGTGAGTTAGTAAATTTGAAAACCAAGTTTCGACATATAATCTCGTTTAATTGTTAAACTTAAACCATAATTTTAATTTATAAAGATAAACCATAATTCTTATTTATCATTTATATACCCAAACCAACAAATAACCTGATTTAATTGTAAAATTAAAGTTTAAACCTTAATCCTCTTCGGTAAACAAAAACCGCCATATATTCTTGTTAATTATAAATTTTAAATCCCTATCTTATTAATAAACCAAATTGACATAACTGAAATTAGGTTATTTGTTTAATTTTATTAATAATTTTTAATATGTAATTCATTATAATATTTATTTTATATATTTCCTTTTTCGAGAGGGTTAATAATATTTCTATTTTATCCAAATATTAACAAAATTAGTTATGACACGTGTCAAAATCTTATCATTTATAATTGACACGTGTCACGATCTTGTTAATGGCTGACTTTGAAAACCAAGGTTTATATAATAAGATATATATATAAAATATTGATTTAATTATCAATTCAAGTATTAATTTTCAAAGAATTTTTGTATTATTCGTTTTAAATTTGATTATTTTTCTTAAAAAAATTAGATCTTTGACATGTGGCATTTAACTTAGGAAAATTTGTACACGTGGCATATGACTGGTCACAATTGACCAACACAGTTTTAGTTAATGTTGTTTTCGGCAAAAAATTGATAGTTCAAGTAGTTTATTAAAAAAATATAATCTAATGCATTATTAGCTTCAATCATCTTAAATTTTGGGAATACCATTTCTTTCACTAACCATAGTGCTTAGGATATACAGCTCTCTAATTTTGATTTTTCTCATCAGTTTTTTCTTTGTTTGAATTTTCTATACTCATATGCTTCTTTTAGACTATGTGCAATGGTGTATCCATGCCCAATCCCTCAAAAAGAAAAAAAAAAGAAAAAAGAACAAATTGAAGAGGGACGTAGGCAGCGGGACTGTCCTTTTCCTTGTTTACCACTATTCACGGGCTCCACTGACACGTGACGGCCCGCGATTGGTTGTTTTTTTGTTTTTGTCTTTTGGACAAACACAAGTCCTACCAATTTATATGCCTTTAGTTGCTTCTTTAGACTAGGATTTACCCCGTGGTATACCACGGGTCCATAGTTTAATATATTTGTTTGGTTGGTCATGTTTGTAGTTGGTTTATATAGTATAGTTTTATATGTGTTTATTTCATTTAATTTTATATAATTTTATGAATTTGTATTATAAGTAGATTCATAGATATATGTGGTCAACCCGCGAAACGATTTTGTTATAAATAAAAATATTATATTTTAACTTAACCTGTAAAACAATTTATTATAGATAACCCGTAAGAAAAATATAATCATATTTATGTAAACTCAAACCCCGTTCAATCATATTTATGTACAATATTATTATATTTAAAAAAATTAGAGTTAAAATATTAATAATACTTTAATTTTTTGTAGAGTTTAAATATTTTCAATATTTTCAATATTCTATAAAGCTTAAATTAAATATTATAATATTAGGGCATTAGCAAGAATTTCTCTAATATTTTTAAAAAAAATTTAAATTTATAATATTATAACCGGATTTTTCTTAAATATAGAACTGGATCAAACTGAATAAATTTTTTAATTTGGATGCTTGAGAAATCAAACTTCATGCTGATATGTAGTTGGGAGCATATTAGTTATATTTATAATGGTTTTGAACCCTTATATTACCTTATGTTGACGTTGTACATATATTTTTTCATTTATCAATTGAGTTATATACATCCGTTTTCAAACATTTAAATTGCAAAATGTGCAGAAAAATATTTGTATTTTTATTAGAAATATGTTTCATGTAATAATATAAATTAAATAAATTAAAAACAAATAAGGTTATATAAATATATTGGAGAGAAATTCAAGTTATTAGAGAGAGATTTTAGGAAACTTTTTTGATGTAATAAATATGTGTTTCCAATTTTGTCATTTGTTTGTGATTTAATTACAAAATTTACTTTTATGTTTTGTTATTTATTATGAAAATATTACAAAATAAAAGGCAAGGGTTTGATTATGAAAATATTACAAAATAAAAGGTTATAACACAAAATAGATTTTAATACAAAATGTACTTAATAGATTTACAAATCTAACCAAAAATGTAGAATTTGATAAACAATATAATAATATCAGAGCCAATTAGTGGTAGAGGTAGATAAACATTTCATAGGGGTTAAAAAAAGTTTCAACAGAGAAATTATTACTTAAAGAATAAAAAAATAAGTTTTAAGATGTTAAGTTAATTGTTTTATTATTGTTTCGCTTGCTACATTTGTTACATATGTTTTTCAATTAGTAAACTAGACAATCATTTAAAATAATATCAATATCATTACTTCTCTAACGAGCTTTCATGACATCGTTCACTATAATCGTCATATCTCTTATGCAGCCATTGATATGCATAACGAAAAAAATCACTAGATATGTTTTCTTCAGCCATTGATTTATGACTTATGAGTTGCATACTATGGGAGCAAAATGTTTTTTCTCGATATATATATCATGTTGACCAAAATTTTACGATGCATGATGTAATATATAATGTGAATTATAAACAAATTTTCAGCATATGGTATGTTATAGTGTCTGCATAGTCAATATATAAGTGATGCATTCTATTAAATCACAAAAGAATGAAAAGTTAATTTGAATGTCATAGTATGATGGTTTTTATAATATGATGAATCATTAAGATATTTTTATTTTAGTCACATTCCAACCAATGTTTACATGAGCTAGCTACTTTCTTGCAATGATGGTGTCCTGATTTATAACTTAACTTGGTAGTATTATACTATTAAAAAATTTAGGATAATATTTTGAATAATTGAAATAGCATAAATAGTAAAACATTTATCAAAAAGGGTATTAAATATTAGATAAGATGATATATTTATCAAAAAAGGTATTAAATATTAGATAAGATTATATATTTATCAAAAATGGTATTAAATATTAGATAAGATGATATCTTTATCTAAATTTGGTTGACTACATTTTCTAAATTATCAAAAATATATTTATCAATTTTATATTTTCTATAGTCCACTAGAATTTTTTTTTTTTTTCATTTAGCCAATAGCCAAAAAAAAAAGAAAGAAGGAGAGGGGAATGAGATAAAAAGAAAGGAACACAGACATGAAAAAATTTTATTGACCAACTTAATTAAGGAAAAAGTTTGGTGTATATCCCATATAGTAAGATTATGTTCTAAAAATAAAATAAAATCTTAGTTTATAAGATTATATACACACACGTATATGTATATATATATATAAACTTACAAGCTAAGTTTTCTATTTTTTTTTAGTCCTTAGAATTTATTACGAATAATTTACCAAACTAGAAAAGAATCTTGCGAGTGGGGATTATGAATTTTTATCCTTGCATTCGTTATCTTAAAAATAACCTTTAAGACTTGTGAGCCTTGTATGTGTATAAAACGATACCATTAGATAATAACAATACATTACATTACTTTCACGTTCTCCAAAATTTTCTACAATCAAATTCGACTATGTCGTCTCCTCTCAGCACAGAACAACTACATGTTTTTCATGCTCAAGAAAGAGCGATATTTTCTAAACTGGTCATGAATTTCTCAAGACCTCCATTTGAGTCACTTCTTGTCATAGCCACATGGCTTTGGCTTGAGGACTTTGGTTTTGAAAACATCTTCTCAATCATCTTGGCTCTCCCAGATCCACTCCTTGCAGCTCTTTCTTACGAGGCTGTCTCATGCTTTCGATGCCTGGATTCTTCCGATCCTCGAAATGGCTTTTACAAAATCCCTCTCACCAAAAAATACCTTAAAGGTAACATGTCTCTCCAACTAATCCAGCAAAATCGGTACAGTGCTACTATAGGAATCAAGAACTTCTTAAACACCGTTTGCTCCAGAATCTTCTCTGACATCCTTCAACGAGTTCTTCCATCTTCTTCATCAACTTCCTTCGGCACAAGATTTCGCCAACCACTTAGCATCCCTGGTTTCCCCCATCCGATTTTTGGGAGCATCAATGTAATGATTGATGAAGTTCGTGGGTTTTTCATCCCTCATGGCCTATGGGGATGGAATGCTAACTGCATCGCAACCGAGAGTGACCGCACCTTGTTTCTGACATTTTCTCGTGGATTTCCTGTAAGTCATATAGAGGTGATTGAACTATTTACCAAGGAATTCGGGGAAGATTGTGTTGAGGGCGTTTATATGCAACAAGACAACCCAAATGCTTATAATGCAAATGTGAATAGTAGCCGCCAACAACAATCATTATACGCAAGACTTCTCTTAGATTCAGTTGCTACTGTGGACCGCATACTCAATGGTACTCATAAAAAATCATTTCTGATGTACGGAAAACACATTTGGGCTCGCAAGTATGAGAAGAGGGGCAAACCTACATAATTGATAAAGCAAAACAAAAATAAACATTGTCATTGTTTTCTTTTGTTTTGTTACCTTTGTGATACCAAAATATTTATTTTATGTTGTAGTCTGATAATTTAATATCATCTGTAACACCCCAACCACATTTGGTTTCTTCATTATAAACATTTTGAAACTCAATACAAAGAATATTTTTAATAATTGATTTTCTTTCAAATCAATACTTCAATAGGATTAGATTTTAATATACATGAACAAATAACACTAAAACTTATAAAATTTTAAAATCCGTAATTGAATAAAATATTACGATTTAATACATCCTATACATTCTTTTAACACTAAACCACAATTAACCAAGATTAAAAATCTCGCCTAACATCGAAACATCCTTACAACCAGTAGGGCTACAATTTTGAAATGAAATAATGAACTAAATTTGGTTATCGTTGGTTTTTATTCTCTCGGTTGAACCGATTGCATATTTTCAATTTGGTTTGATTGTCCAAAAAATTTGGTTTAAGTTTGGATCGAACTGATCGCTCGGATTTATTGTTGGCGTGTGCGTATGGATTTTTGGTTTGGTTTTGGTTCGCTTTCTTAGTTTACAGTTTTTTTTTGTTTTACGAAAATTGGAACCATAGAAACTATATGTATTTCGGTTTGGTTATGGTTTGGTTTTTACGGTTTTATAGAAAATGGAACCATCTGTATCTTGGATCAGTTCTGTTTTTAGGCTATTCTATATTTTTACATAAAAAACGTTTGTAGCATAAAATAAACATCATAATAGAAATAATATATCAATCAATAAGTCATACATAATTTAATAATTTAATGTAAATTTAGTTTCGAAAACCCAAAGCTCCCAAATAATTTAAAGAGTAAATTTCTATGAATTTATATAATTATAAGTCCAATAAAAAAATATCTTAAGGAAATTATTAAATACTATAATATAAACTGAAAAATACAATTATATATAGGTATTCCAAATATTCATCAAAAACCATTCAGTTTTATGATTTTTAACCAAACCAAAACTAAAACATTCGATAAATAAATATGACAACCAAATGAATTTTTGGACTGAATCATAACCAAACCAAATAATTTATTTTGGATTGGTTTGGTTCAATTTTTTTTGGTTACGATTAATTTGTCTACCAATGGAATTATACTAAATTAAAGTTATATCATCTTGTGTCAAAATTAGATTTATTTTTCTAATACCATCTAAATTTGACTGAGTCGAATTACTTGAATATAACCCAAAAAAATAGCTGCTTGTAACCGGTTTGCTTAAAAAACTCTGTTAATTTCAGATTTAAACCGAGAATTAAGCGAAACTAAACCGACATTTCTGGTTAATTTATGTAACCCTTTAGGCCTAATCTAATTCGATGTGTCAGACAATAATATTATTATTATTTTACTTTTTTTTTTCTTTTGCTGAATTATGTCTCTCCGAGATTAGTTTTTTTTTTTTTTGGACGCTTTCTAAAATTATGTGATTTCTCATTTGTGCCTCTCCTTCTTCGCCACCACCATCACCACCATCAAATTAGGGTTTTTTCAGGCGAGTTCTTTTTTTTTCTTCACGAGTGCCCTGAGATTTTAGTGATTGAGTTTGGCTCTGAGAAGCAGAGATCTAATTAGCTCCGTGTTCTTCTTCTTCGTCTTCGTCTTCATCATCGTCTTGCTTTCTCCTTTCACCATGTTCTGGAAGTTGACTGCTCTCTCTGCTGCTTCACCGGTGAGTACAGCAAGTTCTCTCTCTACATATGAATTCGGAATTTGTTATCGTTGTATATTCGATTTTCTCGTTTCTGAATCTGCTTTGTTCGTACGCAAAGTGACGATTGCTGAGATTGTTTTGAGATTTCGTTTGGTTTTCTGAACTGATTGATGGTTCTTTGATTGGAAAATGAAAGGAATTGGCTGTGGAGGTTAATTGTTTTGGTACTGATACTGAGTTTGATTTCAGATTACATTTACTGCTTCGAATTGGTTTGTTTCAAAAGTCATGGTGGTGATGTCTTATTTTGGGTTTTCAATGTTTGATATAGTGGTGGGAGCTAGTATCTTTCGATGTTTTGTTGTATATGTTGCTTATTACTTCGTAATGATTCATTTCTGGTGAGATTCTGAGGGAACTAGTTCTTGGAAGCTTGTGATGTAGTTTAGAGAAGAGAGAAATTAGATATGGAACACTGGAGTTGCGGTGAATGTGAAGTTCTTATTCATTTTTCGGTTTTTGTTTTCCTTATTTATAACTTGCGATTGACAGGTCGAATCCATATTAGACAAGGAAGACTTCACTTTGGAAGAACTCTTGGATGAGGAAGACATAATCCAGGAATGCAGAGCTTTGAACAGCCGGCTCATAAATTTGTAATTCATTTTTTAGGCTTCCTCCTTTTCTTTTAACCTTGTTGTCGTTTATGTGTAGATTTGTTATATTTTTAGTTTGTACTATGACATGTGTCTTGTGGTTATATTAACCATTTCTTAAAAAGTTTGAAGATGATATGCGATATTGCATATATTGCACAAATACGTAGATAGAATCACTGCATACTTCTTTATGTTTTCTTTGCAGGATCACCTTGGTATACTAAGGAAGTTTTAGTTTCTCATAGTAGTAGCAAGGGTTGCAATGTTGGCCTTTTATGCTCTTATTTTATATGCTCATTTGCAGTCTGAGAGAAAGAGCCCAAGTGGAACAGTTATTACGTTTTATTGTTGAAGAATCTCCTGAAGATGCTGATAGCAAGCGCGCCTTCAAGTATGTGCATTGTGATTTATCAGGGATAACTTCCCTTGCTTTTGCTAATTTATGTTTTATTCAGATGTACAGTTGACCTGATTTAGAATATTCCTGCGAACTATCTTGAACCAGGATTGATTAACTTTAAGCATGTTTTCTATTAGGTTTCCTTTCATCTCCTCTGAAGTTTTGACCTGTGAAATTGATGTTATTCTAAAGACTTTAGTGGACGAGGAGGAGGTATTGTACCAATTTTATTCTTCCTTTATTTTGATGAATGCATAACATTGTTAATTTGAGTTTGATGTTGCAATTCCTCTGGTCTAATTTAATGGTTTCTACTTCCTGTTGCAGCTTATGAACCTACTTTTCTCCTTTTTGGAACCTAACCGTTCCCACAGTGTGATGCTAGCTGGGTATTTCAGCAAGGTTTGTATACTTTCAATAGTTCATTTTATAGTTTTAGTTCTTAGAAATTTTTTAGATTTGATGTCTCCACAAGTTTGTTACTTACTAACAATGTATCTTGTCACATTTGGGTATAGGTTGTCATATGCCTCATGCTGAGGAAGACAGTCCCGCTGATGAACTATGTAAAAGTGAGTTTTATTGGAAAATGTTGCTAATAGCACGAAAATCAAGCTAAGTTCTGATTGAAAATAAGACTGTGTGGCAGAAAGCATATTAAGTGGGATTTGCCCTGTCCTTCTAATTTCCTATGTTCAATAATTCTGTTCGACCTACCGTCAATCATATTGTACTATGTCGATCTGAACTTATTTTGTGACCTAGCTAGAAACTCCTTGAATAGATTGACATATTATTGAGATGCACCTTTTTGTTTGAAAAAGTTACTGTTTGAATTATGTAGTGTACATTCGATATGAAAGTAGCTAATAATGTTTCAAAATACCATATACAGGCCCATCAGAATGTTTTCCAGCAACTGGTTGATTTGATAGGGATTACGTCCATTATGGAGGTAACTCGTCCTTCTTCTCCTATCCTTATATTTGATTCTGGTAATCACTTTTAAGCCATCTTTATGTGATTTGTGTAGGTTCTAATTCGGTTGGTTGGTGCGGATGATCATGTGTATCCCAACCACCTGGATGTGATGCAATGGTTAGCTGATAGCAATCTGCTTGAAATGATTGTGGATAAGCTTAGCCCATCAGTAAGTATAATTTTTAAAAGTGTGTATACATCCCCTCCTCTTCTTTTTGCTTTCAATGATTGAAATATAGGAACCATGGACTTTTCTAAGCTACGTCTAAATTCTTCTCTTTATTATTGTTTAAATAAAAAGTGGGATATGTTGGTTCTTCATGTGACTGCCACTGAAAAGCACATTGTTTTTTTTTTCCTCTATATAACAATATAGAATAGTTGGAGAGACTTTCCCGCATGTGCACGTCTCTGTTTTATCCTACTTCCAAATCCCTGAATGCAGTATAGAGAACCTTTTCTGGATGTGTGGTTCTTGTTCAGTCAAATAAAAAGGGTTGCATATTCTAATTTTGATTATCTCGGACATGAAGATTCTAAAAGTTTTGTCTTCATTTTCTGTTGGATCAGAACTCTCTTGAAGTTCATGCAAATGCTGCTGAAACACTCTGCACTATCTCTCAAAATGCACCGTCACCGTTGGCTACCAAACTCTCTAGTTCAAGGTTTGTAGGTTGTCTTACTCTTGAATATGCTGAAACATATTTAGTTTTTAAGATAACTCAGTGACTTTTTTGTTTGCAGCTTTGTTGCAAGGATATTTGGTCATGCTTTCGAAGATTCCCAGTCTAAATCGAGCCTTGTCCACACACTTTCAGTGTGCATTTCGTTGTTGAGCCCAAGAAGATCTGTAGTTTCCTCCCCCTTTATGTATTCATTCAGGGGCCAACAAATCTTCGAGTCTCCAGTTTCTGTGAATCCGGAGACTATTGCCACCATGCTGCCTAGACTTGGTTAGTATAACATTGTATTATCTCTTTTACTGATTGGGAGGACCCATTTTGTTCTGTACATGAGTGCATACTTTTTTTTCCTGCTGTATACTTTTCAATATAACATTGTATTAGCGCTTTTACTAATTGCTAGGATCTGATTGTTTTGGTCATCCTAACATCTTCTAGCATCTCATACTGATCCTAGTGACGAGAAATGTTTGCAAAAATGATAAACTTCTTACTTTATTATTTATTGCTGCAATTTCGTGCTTCATTCTACTTTCTTGTTAGTAGCTTGTGCATATATGCTTGATCTTTCTAGCCGGATATATTTGAGCTCTCATTCTTGTTGAAAATATATTTGAAAATTTGACTCAAGTTCTTATGTTCTTGAACAACTTATTTGAATTTTTCTGTACTGCTTTCATTCTACTTTCTTGTTAGTAGCTTCGGCATATATGCTTGATCTTTCTAGCCGGATATATTTGAGCTCTCATTCTTGTTGAAAATATGTCTCAAATTCTTATGTTCTTGAAGAACTACTTATATAAATTTTCCTATACTGCTTTCATTTCTGGTGCAGGTGACTTTGTTGCACTTTTGAATGTGACCTCTGATGAAAAAATCTTACCTACTACCTATGGGCAGTTGAAGCCTCCTCTTGGCAGTCATCGTCTGAAGGTCAGGTTTCATTGTGAAATTTTAGTTACTGTCAACTGGAAGATGTTTTAGATATAAGGTGGATTTGTTATCAGATATTGGAATGACATATGTACTCCTGTGAGTGTTTTCTGTATAATTTTGTTGTCTGATTTCATTTTCCTTTTGATGGCTTGTCTTAGATTGTGGAGTTCATTGCTGTCTTGTTGAAAAATCGAAGTGAAGCAACAGGAAAAGAACTAGCCAGCTCAGGAGCTATTAGAAGAGTTCTTGATCTGTTCTTTGAGTAAGTACTTCTCCCTGCGTCGGATTACAAAATTTTAAATTGTTCGGTAATTTGCACGTCTCTTATGTTTTGCTTGGCTAAATCATTGTATAACTGTGTATTCCAAATATGCAGGTACCCATATAATAATGCACTGCACCATCAGGTGGAAAGTATAATAGTATCGTGTTTGGAAAGCAAAAACGATGAGATTGTTGACCATCTTCTCCAAGAGTGCGATTTGATTGGAAAAATTCTCAAAACAGAGAAACAGCCAATTCTTTCTGGTGATAAGCAGGTATTAATTGTTACATATTGGTGAGCAAAGTTTGTTGAGAGATGGACATAATACATTCCCCAATTCTGTGAGACAAAATGTGGAAATTTTTCCGTCGGTTCTGTGAGGCAAGATGTGGAACACCAGATTGTGTGGTTTGCCAAGCAATTATAGTTATTGTTATACTTCTTTATTATCCGATTTATAAACCCGTTAGACCCACTTTTTCACTTTTCTAATGAAAACGATGCACTGAGTTATATTACTGTATATATAATTGATCCTGCTTTCATGCAGCCAACATTAGCTGCTGCTGGAAAGCAAGCTCCGAGGGTGGGAAATGTTGGTCATATCTCGAGAATTTCAAACAAGCTTATTCAGCTGTCAACTAACAGTAACCAGATAAAGTCTATACTTGAGGTTTGTTTTTCAGCTACAATAACTTTTTTTGTAACAATAGTTGCAGTTTACTGTTGTCTGCAGTACATGTCTTTCTACATACATATAACAATTTGAACTGTTAAATAATTGTGCTAATTGGTATCTGTAAACATCTATTTATGTGCATCTACTGAACCACTGGTTTCGTACTCGTGAGAGTCCACCAATGTAACTTACTTGGATTCTCTCTTCAAGATGTGTCCATACTCCATAATGAATTATCCCACGAAATATATATTATTTTGTATTTAGGCATTGTTATCTAGGCATTGTCTTACGTCAAATTTGTGTACATATAGTCGCATTTTGTTTGGTAGATACAACTATTTGACTTGTAGAGTTTTTCTTTGCTAGGAAAATAACGAATGGGGTGAGTGGGAAGCGAATACGTTGCACGATCGAAATGCAGTTGAGAATGTTTATCGCTGGGTTTGCGGGTATGCCTCTTCTCAAACCTCTATGGCTTCTTTTCACAACTATTTATGCAATGAGCTTCTATTGAGCTGTGACGCAGATATACTTCCCGGAATTTACATGCTATGTTATCTAAGTAAAAACATATTTATAGGAAACTTGGTTTGAAGATTGTAGATGGCAGAGTATTTAATCGTGCTAGTGTTGAATTTATCCCATGTTAATCATTGTTTTAACTTCCTTCGCATGCAGACGCCCAACTGCATTACATGATAGGACTAGGGACAGTGACGATGATGAAGTTCACGACAGGGATTATGATCTTGCCGGTTTAGCTAATAACTTAAACCAGTTCAGATACAACATGCAAGAGAACAATGGTGCTGTGGAGGTAATTTTTTATATCTCTGATTAATATTCTATAAAATTTTGGCTGAATCTGAAATCTATGTTTATGGTTCCAGGAGCATGGCTCCAATGACAGAGAGGAAGAGGTATTTCATTTTAATTATGTAATAATGTTCTACATTCAAAGAAAATATTGCTTGCTTACAATAGGCCTGACAGTAATGTTCTCTGTAGGATGTTTATTTTGATGATGAATCTGCTGAAGTTGTTATATCATCTCTAAGGCTTGGTGATGAACAGGCGAAGTAAGCTTTCAAATCTGAGTTATACAATCTATGTATCAGATAGAAAAAAATAATGGGTTCTAAAAACAATGAATTTGTATATTTTTGATGCAGCAACTTATTCACAAACTCAAACTGGTTCACGTTCCAAGGAGATGAATTGGGCGAAAACACAGGAACAGGAGCTATATCTTCGGAGGAAGCAATGGAAGATGTAAGCTTGAATGAAACTTCTGGTGGTGGAGATGAAGAAGACGAAGACTGTTTGATTACAGAAAGCAAGAACCCTTTTGTTGACTCAGCTGCAGCCACAGCCTCAACCTCAGAAGCTGTCCCTGTGGACGCTGATATCGAGATTGATGAAGATGTGGGTTCAGATGAATTGTCGCCAGAATGGGTTAAACGTGGTGATTCCTCTTCATCCCCGACACCGGTCACAGTAGATCCGTTCCAGGAAGATGACGTGAAGATGCCTGATGTGAGAATCCCAAACGGTTCTTCATCCTCAGAAGGTGATATTAGCCCGAGATCACCGCCTGTGCCTTCATTGTTTGGAAAAGATGTTGAGTTTGTGGGAGTAGAGCCAGAAGGAACCGAAAGGGCAATGGATCAAGCTCTCAAGGAAGGCATAGTGGGAGAAGCAGGGCCAATGAAGAGGAACAACGCCACAGCCTCTCCGGGAAAGGAGAGCCCCGATGATAGTATGCAGGAGTACAACGACACTAACTACTGGAAGGTTGATCAGGAGGTGACTGTAGTTGAATGACGTGACACAATCATTGCCTGATGAAGGATTTGATGAGATGACATGAGACAATCATTGTCTTAAACGATTCCCAGAGAGACAGGGAAGGGAAGGTACGTGTGAATGTACAGTACTACTAAGTCTTAAGTCTTAAAGTCTAAGTCATCTTTTGTTTTCTTAATGTTCTGCTTATTTTTACAAAGTGACTGATATGCTCTTTTAGGTTTTTCTTTTTACAAATCTTGGATGCTTTTGTTATGCCTATCAAGGATTTATTTTACTCAGTTTTCGTATTATGTTTGAAATATTTGATTATTGGGACTCTTGTTGTAAAGACTTTCGTGAGGGTTGCTCGTTCTTGGATAATAATAAAAACTCTGAATTTAGTGTCTGCGGATATGTGTTTTGAAGCTATAGTTTGTTTAATCGTCTAGATGACATGCTCATTAGTAACACAATCACATATGACAAAATTTGTGGTTAGATTATCCGAAAGTGACATTTCTTCAGAAAAGTAAATATTTGGCGAAATGTTTGGCTACACATCTTGTTGGATGCATACTACTATACTAGTGCTGGAATCTTTGAGAGCAGAATTAACACTTTACATAGTTCAGTTTTTTTATTCTGTAACTTGGTTCAGTTGTAAGTTGTATAAATTTAGATTGTTATACTATAATTATTTAAGGTTTGTGCATTTGTGGTTAAGCTTATATTTAAGGTTTGTGCATTTGTGCTTAAGCTTATTGTCTTTTAAAAAATAAAACGTATCTAACTAACATAGTTCTACAATCGATATACCGGTGAAAATCGTATTCGCGTTGTTGGTGTGTGAATTTTATAATTCTATTTACAATCCATCAATAATCCCCTAAGTGAGAATGAAAGAGAATATTGTTGACTGATTGTCTCGGTGGTTGTAAAAGAAAAAAATAATCGTGAAGATCTATGACTGAGGTAGTGATTAACGACGGCTAGCGTAGAATCGTGAAGTCTAACGAGGACGACGACACCATCGGAGATCTCAAGAAGCTTGTGGCGGCATAAACTGGAACCAGCAGAAACCAAAAGATTTTCCTAATATGGTAATCTTTTTAAATATACATATATACAGCCAAAACAATTATTAATTATTATAATAACAAGATAAACAAAAATCATCATCCATTGAATAAAAAAAACTATAAATTTTAAAACATAATATCTATTAAAATTGAACTTTAACAAAAGCTAATGTAAGTTTAAGAATAAATAACAACACAATAATCATAATATAGACGATACTTATAATTTTTTTTATTATTTTTTTGTTTGTTTGCCAACAGCTATCTTATAAGACTCAAATGAGCCAAGAAGAAGGAACATTGATTACATAAAGACAAAATATCGGTTCAACACGCACTTGGCGTGCTAATTTATCCGCCTTAATATTGGAGCAACGAGGAGCTTTAGAGAAAAAAGAAAACACTTCCTTATCTGCTTGAATCTCCACTAGATATGTCGCGAACGCTGGCCATTCTGCCGGAGAAAACACCATCTCCAACAAATTTGAACAGTCTGTAAAGAAAGTCACGGGACTTCGGGATGCATCAATCATAGACTTCATACACTTATGATTTTATGTCTATATACTAAGATTACAACTATAGTTGTTTCTTCATAGAAACAATCATAGAAACAAATCAAAAATAAAGTATCGTAATTTCTTTGAAATAATAATGTAGGTGAAGTAAAAAATTTGAAAGATTAAAATTACAACATGCAAAAAAAGTGTCATAAATTCTAGGAAAATCAAAATATAAAAAAAAAACTTGATTGGTATCATGATCTCAATGAGATTGTGTAATTGGAATAATTAATGTAGGTAAACTCAAGAATTTGAAAGAATATATTACAAATAGAAATCTCAAATCTGAATGGGAGATTCATTATATAGCTAAAAAAAAGTGTCATAAATTCTAGGAAATCTAAAAATAAAAATAAACGTATGATCTCAGTGGGATTTTGTAAAACAAAAACTACTAACTCTATCAACATCTACAAAAACAATAAGGTCATGATTAGAAAACTGAATAACAAAGTCTAACCTAATTTAACAGTCGAAGATGATATAACACTCAATGCTACAACCCCTTAACAGTTGAAGTTATTTGGAGTTGAGAGTGTCTTAATGCCTGAAACCCTAAGAAACTGAAGCTATGGAGTAGGAGGTGAAGTAGGAGGTGAGTTTCTCTCCTTTCTGATTTCCATTACTTTTCTATGAAAATTGGAGTGAACGTTAGGTTTGAATTCAGGACTCGAAGCAGGGCGGTACTCGGGAAATAACCGACCTGTTCTGTACCGTACCCCGCACGCGTTACATAGCGTCCTAGCTCCTCTAGGCCCTTCTCTCCACATTGGAGTTTTTGTCGTACCACAATGTGTACAACTCTTTCCTGTAATGTCGACATAACTAGAATCTAGGACATGAGATGCTTCACCTTCCAAGTATTGTCTTTTTGGTCTTCCTCGTTTGCTGCTAGATCGCGTTGGTGATACTCTAAAACGATCACTTAACGCGTTTGGCGAATTTCCAAACAGTTTTGAATCATCAGTTGCTTCTTCATGGTGAAGATTACCATACTCTCGAGAATCTTCAAACTACATAATCAAAAAAGAACATTGATGAGTTTTGTTTATTTTTTTTCAAAGCCAAAACTTGTTTTATGAGATTTGTGAGTAACTCACTAGTAAATTGGGATCTTCTATGATGTCTCTTACTTCATCTACTAACCTGTAAACCGAATCATTCGGTAATCGGTCGAGTTGGTCCAAAGGGATTGGCATTTTCTGCATGGCAGTTCCAAGATCTTCTTCTTCATCTTCTTCTTCGTGTACAACTACTTCTACATTGTTATTGTTATGAGACATGGTTGCTTGTTTGATAAGGAATTCAAACTTTATAGGTAAAATATTAGGATGATATATATACATGCACTTATCTCTTTTAAGAATCTAAACCACAAGATTTCGAATTATCGTACAAGGAAAGTAAATATATTTAGAGCATGGAAGCTACTAGGGAACTTCCTTACCTTAGAATTCTCCGGTTTAAAGATAGACTACAATAATAATTTTCGACAGCATATAATACCAAAACCGACTTACACCAATTTTAAGACGATGTTAGATCAAATATTTGTTTAATTTAATCCGGTTATGTGCTAAGGAGTTTGGATAAGAGACATACGACAATAGCAATCTATATTTTATATTATCTTTTTCAAAAAAAAATTATATTATCCGGAAAAAATCTTGTAGTTTATACTATCCTTAAAAAAAAAAACATAAATAATACGAAAAAATTTAGATTCTATATATAGACATACTATATCTATATGTAATATAAACATAATTGTCGCTATTATATTTAAGAATGAGATCATCTATCCTTTTATCTTAGAAAACACATGTCACTTGACAAATAAAATTCAGCCACATGGATCTTGTTTTATATTTAAAAGAAATAATTAAAACACAATACTCTAAGAAAAATAATAAATGTAAAACATAAAAATAATTTGGCATTAAATGTTCGTTCCACCCCGCATTTTATATATCCGCGGATATCCGGCATTTTTATACGGATATATGGGACCCGAATATCTGGAGCCGCATATTAAAACTACAAATCCGCCAAATACGGATACGGATACGGATCCAGATATCCTAAAAAGCCGAATATCCCAGTTCCGCCCCAGCTCTATCAACAACTGTCCTCAGAATTAGTTCGATTGAGTTAATTTTAGTTATTTTTGACAAAAGAAAAATAAAGAAATAAAACCCCTAAATTTAAACCTAAATCAATCATTCTTTGTTGTAACTCGTCTTGATGCAAAACAAAAGTCTCAAATGAATAAAAAAGTGTGATCCTCACTCACGAAACAATTTAAATTCTTCTTCACAGAAGATGATATCATGGATACGAACGAAGACACGTCGTGAGCCTTTGGAGGTCACAGGTCAGTCAACGAGTAATCAAACTATACTTGGTTATAGATATCGTCTCTGGCATTAGATGATTCAGATTTTATTCATATTATTATATAATTTTATCCGAACGTGGCAAGAGCATTATGAAGTTTGATGATTTCATTCTACAATATGTTAATTCCAAAAGTTAATTATAATCCTGAAATGATGACAAATGGTGAAATTTTTACAGCATGGTCGGATTAGTTACTGTCCGATATGAATTAATTAAATGTAAGTTGCCTTGCCACCCATTGATACTAACTTAAAGCCAGAAAACTGTAACTTATTTTGTTATACTTTATAATTTAATCCTTAGCTAGGGGTTACTAATGAATCAATTGGATTCTAACTTTTAGTAGTGGAAGATCATTCACAATGCAAGCATTTATTTATTATGAGTTTTTTATAAGTATTTCACTATAAATATATCATTATAAAATTAAAAGTTTAGGTTATTACATTATGCATAACCTAAATATATGGTTTCATGGGAAAACTTCATTGCATCAACATAAATCTTAAGTAATTAGTCTCTTGGTGCGAAGATTTAACGTGTCGATCTAGATAACTTTCTAATATAATATCTCACATCGGAAGCAAAACAAGAATCCTAATAATATATAAAGTATGATACTGATAAAAATTTTACAGCATGGTCGGAATTCTCTACCTTGAACTTTAAACCTTAAACCAAAACCTCTAGTCGAAATCAAGCTCGCTTGACCACACTTGCCAAGACTAGTTTTCATCTCTCGACAAAAATACTATCTAGCTTCATCTCTTGAACCTTCTGAGTTTCTTACTCTCTTTTTGTTTTGTTTTTAAATTTATTTTTATTAGTGAAATGGTATATTTGTCTTTATGAGATATGTCCCCAATCATCGGACGATAACAGTCTCAAAAATTCAGTCCAAAGAGTATCCTATGCACATATCTTTGATTATTAGAAAGACAAAAAAAACCACCTTCTTAAAAGCACCACTTGATATATTGCTAAACCATCAGAGCCGTCTCTATGCTATGGAAGCCTACAAGCAAATTAAAAATAATGGCTGCTTATAGGCCTCGAACTTGTGACACCTCGAAGAAAGGTTAATACCACTACTCTTTTCTTTTTGAAAAAATAGGGCCGAAAATACTATATAAAAGGAAGGGCCGCAAGCATATGTTTCATGGGCTTGGCCTTTGGACCGGCTCTGTAAACCATAAAAGTAACGTGGGTTTTCCCTATTCGTAGTGGTATACTAAACAACAATTTTTCAACCAACTTGATCATTTTTTTTCATCACAATTCTTTCCTTCTTAAAGAAAAATTCATTCTCCAATAAAGATGCCTCTCCCATTTGTGATTGCCTCACCACTAAAACCTTCACATCACACCCAAATCGTATAATATTACAATATATCTCAAATAGTCAACCCACCGCAACAAAAACCCTATTGTCTTATGCATGTATATATATATCAATGTCTTCAATCTTAAACTCTCCATCTTATACCTCTCAAGGGTACTTCACTACTAAACCCATCGAAGCTTGTCTTGATTAGTTGCAAAGGTAATAAGTTATTAACTTAATACTTATACTCATTTCATATCAACGTAATAAGATCTTGAAAGTTCTATACATATATAAAGACTAGTCTTTTTCTTTCTTTTGCAGCTCATAATATAAAACCGAGATGGGGATAAAACCTAAGCATATTATGGTTGTTATCATAGCCATCATGATCATGACAAGCTCATGTTTGGCTGCTAGGGGTATAATTTCCCGGGAAAATAATCAAGAAAACGAAAACATATCGGGAGAGATATTAGGGAAAGAAGAGGAGTCAGCTGAGAAAATAGAGCACCCAAGAAACAATGTGCAGAATCACCATTACATCCCAAGACAAGATTTTTACAACTATGGACCTGGTGGTGGTGATAACAATGGAGGTGGTGGTTAACTCAAAAGAAATCGTGAAGACGATATCGATATAAATATATAGATATTAAGGAAAAAAAGTATATTATAAGAAATAAACGTCAGGTATGTGAGACAATATGAATCTTTTTATGTTTTATTAAGCATGGTTAATTACTATATATCCTCTATGCTCTATTTTTTTTTTTTTTTTTGACATCCTCTATGGCTCTATTGCTTGTGATGTTTAATTATTGTATTGTCTTTTCTTCACTATGTATATATAAAAACTTATCCTATTACGACATATATATTAAGCTCTTTTTGTTTTTGCCATCAGTCATCATCCAACTGTCGGAAAAAACTTGCCTTGTAACCTGAAACCTGATAAGTGGTCTGAGTGTTTCACTAACACCATTTCGGTCAATTCCAAATCTGACTTACCATTGGAAGTTCATGTAGAGTATTTAAAAATATATTTTATTCTTATTAAAATTTGCACTATATTCTAATTTGTGTATAAAAATGCAAGGCACATTTTAGATGTTAAAATTCACCCTTTTGATGATAAGCAAAAGAGTGAGTAATTAAGGTTATGCTTTAATAAGTATTCTTAAGGGCTTTACAATGATTCCTAATGGCCGGATGTTTTGAGAGCCTATATGTGTATAAACTTCAGAATCCACAATGACTCAAATACTTTTCTATCATATTTTTGGTATCAAATCGAAGAATTCTTAAAAACAGTACGTACACACATGAAGATTGGTTTTGGTTGTATAAAACTAAAATTGAAAAATCATTTGAACGCAACTAATATCCAATTTTTTTGTATTACAGATTTTTCTTTCCAAAAAAACATAAGTTTTACGAAACATTTCAACTCTTGTTCTCTTTTTTTCTTTTGTTACTTTAAGTTTAAATCCATCTAAATATATAAAACATATGAAGTGCCAAAGTGTTACCAATAATTATTTTAAAAAATTTAACACTAATGAAAAGAAAATGTAACCTAATTGTTTGTGTTCGAGCAAAACTTACACCGCTAACCTTAACCGGGAAATTAAAGAAGACCAAAAGAATCAAGAAAGCGAGTATTTTTTTATTAATCAAGAACAATTTCAAGATTACAAGAAAGATCCAACTAGCTTGATCGGCCAGTTAGGATATTCCGAGAGTAAACTTTGAACCTACGGTTCTTGAGTCAGGAGGTGGTGTTGTTCGCATAGCGGCTAAGCTCTCATTTTATAGATCTCAATCGTTTGATAAGGTTTTTTATGATAATGGACCAGCAATTTGTACCTAAAGAGAATGGAGTTAAGGAGCAGCTTGAACCCGAAAAGAATGGAGCTAAAGAGGAAGCAACATTACACATTTTTAATGGTCCGATGACAAGGTTTAAGATAAAGCGACTAAACCAAGCTATCATCATGCTTTTACATAAGATTGAGGGCAATCTTAATCAAGAAACTTATCCAACTACATTGTTGTGATTCAAGCCGATTAAGCAACATCAATGGAGGTGTGTGACTTGTACTTGTTTTTTTCTCCTCTTGGTTTTGTCCCAATAGGTTTTCCAAGAGAGATTTTTAATGAGGCAAGTCCACACACTTTTTCACAAACTCATAGTCGTTTCTTTGCCCACGAGCCATGTTCTTATGAAAGGGAAGAGTCATTTTTTTTAATTCAAAGACTAGTTTTATATTTCTTGTCATTTCCGAGTGTTTTTAATGTTGTTTCGAAACTTGGTGTGTTTGTTTTGAAACTAGTTTTTTCTCTTCTATATATATACTTATCAAAAAAATTATTATCAAAACCTCTTTACAAATTGTTTTGATATGATGGGTGTGTAATATCTCTTCATCTTGTGACCGTTTGGTGTGTAATTCCCAAGCCTAAGCAAGTTTGTTAGTTCAATGGTCTTTCGGCAACCATTGAAAGTTACAATCAATTCACAAGACATTCTCATTCCTTTTCATCGTCATTCTCCCGCAAATCCATTCTATCCCCAAATCACCCTCATTTGTCTTGTTATTCACGGATCTTCCTTTGTCGTTCACAATCCACACAAAGAGATTTCAAGATACTGGATCATATTTGGCTTGTTTCCATTTCTTCAGAAAGAATTCTTCCTTTTCCTCTATCTTTGAAATATCATCCTAGATTCAGCCCAACAAATGCCGAGCTAATAAGGCTTCTACTCCGGAATTAGATGCCTTATAGGCCAGGCTCGGCCCATAACCAATCGGATCAACCGAGTGGTGCTAAACTACCCTCTTATAATGTGTACTAATGCTAGCTCTTTTGCCACCTGATTGTTTGTACTTTGTACTAATGCTAGGTGTTTGTACTTCCTTTTATTTATTTTTATCTTTTATTGCATTAGATATTTTATCATATAATAATAGATATTATAGTAAATGTATGAAGCTAAGTAAAGAAAAATATATTTATAAGATTATGTCCATGTTGGAAAGCTGGAAACTTTTTTTAAGAGTTTTAAATTTTTCTCTTACTCAACTTTTCTTTTTATGAGTTTATCACTAGTATACAATTTAATTAAATGATTTTTTCACTATCCTGGAAACTTAAGATTCGAAAGACCACCTAATTTATCTAAAATCAGTCAACATCTTGAGAGATTTAGCATACTCTCCACTATACATTATTCATCTAGCAATTTTGAGATTATTCTTTTGGTGAAAGAAATTTTAAGGTTTTAATTAGACAAATACTGATTCAATAATTTTTAAGTTTTGAATTTTCAGTATATTAATCAAATTTGTAGTTAAATGTATACAATCCATTGTTGAAATCAAATTTTCTACTAGACATGGACTAAAGATGGAAAATTGGCATTTTATTATGATTAAGATTTTGGTTACTGCAAAACATGAGAATACAACCAACAGAAGCAAAAAGACTCAAAACTCCAAACTGAAAAGAAAACAAAAAACATGAAGGAAAAGAAAAAAACAAAATGCAAACACAGCAACCAAAATCAAAACCGAACTAAGTCTTCAATCATTACTCACTCCAAACATATGACTTCTTCTCCATCTTAACACACTCAAACCCTAGTTGCGGGCCTTGTGGCTGTTGCTGCTGCTGCTGATTCTGATTCGGAACATCTTCTTCAGCTTTAACCGGAAAAGTAGATGAAGTGCCCGGAAAGACCATCTCTGGATGACCAGTATTGACTCCGGTACAAGTGAAAATGTTATTAATGGTGCAGTTGTTACCAGAGATTAAAGAATATCTATGAATATTATTATTCGAGTTGATAACATTGTTTGGAGTAGTGTTGATGCCATGCCCGGTAGCGGCAAAAATGGCTGGCTCGGCATTTTGGAGGAGCCAATTGACGGTTTCGCCATCGGTATGGAAGCCGAGTTCTTTTGTCAATTTGAATAGCTGGGGAGCAACATTCGCCGGAAGCCGGATCCGACGATCCCGGCCTCCAACTCTCACATGGCGGTCTTTGTGAGACCTTGTTGCCTTTTGCTGGTTCTTCATTTCCTTTCTTGAAACCATTTTTTTCTATGTTTTCTCTTTTGTAAATGGGGTAAGTGAAAAGATATGTTTCTTTCAATTGGTTTATATAGAAGATTTTTATTAATTTATTATATATATATATATATATATCTATCTATATCTATATAGTAAATTTAGATAAGAAAAATACAAAGGACTCAAATGTTTCTGATAATATGTATGTGAAAGCAATAATGGTGTAACCAACTCATATATAAATAATAATTATATCAAATTTGTATATAGGAAAATATCTTAGCTATATAGGAATAACTAAATCATAGATTCACTAAAAAAAGGGAAAATGAGAAAATCTCTTCTGCCAGTTTTGAGAAACTAATGATACAGTTGACCAAGTGTAATCTTTTTTTATTCCATTTTTGTTTAATTTTAAAATTTAGACTTTGTATTTTGAAATCAGTGATATTTCAACATTACTCTAGAAAATAATATATTATTTAATTATATATACATGGCTTGCTTGGAATTCATGCCCCCATCAGGACAGATTCTTTTTTTGGCTGACCATCCATATTGGTCATCTAAAGTGAGTGTTTTTAAATGTTAAAAAAAAAGTGAGTTTGTGTTTCCTACAAAAGTTTGTATCTTCTCAGAAACATTTAAGACATTTGTAATAATTTACATTTAATAAGACATTTGTAAAAAAGGATGACTGATAATGATGCTCTAACATATCTAGTCATGTTGGCCCCCGTGAGATCAAACAGTGTTTTTTTCTTTTCTAGTTAGAAGGATTAATGTATGATGTGATCAACTTCTTAAATCCTAAGATAATTACAAGTGCATAGTATAGCGTATTATTGTAGTATTTGACATCGAATCCACTAAAACTGAGAGGTTGTACGAAAAACCTATGATGTGGTCAACAGCCCCGGCTCAACAAAAATAAGGGCCTTAGAGAAAAATATATTTTTGGACCCTCTAAATATGATTTTTCTTTTTTCCTTACTAACATAAAATCCTAAGAAATTGGGCTTTTTCTAATTTTTTCTTAATAAATGGGGTTTTCTCTTTCTTTTTTACTAAAAACGGGTCTTTGTACAGAGGAAAAAAAAAATTGGACCCTTTAACATTAAAAAAAAATTAAAAAAAAAAATGTTGGGCCTTTTTTTTCCTTAATTATTTTTTTGTTCACGGGCCCTTGAGCCATCGCTCCTCTGCCCTACCCATCTGAGTCGGGCCTGGTGATCAACTTCTTAAATCCTAAGATAATGAAAAGTACATAGTATTGCGTATTATTGTAGTACTTAGACATCGAATCCACTAAAACTGAGAAGTTGTACGAAAAACCTATTAGAGTAGAATAAAGACTAAAACAAAAATATGTTTAGTTGGTTTGAAAGTGATTGTAATAATGTAAACTATAAAATTAAATAGATAAAACAAAAAATTACTTCAGTCATAAACATATGTGTTTGGGTTTAGAACATATTTAGCAAAATCCAAACCCAAACATGTAACGCAAACCCATAACCAAACTCAAACATGTAACGCAAACCCATAACCAAACCCAAACATGTAAACATTTGTGCTTGGGTTTAGAACATATTTAGCAAACCCAAACGGCCAAACCCAAACATATTTAACAAACCCATAACCAAACCCAAGCATGTAAACATGTGTGCTTGGGTTTAGAACATATTTAGCAAATATTTAGTTTAAGTTTTTCTAGACCAATAGAAAAACAGTTAAACTTTACACTAAACATGTCCAAAGTTATTTTATTTGTTTTTAATTACATTTTATACTCAACAAGTTGGTTGTTAAACTGTGTTTTATCTTTTAGGCTCCGTATGTAATGAAAGACCAATTTGGTTCTGCACCATTATGACAATGTCACTATAATTTCTGTTATAATGATCAGAAGATTGTACATATATTGTAATCTCTTACGATTTGATTCTAGCCTCTAGGCCATGTGCGTAAATACAAACTACATATGTTTGTTTATTACTAACGACGCCCATCACGAGAACGTTGGTTCCCAATACTTTCTTAATTCTTATAATAAATACCTCATTACGATCATAACCTCCCCATAAGCCAAAAAAAACACGAACAAGAACATGTCTTGTGAATAAAGTCATAGAAACAGTTATTGTTCTGTTGCTTACTTTGTTTTCATCTACTTATACCTCCCATGGAAAATACATTCTCGATGGATCTCCTGTTTTCAACACAAACAGTTACTTAGTTCTAACCAACACCACCAAGCATTCCTATAGTCAAGGTTTCAACAACGCCTCATATGACATGAAGAACCAGTCTTTCTCCATTAACTTCTTCTTCGCTATCGTCCCTTAGCATAAGCAGCAAGGCTCACACGGTATGGCTTTTGTTATCTCTCCTACAAGAGGCCTTCATGGAGCTTCCTCTGATCAGTACCTTGGAATATTCAACAAAACAAACAACGTAAAAGCTCGAATCGCGTGATAGCTATCAAGTTAGATGAACATTGACCTCATAGGTTTGCTTATAAGGATCTTTTCAATGCAACAAAGGGTTTCAAGGAGAAAGAAACTCCTTAGGAAAGGAGGATTTGGTCAAGTCTATAAAGGAACACTTCTGGGGTCTGATGTAGAAATCGCTGTAAAACGGACTTCTCATAATTCAAGACAAGGGATGAGCTAGCGAGTTTCTAGCATAGATATCAACCATTGGTCGTCTCAGACATCCGAATCTAGTTAGGCTTTTGGGATATTGTAGGCATAAGGAGAATCTATACTTAGGTTTATGACTTTATGCCCAATGGAAGCCTTGACAAGTATCTAAACCGTAGAAACACGAATGAGAATCAAGAACGACTCACTTGGGAACAACGTTTCAAGATCATCAAAGATGTTGCTTCTGCTCTACTCTACCTTCATCAAGAATGGTTACAAGTCATCATTCATCGAGATATCAAACCGGCTAATGTTATAATCGACCACGACATGAATGCGAGGCTTGGAGATTTCGGACTAGCGAAGCTGAATGATCAAGGATTTGATCCTCAAACATCTAGAGTAGCGGGAACATTCGGGTATATCGCACCTGACTTTCTAAGAACAAGAAGAGCAACTACAAGCACTGATGTTTACGCTTTCGGGTTGGTTATGCTTGAAGTGGTTTGTGGTAGGAGGCTTATTGAGCGACGTGCAGGGGAAATTGAAGAAGTTCTTGTGGATTGGATCTTAGAGCTTTGTGAAAATGGTGAAATTTTCAATGCGGCTGATCAGGAATGTATCCGTTAAGAACAAAACATGGGAGAAATCGAGCTTGTTTCAAAGCCCGGCGTCTTGTGTTCGCATCAATCTGAATCGATTAGACCGGATTTGAGTGTGGTAATGCGGATCTTGAATGATGTTGTGTAGCTTCCGGAAAATCTTCTTGATGTAGTAAGAGATGAGATATTGAAAGGACGGCCTCAAACATCAATGGAAATACTAGTTGATGTGAATATCACTTGCTACATTAACGTTTACAAATTCTTTCATCTCACATGGAAGATAAAACTTGAATTTTTAATTTCTTGTTTCTTCAATTTCTAAGGCTTTACTTTAAGTTTATGTCTTGCATTTTTTATTTTTTTTATTTGTTCTTCGGGTTTGTATAATATAACACAAATAAAAATCGGGACGTACCTTCGTATTTCACTATTTACGGGCTCCATTGACACGTGACGGCCCGCGATTGGTTATCTATTTTTTTTTTTAAAAAGAAAATTTAAAAAAGACAAAAAAAAATATATATTCTGGGACCAAAATGCAGTCCTACCACTGCACTTGCTCTTAAGATTTGCTTAAGAACCTACCAATAAGGATGGTCTAAGATTACTAAAATCATTTAGCTTGTAAGCTTTTTCTTATATTTGTTTGTTGTTTTTTTTTGTGCATCAAGATTAGACTATGTCGTCACTTGTTAAAAACAAAAATAACATATGTGAGTTTTTTTCAAAACTCTTATTTAAAGAAAATCTTACTCTTAATTATAAAAAAATGGTATGCTACTATACCTAAGAAAATGTCAGTTAACTCTTTTGGCTGTTCCAAAAATATAGAAAAGACAATGGGATCAATTGATATACTTGAGAGAGATTTATATAGAAAAGACAATGGATCAGTTGTTTTATTTCTTGAAGACATACAGAAAAATAAAGACACTTGGGAAAGGAAAACAAAATAGATCAAATAGAAATACTGTAGGGAACACCCATTCCAGTAACACCATGCTCAGAAGTAGGCTTCAAAAGCTCATACTTAACCACACCAGCTCCAGCTCTATTCTTTAGAGAAAGTGTCACGTTTCTCTCATCTATCACTCCTTCTAGATATTGAAGCCTACCTTTAAAACGTTCAAAAGCAGCATTTATCATAGGTTCATCAGCCCAAGATGATTCCGGATACTCTCCAATGTACTCTTCATCAACTGAATGAGTTGATAAAAGATCCAAAGTGACCATCACTAGAGTCGCCTGCTTCTGTGATGGGTATGTTTTAAGCATTACTTTTTCTGGTGACTCGTAGAACTCCTCTAGCTCTTCATCTGTTGGTTCTTCTGTCGGCATTTTTATCCTTGTTGTGGTTGGTCTGTTAGGGAAGTATCCTCCATATCCATACTGTCCAAAGTTCACAGCTGCATGGTGACCTGAAGCGACCCACGCAATCGTCGTGACGATATTAATTAAGTCATCTTGTGTCTCGAGGACAGGCCACCAAGGTTCATCTTTCTTGTCTCCATGTCCTACGTTTTGCACTTCGCTCCACCATCCTTGAAGTTCCTCGTCCGACTTGATCAGTTCTGCATCTGGATAATAGTGGTTCACATATTCTGTCACCCATTCTTTAATTGCATCCCATAATATTAGACCGTCATTCGCAAACGGGTAGTCTGGTATCGTCAGGCGTAGTCCATGTTTAGCGTTCTCATCTTCTTCAGCCATCCCCCTTATATTGCAAATTTTTAATGGAAACAAAAACTAATTAGCTTTGCAATTAAACTTTGGTGGTAAATATATTTCATTTTAATTAGCAAAATGCACCTTTTGATGAGATCAGCAGGTAAGCCTTCCATGTCAAACCTCCATAGTTTATCATAGACGTCTGAACTTAGCTCCAATGAATACCTCCCGGGCCAAAAACAAGTCTCAATGATTCCACCTGCATTGACAAGACTTTGTCGTGCACGAGCGTTGATCTCCATCGTGTAACGGAAGTGAGGATGCAAAAGCCTATAGATGGGATGCATGGCACTTAGTTGCCTGTTTGCCGCTATAATGTACGGCTCCATACAACAGTGAGTCCTCAACCTGTAAATTTATCCATCAGTAGTCCGTATATAAGAGGATCATATAAATATATGTGTTTTGAATTAAAGAGTGTTTTTTCAATACCAATGGGATATAAGCTGGTGATAACCCGCGTCATGAGATATAGCATGAGTCTTAGCAAGACTCCATAGCCAGCATGAGGTAGCATCATAGCCTGGTGTGAAGACTTGCTTCCATTGTGGCTTGTTGATATTTGGTGGAACTGTCAACTCAATGGCAACAGGCCTCAATGTGCTATCATCGCTGAGGTAGAATAGTGTTCGAGATGCATATAAGTTGGTGTTATCCAACTCTCTCACTTTGTTCACATAAGGTAGAAGCAAATCATGATAATCCAACACGAACAATCTCTTATTCTTTAGAGCCTGCATGTATACATGATACATTAAGTAAATAATACTCTAAATACACACACACATGCGTTGTCTCTTTCTAAAAATAGTGTTACCTCATCAACTGACATGTTTCCTTTAACTTCTTTTTCCACAATTTCCCAAGTAATGAGTGAGGTGGGATCACCATAAATGGCCGGGTCTAGTTTGCTTTTCATTGGCCATTCCTGAAAGTAACAACAATACAAAATTACTGACATCCTATTTAAGACTCATTGCCAATATTTTATACTCTATCTGTTTTACAAAGAGTGTCATTCTAAAGTTTTAATTTTGTTTCACAAAGAATGTCACTTAAGATTTCTAATGCATTTTTAACACAAAAATTCCTAATTTTACCCTTAATCTTAAATTAATTAAATTATTAAACACATATTAAATAGGAGCATATATGTATACTTCAATGTTTTCTTAATTTTTGTGCATTGTGTCAAAGTGATACTCTTTGTGAAACTGAGAGTATATTTTTAGTTGATAAAATAAATAGTAATATATTTTAATCATATTCACTCTGTTTTACAAAGGTTTTTTTCTTTGATTTTTGCAAATCAAAATATGTATAACATTTCTTAATGCATGTATTTGTTATTATTAAAGTTAAAACAAATATACTTACTTATAGTATAAGGGTATACTAGGTTTCTAAATAGTTTATTTAATACATTATATGTTTTTTAATTAAAAAAAAGCTTAAACATTTATCTTACTTAAATGGAAGAAACAATAATTTACTAAGGTGCCAAATTAAAATAGTGTTAAATTATAGGTTTTACTATGAAAATAAAAAAACAAGTCATACTCTAAAAGAGTTAAACAAATAATATATCAATAATTGAGATGCATTTATAGCTTACTTTAACTAGTTCAATGCAGTAAGGATTAAGGCCCGCAAGTGTCTGGCGAGCAAACTCGTCGTCTCTTAACCATGAAAATCTATCCCCTGAATCAACCAATGTGAATGATATTAGAAAAGTCAGTTTAGTCACAAGTCACAACCAAAACAGTATAATGGAAGATTCAAAAGGAGAGATAGGTAGGTACTGTTAATGAGGATTGGTGCTTCGAACTGGAGAATATCGTCGCGAGCTTCAGTAGCAGCTTTGATGAGTCTTGGGAGCAAAGGTAAAAGACCAGCATCTTTAGGAAGCTCAATACCTTCTTCATAAAGATTTTGTATGGCCTTGAAATGAGGAAAAGGCAATTGTGGATCCAATAGAACAGACTCAATCTGAGGGAACACTGATGGTATAGCTGCCAAGATAGCTTTGCCTGTGAATGTAGTCCCTTTGGCTATTGAGAACTCTTCGTCTCTAGGGACATAGAACTCTCCCCCGTATCTTTGCTCTGTGGCAGGGTCAGTTTTACATGGTTTGCGACCAGTCTTGCAACGCCTTGGATAAGGATGTGCCGGGCCTCCAATTACTGGACGAGCAAGCTCAGGGTTATTGTCAGGGTCACCAACATCGTTGTACACGTCGTAGTCGTAGACGCGTTCGAACTTGGTGAATTCACCATCTTCTTCGCGGTCGTTGCCTTTTAAAGTCTCTAGCTCTTTCTTTCGAAGCTGTATAAGAGGCTCCGGGGTTTCGGATGGCAAGTAGGACTTGGTTGAGAAGAATACTCTCTTGGCTGGGTCAACAGTCTTAGAGGCCACCCATGATTCACATGTAAACGTAACAGTCCCGTCAGGTAACTCAATCTCCATCTTCTTGAGGAACAACTGTCTATGGTACTGGTTTTGAACTCTTATGGCACCAATGGTTCCAAAGTCTTCAGGCATGTCAAACTCACACTCATACTTCTCATCAGGGGCTTCGAACCATACACGTTGCGCGTAGTCTTCTACAGGATCCTTCTCAATCCCCGTCCCTGACATAGTGACGTACATGTTCTTGGTTAATACATGTAACATTAACTTAAACAACCATGTAAGAAAAAGAAAAGTTTGATTTACTCACGTGGGTCGGTCTCGGCGCTGATAAGCTCGACAAGTAGTGACTTACCGCGGAGATCAGCTAGTTGATCGAGCGGTCTCGACCAAGCTATACCATCACGAAACTCTTCTTGTGCTGTTATGAATCCCTTTACTTTGACTGTCTTAACATTATTTTTCAGTACATTACCTTCACGTTCAATATTAGACAGTGAGGCCGTGACGACCTTCTTACATCTCCCTCGACGAGGCAGCTTGTCTCTACGTCCGACATGGATGGGGTTAATGAACGCTGATGGCTTATGGAACAAAGAACTAAGACTCTTTGCTACGCTCACGGTCTGGAGACTAGACGACGACTCTCTACAAAACATCTTTTTTATTTTTATCTCTTTTATCTGGCTTAGAATGACTATGTGACTCTCCTACGTTCATCTATTTATACAAGTTTTAAATTTTACGCACATTTTTATTATTACTATCGAAAAAGATATAAAGTTATATATTATTGATAGATGATAGAGATGTATATATTGTACGAAATGAATACGCAATGTGTAAAAAGTCTCAATGAGTGACAAATTACTTGTTTTATTTAGAAGACCATTACTTGTCCAAGAAAATTGTTCACAAGTGGCATTTCAACGTTTAGTGTACTAATGTGGACTGTTCAATATATTGTACATGCATGTGACGAATATAAAGAGGACCACTTTGTGAAAGTTATGGGCTTTTCATAGCAACCACAGATAGTATCTAAAAGATATCGCTAACGAAGCATATAGCAGACGACGACTTAGTAAACTTAATTATGGGCTCTTTTACATCTTTATGAATTTGCAAAACCATTTTTACAGGCACCATTGTAGTTTTTGGTTGCTTAAAATAAAACCGCTTTTTCACTATAACCAATCACAAAAATGATATATTGACAATGAAAAAAGGAGATTTTTTAAAAAATACGCTTTTTACAATATCCATTTTCATATTTAATTTTCTTTTAGATACTGTCAATTTATAATTATATCATTTTCAAGTTGAATTTCCCTCATCATTAAATTAATTTACTTAAAATTAAAGTAGAAGAAAGAAAAAAAAAAACAACAGCCTTTATGTCACGTTTTCTGTCTCAACTCTTTTTCTGGTTATGATTTTTTTTTAAAGCTAAAATTCCTAAAATGGATTGATATGTTTTGGAACTTAATTAGGTTTCGGACAATTATTGAGGGATATTATTGGGGTTGTTTCTCTCTCACCTAAATCAATCCAATATATGACTCTATAAAGCGAAAGTGAAAGATGTCCAAAAATAAAGATAAGTCCAAAGTGAAAATTCGACAATTACAATCTTGGTTATGTCGATATTCAGATTCTCAAAAAGATAAATTAGAAACTGAAACCGAACCAATTTTATTGTTTTACGATAATTTAATTTATTTTTTAAAATGGTTATAAAATTCACTTCTTATTATTTGATATGGTTTTATTAAGATTATATATAAGGTTTAAAAAATTTATAATGATTTAAATTTTTAACAAAGATGATTATGCCGATGTTGTATATAGCCATCACCAAGGGGAATTGTTGAATTTTTTATTTATTTAAAATGACGATAATTTGGAAAAAACATTTGGTTAGAGGAGGAATATTATAAAAGAAACAATTTCAAAAACATTCTCAAGAAAAAATGTCATATGACCTCTAACAAAAAAAAAGATCAAAGGTTTATATTATTTACTAGTATAGTACCCGTCCGATGGACGGGTTATCTTTATTTAAAATTAAATTAAAATAAAAATTAATTATAACTTATAAAAAATATAATTTTTAAATTTTTGAAAAATAAGAGAAATTAATTATAATTCGGAAAGAGGTTTTATTTGGTTTGAACTATCAAATAAACGTATATATATATATATATATATATCTCTCAAAATTCGTTATTAAACGTTAATTATAAAAATCTAGTAATGTCAAACTAACAATCACCAAAACATTTGGGAGCTATTTGAGAGCTATTCACCATTACTCATAATATTGCTAAAATATTTTATAAAATCTTAATTTAGCAATTATCCTCTAAAACATGATTATACCATTTTGTAAAAATTGTTATTTCTTAACTTTCAATTTTTCAAAAAATCATTCTCAGACTATGAAAATTAATTAATTATTATTTAATATGATGGTAAAGTTCTTTCAAATTAACATCAATCTAAAATATGATGTTAAATATAAATATAGTCATTTGTAAATAAATTCATATAAACAACGCAAATAAATATAAAGATTCTAAAATAAATTATAGCATTATTGAGGAAAACATTAAAAAAATCTTTCAAATACGAATTATAAAAAACTACATATTTTCTTTAAAAATATTTTAAAATTACTATATTACGATTTATATTAAACTTTGTTATCTTTAATTTAAACTAAAAAAAATATTTTCAAAAATATTTTATTCACCCTTATGTTTTAGACAATTAAATTGCTCAATGGCATAATACATTCATACATAAATTAAAAATTGAACAAATATAACATATTATAAAATAAAATCATGAATAAAATTATGTATTTAGTTAAACTCAAAATCTAATTTATTTGTAAACTGTAAATCCTAATTCTCCTTTATGAACCCAAACTGAGAAATAACCTTGTTTAATTGTAAAACCTAAATCTCACTCTTCTTTAGTAAACCCAAACCGATAAATAATCTCGTTTAATTATAAAATCTAAACTATAATGCACATTTATAAACTCAACATATAACCCTTATAATTGTAAAACCTACAACTCGCAAAACCAAAAATTAGGTTAATAGTTGAAAGAGAATTTTTGAGAAATACCCCTTTTGGTGTACCCCTTTTTTAAAATAGACCAATTTTCTATCCATTTTAAAAATATCCCTTTTCAAATAT